AAAGATTTTTTTTCCATAATACTATGGGGGTACATGGTACGGGAGTCCCTTTGGCATCACTTTTCAAGCCCCCAGTTTTGGGCCCCCACCGGCCATGTTTTGTCACACTATCTTCCAGTTGTGCAGTTTGAGAAAATTGGCATGGAAGCTGTCCAGACGGCATGGCTTCTGCAGCTAGCACTGCTCACAGCTCGTCGCAGAAAACACAATTTGACTATATATATATATATATCTCTATATCTATAGCCATGTCGTCTGCCGCCGCTGGTATGGAAAGGGATGCTGCGGAAGGTGCTGCTGTAGCCCATGTGCCCGGGATGGATGACCGTATAGCTGCTTTGAAAGCTGAAAGGCAGGCCTTGAAACGCCAGCTGCAGCAAACCAGTCGAGAAGTCAAGGCCCAGGCTGGTTCAATTTCATCCTTGTGTGCCATGTTTGTGTTGGTGAAGCTGTATTGACATTCCATCGTGCCACTTGCACCTTCATCTTTCCCATCTCAGGTTTTTTTTTGGTGAAGCTGCATTGCACCTGCATCGCACCACTTGTACTTTCAATCTTTTTGTTTCAGCTCTGCGCCAGGAGAAAAAACGACGCAGAGTCCTGAAATCGGCGGGCAAACTGAGCACCCAAGACCTCTCGTGGCTCCTGGCCTTCAAAATGACCCGTCAGCAGTAGCAGCTTCTTCAAAACTATATGTCTCACTGAAGCACTTGTGACTGCTGTCTCCCGAGGAGTCAGCAGCAGCTTCCTCAAAACTATATGTCTCACTGAAGCACTTGAGACTGCTGTCTCTAAAGGAGTCAGACAGGAATGTGGTGAAGTCACACGCGGCAGGTTACCTAACGACTGCTGTCTCCCAAGGCATCAAAAACACGTTTTTGCGTGCTTTGGCACCTGTTTTTGCTGTGGCCCCAAAAAACTACTAAGGATACTTCCAACCATTTTCGCAGACTTTGTATTGGCACGGCAGAGTCACAGCTCATGCACGCATGAAAAACTACTAACCCGTGAAATTGAAATCACAATGGCTTGGACGCAAAACTACTAAGGATTTCTGCCAATTGAAAAGAAATAGAAGAAAGTGTTTCCTTTTTTGTCCATTGAACAATTCCTTAGTAGTTTTGCCACCGAGCCAATACAAAGTTTGAAATTCCCCTTAGTAGTTTTCACACAGAAGCATAGTAGTTTTGCGGCAGAGCCAATATAAAGTTGTGACATCGTGCTTAGTAGTTTCACACCGAAGCATGCTAGTGTTGCAGTGGAGCCACTGCAAAGATTGACATCGCCATTGATCATTGTTAGTTTTCACACACAAACATCACGCGGTCTTGCAGCTGTGATGTGCCACCTGGAGTGACGGCACATGTGTTTCTTCCTAATTCAAAGGGCCTTTCCGGCCACATGTTGGCCCCCCCCTGCACCCCCCGGAATCAAGGTTGACGAAAATGTCTTGCTGTGAAGACCTGACGCTTTGGAAGATGGCTGCTGCAGTGATTAACACCAGGAAACAACATTGATCCTGGGGGTGCGGGGGGGGAGCCGCTGCTTTGACCCTATACGTGGGGCCTCGTGCTGTGTGTGCAAAAGGTCTGAATTTGGGGTCGCTAACGGACGCTGTTTTCAGCCCTCTTCATTGAGAGCCCTCCTTGTATATATATATATATACTTACGCGTATAACTATATGTACATACACATATATATATATATGTGTACATGTGTATGTAATTATCTATATCTACATCTACATCGATATCTATATCTATATCTATATCTATATCTATATCTATCTATCTATCGATCCACCCATCTATCTATCTATCCATCCATCCATCCATCGATCTATCTATCTATCTGTCTATCTATCTATCTATCTATCTATCTGTCTATCTATCTGTCTATCTATCTATCTATCTATCTTTCTTTCTTTCTATCTATATTATGTAGTTATACAATGCTATACATATATATATATATTTATAGGGTCCCCACATACAGAGTATTTTTTTGGTCGAGTCCCGTGCCAAGGTGGAGAGCTTAGATCCTGAGATCTTCAACCTGATGGCAAAGGTGGAGGCGGCCGGTTCCCAGGATTTTTCGGTGAAGAAAATCTGGGAATTCCCATGTTTTTCACCTCAGTGCTGGAGATAGTTGAGCTGAATGTAGCATGCTGAACATTCTCATCTTTTTGATGTTCAAATCCCAATTCTACATAGATTCCCTCATGGTCGAGTCAAAGGCGGCTTTGGAAACCAAGAAGAGGCGCCGCGAGGTGGAGGTGGGTCCAGATTCAGCAGGTTTTTTCCATCCAGATTCAGCACGTTTCAGGATTTTCCCATGGATTTCACTCATTTGAGGACAGCATCAAGAAATTTTTGACGCCAGATGTGGATGTTTCATCCACCCCGGATTTCACCAGACGTTGAGGCAGAACGTTTGGCACAGCGTGATGGGCTGCGCGAAGAGAAACATCGAGGGGACACCTGGATTTCCACAGCAGTTGGAGGCTAAAACATCATTGGAATATGATCAAACTGGTTGATTTGGCCAGATTTTGGAGTACCAGATTTTTAGACAAAGCCGTAATTCAACAGAAGGTGATATCCCACCGCCGAATTTTCAGTTTCAGATTCTCACAGCGATTTGTTCTTCGCAGCGCTCATCTTCGCAGCTGTATCCTGGAGTTCTTTTGGACTTGCAATGGATACCCTCTGGTAAACTAACTTAACTATGGAAAATCACAATTTTTAATGGGTAAATCCACTAATAGCTATGTTAAATTACCAGAGGATATGTCCCGCTGGGGTTGGAGTGATGCAATGCACCAATCCTTTGTGGTCAGCACATGTCGCTGACATTGCTGGTGCCCATTTTTTCCCAAAGATCTCCTGTAGGTTTTGGTCCCCAAATCGATTTTTCTGGTTGAAACCCCATTTTGGCTATGGAACCGATCTTGTGGTTCAATCCCAATTTTTTCGGGCAGGATCCACATTTTGCAGTTTCCCAATTTTCCTGGCTCGATTTACATTTTGTCTGCCTCAACTCCATTTTCTTTGGCTTGACCCCCCATTTTTCGTTGATACACTCCTAATTCTCTTAAGGTGATCTCCACATCTTCACTAATGGAGGTTTCTAACAGGGTAGCCCTGTTCATCATTGTTCATCATTCAGCTATGATTTTGGGATTTGGATTTTCCTTCAAAAACCATCCAGCTATTTCTGAGTAGCCCGTCACCATGGGTTTCCCGCCATCCAGGGAAGACCTTGGAACATTGGGAACGACAGTGAAGACCTTGGTTCTCAGCGAGGGGTAGCGGCTGAAGGTTGATGGTTGATGGTTGATGGTTTAAGTTTATTCCCACAATATATGCATCCTCTGGTTCTGACTAACATAGCCATGGTATAGTAGTATAGATGGCTCATAGAAATATATATATATGGTTTACCGAACTTAAACATGGTGGATCTTTTCATGGCTATGTTAAATAACTAGATGGTATATAGATACACTGGAAAAAATCTGTAGATGGTGATTCTTGACACTTTCAAACGCTGATTTTTGACAGCTACACATGATACACTGGATTGGGGGGTTCAAGGATTATTGGGTGCTCTTTAGTTGCATTGTTTCCGTTTCCGCATCATCAAGGTGACCATTTGTTTTGGAGCATGGGACAAGTGAACTTGGTGATTTGGGAGGCATAGCCATGGAAGATGCTTGCTGGATTGCATCAGTTGTTTGAATCTGCATTTCTGCTTTAACATCAACCATTCGTTGGACATCCACATCAGTTGGCGCTTTTTTTCAGGCAGTTTTTGTTACGGCCGATTCTTTGCAAAGTGTTTCACCGCCACTTTAGGCCATGTGAATTTCTCATTTTTCGCCATGTGAAACTATGTGGAAAATCCCATGTTCTTGTCTGTGAAAATCGTGCAACATCCTACTACCCTCTGCTAATTTAACACATCACGATGAAACAACACCATGAAAATATCAGGTAAATCATCGAAATAAATGGGCCATGGATTCCAGTTCGCAAACTGTTGAAGTTCGGGAAAGTAGCCCATTCATATCCCACTAATAACCAATATCCCATTTGTATCCATTGACATCCCATTAGATCCTACAATTCTCGACTGGTCAACGGAATCAGGTTTCAACTGGCCTCGCTGCTGGCTGCCTCTGTGCCAACTAGATAGCTACGTTGTCGAAAAAAACTCGGAGGGGTGCGCTTGGTGGTTTGACCCTGGTGCAGTTCAACAAGTGGCCAAAGATAGAAGGGTTACATGATGGGGTATCATTGTATCCTGATTAGAGCCATGCATAACTCCAAGAACTCCAACTGCGCATTTAAGTAGTGTTTGAATAGCTTTGATACGACTGAGAGCAGTGGCTGGCTCATGGAAAGGACGATCTTGTATGGTCAATAGCGACACCATGTGTTCTTTATGTTCGGAAAACCATTGATTTCTTGGTCTTTAAGCAGCCTTGCAATTTATCGTAGACTTTTCTTCATCGACAATGATCACGGTGGATCATGGTGGATCCATTTCAAAGTCGCTCCTGGGTGTAGATTTCATTGCGCTGAGTTTGAGCTCAAGTGTTTATATAAACTTTGCAGTTCTTGGAAGCGACAATAAGTATCAATAACTCACGTAAGTTAATATACTTGCACTTGACCCAACAAGATTTTATGGCTAGATTGAGGGTATGTTATGGTATGTTTATAATCCTGACATGACACACCGACAACAATACCCTCGATCTAATCCCAACGCTGCACCTCGTGAAGATGATCAGAGCAAACACTGCCGCATTCGGAGGTTTGCATGTTTCCTTGAACATTAATTAATCACTTTATTTTCCTTTTTTGGCATCCTCAGGATGATTAGATAGCAGCAAATAATTTCGGGAATTAGTGGAAGTGGTTCAAAACGTTTTTTTTTTCTAGATAGTCGTATACCCAGAAGTTCATACCTTTAGAAGCGTCACCCTCGTGGCATGACGGGACTGGAGAATGTCGGCGTCCGCTCGAAGCGAAAGGAGAGGAAGCACTATGATGAACACCAGGACTATGTCGAGCTTGGTTCAACTTACTGGTGCGTTTTACGCAGGGAATTTTCGGGAATGATCCACTGGCTAACTATCAATAATCCCAGCAACCCCCAGCAACCCATCCAGCAACCATCTACCATCCGGATTCATCATGGGTTTCTACCAGCCATTGTTTTCAATGCTACTGGGGTTATCGGGTTCACCACATTAATACATATTATACATGCAAAAAATGTGTGGTATAGAAACGTTATCACTGATATAAGCCATCCAATCTGTGCTGGCCAGCAGGGTGCCGCTTTGCACATGCCTCCATAAACCTTGCTCCACCCAGCATGGCCCCGGGGTCCGAAAGGCATTGGAAGTTGCAAAGGTCAAGAATGTTGAGGGCAACCGAACAGCTATGATAATGACTTTTTAAGTGATTCCCTCCAGCTGAATGAATGGCTTCTGCTGAAGGAAGAATCATGATTCTGCAAGCTTCCAAAATGTTCCCGACAATTTTCAGAATCCTCATGGCCATGACCCATTGTCAATCTGCATCAATGTGCATGTATTAATATTGCACTGCATGTATAGATAATATATGATAATAGATACATGGACACATTATCTGGTTGGTGGTTTGGAACATTTTTTATTTCCATTTCATATATGGGTTGTCATCCTTCCCATTGACTTTCATATTTTTCAGAGGGGTTGAAACCACCAACCAGCTATAATCTATGAATAGTATTATGATAGTATCCTATATACACATATACTATCATATACTATGTGAAGATAATATACACATATACTATGATAATATTATATAGCTGGGGATATAATCTATGTGAAGAATTCTGTAGATATCCCCAGCTATGCTCCCGACCTCCCCCCGAGGACACCCGCTGCATTTGGGAAGCCTTTGGCACTCCGTCGCGCTCGCCGTCCCCGACGGCGTCACGGCCATCTTCGCCGGCGGGAGCAGCGGGCCGAGTGCTGAACGCAGGTGGGCCGTGGAGGGCCTTAGAGTTTGCGAACGGGACAGGGTACCCTCTGGTAAACTAACATTTTTCTATGGAAAATCACCATTTTCAATGGGAAAATCCACTATAAATGACAATTTTCAATAGCTATGTTAAATTACCAGAGGGTAGATGCCAAGCCTTTTTCAGTGGAACATGGGGGTCATTTCAGGAAAACAATTCATTTCTTGTTCTGAAAATGGATGATAAACATTGATAAACCAGTTTCTGAAGGGTTGGAATTGGGGGTAGCCCATTTTTAGGTACCCATGAAATGTGTTTTCAAGAGCGCCGCATTTGCCATCTGAGCAGAGTCAGAGTCGCAGCATTCATTTGGTGCATTAAACAGTTGATAAATATACAATTATAGTATAATATAAATATATAGTATTATACTATTAATATAGAATATATATTTATATATATATATTATATATAATATGCAAACAAGAGGCAGATCAATTTGAGACGCTGGTTTTTCCATTCTCCAGCATTCCAAACCACCGGTTTAAGCCTCCGCGGCGCGAGGCTTTTACGAGTTGCACGAAGGCGGACGACGGGCGCACGGCTCGTACGCCCACAAGGATCGTCAGGTGCAACATCCCGGACACAGAAGGGGAATTTTTTCTATTCAGTCAGGAATGTCGCAAAATCATCACTAATCATCACTGATCATCAATGATCATCACTGATCATCAATAATCCTCACTACTCATCAATGATCATCACTGATCATCAATCATCTATATAATATCTACCTTTTTGGTCATCTAACGCTACGAAGAATCAACCGTTTTCACAGCATCTTCGCCTCCAGGTCCCGGCGCTGGGGACCCAGGTGTGGCAATGCATCGTGCAGGCGGTTTCTGGCTGAACATTAGGGATTTTACCAGCAATTTCTGGCTGAAATCACCCCCTATTGATAGCAGGGAAAATGATGAAACATGGATGAACATTGATGATTAGTGATGATTAGTGAGGATTATTGATGATCATTGATTTTTTCAAATTATGCAATCAGATTGGTGCATCATTCTAAGAGTAGGAACATCATGAGAAAATTTGGGAGGTGCTGCAAATTTGCCGTTGGGATATGGGATATCAGTCAAGTCGGGCGCCAACGGACCCACTGTCTTTATAGGGGCCAGCTTGTCGCTGGCCCCATTTTCTGGGCTCCCAAAGATGAAGATCGGGACGTGATGGTTGTCTTTTTGGGGGCTGAGAGTGCCATTTAAGCCAAGGGAACTATGTATTTCAAATACAGTACAACGATGATTGACACAGTTGCATCAACACCTGTTCAGATGGGTAAGCAGATTGGTCAGCCTATCACTCGCGGACCAAGGGATTGTCCCCAAGGGGGGCTGCAGTATTTATCCGAGATGAGCAATTATTAATTTTTGGAAATATGATTTTAATTCTTTAGTATTTGAAGGCATCAGGCAATGCAGCACAACATCAGATCATGCAGTGATATTATTGCAAGCGATATGTTGATTATTACACATATATTAGCCTTGGAGAAGAACTGGTGCTTTATGCAGTCAATTATTCTTTAATTACATGGTACTTTCTCCACATTATATTTTGTTTTACCTTTAAATAGCTTTAAATCTCCATTTTCTATAGCAAACTGGTACTTTATTGTGAGGTACTATAGAGAGTACTTCATGGTATTTCCTATAGATTCCTATAGATGATACCACAAGTAAGATGGTATGTACTTTCAATGTACTTCACAGAGTAATATGATACCAATTTGGTACATATTTTCTATAGCTTTCATGGTATTTCACGATTTCATCCGCACTTCTTACTTGTGCAAAACGTAGGGAATGAGGGAATGATCCACAATAACTATCAATAGTAATCCTATTCCCCCAGCAACCCATCCATTTCCTACTAAGCACCAGTAAGACTTGTCCAAGACTTCTCCACTCGGCGAAGGCCAGGAGCGTTTCTCCGCAGGACAGGGATGGGTGACCGGTGACCCTGGTGGACGTCAAGGACTTGACGGGTGAGACATGGCCGTCTTGGTTCATTTTTGATGGGTATATATATATATATATGTACATACTATATATATATACACATATACACTATATATGTATATATGTACATATATATATATTGTGAATGTGCTCATTTCAGTTGCTGCTTTTCCTTGTAAATCTCCGGGATCCATGCATGTTCCAGAAGGGGAGCTCCAACCATAACATGTTCCATGAAAGGGATTTTGGCTCGGAGAGCCTTGGAGACAGCGGTGGGTGGGCAATTCACCTTGAGCGCCATTTTGGAGGCTACGATTTGGCTGGGGCACAGCCTAGGTTGCTGCGTGGACGCAGATCGAGCTTTGGTGGATAAAAGAAGCTGTGAGGCGGCAGCTTGGAGGTGATAGGAAAGGAAACCAGTGATTCCCCAGGTGGCGCTACCCAATTCATATTGGTAGCGGAGCCCCTGGCGGAAAGTTGCCAGGGGCATCCAGGAGGCTACCTTTGGTGTGAGGTCTAGAGACTGCTGCAAGCGAAGTGATTGCAAAGGTTTTCTGAAAACATGCCTTCAGGTAGTGACGGATCAGTCGGAACGGAACAGGCCACCACAGGCATTTCAAGCCAACTCGCCTTCCTGGTTCCGACGTTTGATCCAAGCAAAGATGACATGCAGGTATATCAGCAGAAAGTACAATTGGTTTTCTCGGTTTGGCCACCGTCAAAGATCTCAGAACTGATCACAAGACTCATCCTGAACACGACAGGGTCGGCATTCGCAAAACTGCAATTACATCAGGAAGAGTTATGTGTCAATGATGAGAAGGGAATCAAGTTGTTCATTGAACTGCTTGGTGGCCATTGGGGACAAATTGGACTGGAGCGTCGATATGCTGACGCAGAAAAAGCCCTTTTTCAATGCAGTCAACAAGGAGATGAAACTCACGACAGCTACTTAGCCCGAGCTGACATTCTTTGGACTCGTTTGTTGTCTCAGAAGATGAAACTGGAAGATCTACAAGCGTATGTAACCTTGAGGGGTTCCCAATTGTCGGCAGAAGAGAAAAAGCGCGTGATCATCGACAGTGACAATTCATTGGAAGGTAAGCTCACAATGTCAAAAGTCCGTGAATCAGTCCGAATGCTGGGTGCTTCATTTTTTCAGGAGATGACAGGTGTGAACAAGAAAACTCAAAAGGCAAAGGTCTATGATCAATCTGCCATGGTCCTAGAGGATTCTGAGAATCACCCAGAGAATGAAGATTTTGCACAGGTGACACATCACGAGGACTGGGCTGAAGATGATTTCATCGATGGCCTAGTACACGAAGGTGATGAGGATGCAGTGTTTGTGACTGATTTTGAAACAGCAGCTACGGATGTCATTCAGTCAGATGAAGATTTGGCATCAGCCTACTCTACATATGTTGAGGCGAGAAGAAAACTGAGTGAAAAATACCGTGCCAGAGGTTTTTGGCCTGTGAGCAAAGGGAAAGGTAAAGGTTTCAAAGGGAAAGGCAAAGGAAAGTTCCAATGGGGCAACAAAAAGACCCTGCAGCAACGGATCTTAGAGAGCAATTGTCGTTTGTGCGGGAAAAAAGGACACTGGAAAAGCGAGTGTCCAAACAGAGGTCAGTCATCCAGCCATGCCTCATCCGCTCCAGTGACGTTGTCAATGGCCAGCGCAAGCCAGAGATCCGAAGATGCCATGTCTGCAGAGTTTTTTATGCTGCCGGAAGTCCATTTGCCGAGTCAGGACCCACCGCAAACTCCCGAGATGTGTTTTGTACAGTCAGTTTTTTTCAATAATGATGTTCAAAAGCATGCGCATCCGAAGTCAAGCCACAGCATGAGTGAAACCAGGGTAAGAATTAGGAACCATATTATGGGTAATAAGGGGCATAATTCAATGGTTGCAGCACTCGTGAACAGGATTGAAGACCGGATGTCCAAGTCCAATGCCAGCCGATCGCCGAGTCGCCTTGCCGTGAGTGACAGTCGTATGCCTGGTAGGTGTAAAGAGAAGCCAGAATGTTCCCAGCGGCAGTCACATCAATGGGACTCAAAAGAAGTCCATGCACCAAAGGTGGCTGTGCCGATGAGCCCAACACCAAAGTCAAGCCAAGAGGATGCTGATGCGTTCTTCGCGTCTCACGACACATGGGGAATACTAGATACAGGTGCCACCAAAACTGTCATGGGTAGCAGTCACGTATCCAGTTTCCTGCAACATGTCGATCCGAGTATCCGCAAGCAAATCCAAAGATGCCCATGCGATGTTGTGTTTCGTTTTGGGAATCAAGGCACTCTGAAATCAGAACATGCCATGGTAGTCCCTGTGTGCGGCTTTCACCTGAAGATAGCAATCGTGCCAGGAACGACACCTTTTCTCATATCGAACACGCTACTGCGTGCTCTGGGGGCAATGGTTGACACAGGAAGAAACCAGCTGATTCTGCCACAGCATAATGCTGAAATTCCCTTGAAGTTGTCAGACAAGGGATTGTACCTCATTGACATGAACATGTTGCTGAAAGTCCAGCCGCAGCCCCTGGAACAATCCCAGATCGCAGAGACTTTTGCACAAGAGAGTCAAGAAAAGAACACAGAAGTGCAAGACCAACCAAGCCAAATCAGAAGGGATGCCAAAGATGACATCAAGAAATCATCACCGTACACTCATTCTAACATAATCAAAGCCAGTGAAACACTCATGAAACATGTCATGACACAAAAAGGCCATGAAGAATTGAAAACACCAAGTGATTTCAGTCGCCTTCAAGTCAACAGAGATCCAAAGTCAAAAGCTATCAAAGGTGTGTCCCGTGAATCATCCAGTGCCAGATCAAACACGTTGAGTGAAATGCCTGAGCAGGGTTTGTCCGATCAAAGAGGGAATAAGTTTCAGCCAAACGTTTGCACCAGTCTTTCCCATGAGCGACTGGAACCGGAGATTGCAACGACTCCAGAAGGAGTTGCCTCCACCAGCACTGGAATCTCTGGAGCATCTCACCTTAGAGACCCTGAAGAACGAGAAGGTATCGTTTGGAAAAGCCCACAATGGCCGAACATTCGAGGAGGTATGGAATTCATTCCCGGAGTGGACCCGATGGTTCCTGAACCACTACGAGTTGAGTCGCAACCTCGAGCACCGAAAGATGATCAAATTCATCCAGATGAAAATCGAGAGCATGGAGTCAGGAGATCCGGCTCAACAAATGCCGAATCACCCTCGTCCAAAGCCAGCGCCCAAGTCGCTGACAGCCAAGTCCAAAGCCATGCCGATGCCAAGCCAGGTGTCCACCATGGAGACCAACATGCCGTGGATGGAGGACAATGTGGTGACTCAAAGGCTGGATCAGTTCCAGGAACGCATGTGCAATCTGGAAAATGCGCTTCATCAGATCCTCGTCCATTTGACGCCTCATGTGAACACCAGTGCACCCGAGACCATGGCGATGTCAACTATTCCAGCGGACTCCGAGATCGACGATCCCTGGAACACTCTCGAGGAGGAGGAGGACTACGTGAACAATTGAAGTCTTCCCCATCTGAAGATCGTAACTGGGTGTTACAAGCCGGTGAAATTGACAGTTTCTGCAGCAGTGACACAAACCAAGAACGGAATCGATTTTGGTACTTAGTTCAGAAGATTGAAAAGGAACTTGAACAGATACAGGAAAATACCACTCCCATGGGCAAAACATATGACCTGTTTGAAGTGTTTTGTGGTTCCGAGAGCAAGTTGACAGAACAAGTGCAAAATCTGAAAGGCCAATCCAAAAGATTTGGCCTCGACCAAGGTAACCTGCATACGACTGAGGGCCGGAGACATCTGTTTACAGAGGTCTGTCGACACAAGCCAAAGAACATATGGATGAGTCCTGTATGCAAACCCTGGTCACAATGGTCAAACCTGAATAGCCACCGATCCATTGAACTGTGGAACAAGATTCATGAAGCGAGATATGAGATGCTCATCCAAGTTGCCTTATGCCTGGTTTTGTGCCGACACCAGCATCGACATCAACGTCATGCACATTGGGAACAACCCCGAGGGTCTCATATGATGCTACTTCCATACTTGAATGAAATTTTCCAATACATGCTGTGTGCAAAGCCCGACATGTGTACTGCAGGAGATCTCAAGGATCCAGTCAATCAAAAGTTCATGAGAAAGAGCATGAACATCATGACGACATCCCAAAGGCTATATGATGTACTTCAGTACCATAAGTGTGAGGGTGACCACGTGCATCAATCAATCGAGGGGTCGACGTATGTGCATGGCCTGCGGGTTTTGCGGTCTCAGTTTTCTGAAGATTATCCACGGAAGTTTGCGAGACTGGTTGCCAAGACAGTCATGAAAGCAAAGTTCCCCATCGATAAACCGGTGGGCACATTGGCCGATCCAATTTTAGTTGCATTCGATGTTTGGAGTTCAATCAGTCAAGCCAATGCCGTGAGTGATCGTCCTGCCAAGCGTCCGAAACTGTTCCAGCCACGTATAAGTAAAGCCTCTGCCGAAGACAGGTCACTCGACAAGACACCCGTGTCAAAAAGACTCAGGTTGAAACCACCTGAGGGAGACAAAGAGACACCAAACAAACTAACGGAAACAGATTCAAGAATCAGTGAAATCGTGTCCATGATTGAGAGTCAACTTCCTAGAGTTGGAAAGAAGTCCATCACACAACCCAAAGTTCTCCAGTTGTTACAAGAGGTCATGCCGGAGAAAATCATTCATGGGGTTCTAGCATGCAAGGGAACCGAGAGGACCATGGCACCCCCAGATAATATAAGTCCTAAAGAGGCCCCTTTCAGACGAGCCATCATGAAGCTTCGGAGCACTGGAAAAATCATCATGGATGAATGGGAAAAGTATGATGAACTTGCAAAACGTAAGGTAATCCGCAAATCCAAACCTTGCCGAGTGAATATCACTGTTTTTGCGGCCAATCCTGTAGCACATGCACCCAGAAGTGAATCCGTGCCCACGAGCGAAGGAGAGCCGGCCTCAGGTTCCCGGATGGAACCACCAGCTAATCCTGAGGAATCACCAAGAACTCCCAGAACAGATGATCATGCATACGAACCGATGATTAAAGAGCCAATACCAGAGAACATTGACAATCACAATTCTGTGAGTTCCAAGAGTGACCCTACAATCCCGCTGGGAGAAACCAAGCCACCTGTCACCGGAAACAGGTTCATGGCTCTCAATCGTGAGGAGCAAGCAATGTTGCGCCGGGCACATCAGAATTTGTGCCATCCAAGCCCAGAACAACTGAGTGCAGTTTTGCGTGCACAAGGAGTGAGACCAGAAGTGTCTCAGGCGGTGTTCGACCTGAAATGCCCGACATGTGCAGCTCATCAGAAACCCAAGGTCGCAAGACCTAGCACGTTGAAATCAGAACTTGACTTCAATGACAAGATTTTCATTGATGGAATCACTTGGACAAACAAAGCCGGGAAGAGTTTTCATTTTTATCACTTGATCGATCAAGCCACCAACTATCATGTAGCACTGCCTGCACCATGCCGAGCCGCGGAGCAAGCTGTACAGTGTGTCCTGGAAGGATGGTTCCAATGGGCAGGTCCACCGAACACCATGGTGACAGATGCCGCCACCGAATTCACAAGTGAATTGTTCAACAATTTCCTTCAAAGATATGATGTTAAAGGAATCACCACAGCACCACATGCACACTGGCAAAACGGAAGGTGTGAGAGACATGGACAAATCCTACAAAGTATGTTGGATAAGATTGATCATGACATGCCCATTCAAACCTACACAGAGCTACATCAAGCCCTAGCACAAAGCACTCATGCCAAAAACACCCTGAGCATTCGCAAGGGGTATTCGCCCCAGATTCTGGTGTTCGGAAAGAGCTCCCGAGTTCCTGGGTCGGTTGTGAGCTGTGAGACAGAAGCGTCCATGGCCAGTGCAGACCGAGAAGATGCACATGGAATCAGCTTCCGCAAAAGTCTAGAGCTTCGCGAGAGAGCCAGGGTTGCTTTTCACAGGGCTGACAATGATATGGCCTTAAGAAGGGCATGTTTGCGAAGAACCAGACCAGATCGTGATGCATATCTCCCAGGAGAGTGGGTAATGATGTGGCAGCCTTCCAAAGAGAATGGATATTGGTTTGGACCCCTGAAAGTAGTAACCCAAGAGGATCAAAATTCAGTGTGGGCAACGCAAGGTGGAAAGATCTACCGACGCGCCCTCGAGCATGTCCGGCCAGTTTGCTCCACCGAGGCAAGTCAAATTCCGACTGAAGAAGAAACGTCATCCTGTCCAGAAACCACTCAAAGGACCACCATGTCAAGTAACCTCATACCAGAGAATACCAATAACATCAATAACCCTAACGGTCCCATAAGAATTGAAGTCAACGACAATGACAATAATAATATTCCCGACAACCCCAGTGAGAGAGAGAGAGCCAATCCCAAGATCAGCCAGATCTTGAACCTGAAGTGAGCACTCCAACAGAGCAATCGATGCCATTGGAAATGACCGATCCTGCAGTAGAAACACCAGTTCCAGAACCTTCAGCGGATGATGACCTGGTCACGACTCACCTCCTATGTTGCGAAGACGACATATTCATGGTAGATCCTCTGGAAACACCCTGTGCGTGGCGATGTGAACTCGAGGTTCCAGGCTGGATGAAAAATGAGAATTTTGGTCAATGGTCACCAGATGAAATTTTGCTAGCAACGACCGAGAAGAAACAAAGAACTGAGGTGAAACTCACCACGTTAAATACCGAAGAACAAAAGGCCTTTGCAGAAGCCAAAAATGCAGAAATCCAAAACTGGTTGAAGACTGAGACAGTGTCCAAAATGCTCCGATCCAAACTAGCTCCAGAACAGATCCTAAGATGCCGTTGGATTTTGACATGGAAACCCAGAGAGGACCTGAAACAAAAGGAGACATCCAAGATCCAATCCAAACTCCAAACACACAAACCAAAAGCCCGGTTGGTGGTCTTGGGATACATGGATCCTCAAATAACTGAAGTACCACGTGACAGTCCAACCCTGGGAAAACAATCAAAAATGATAATACTGCAGTTGATTTCATCAATGGGCTGGAGTTTGGGTCATTTGATATCAAGGCAGCGTTCCTCCAAGGAAAGCCGCAAAGCGACAGAATCATTGGCCTGGAACCGGTAGTAGAGTTGGCAAAAGCTCTGAACCTCAAGAGTCATGAAGTGTGCCGCCTGGACAAGTCAGCCTATGGCCTGATAGATGCACCGTTCCTGTGGTTCCAGACCTTGAGTGAAGAACTGCTAAAGTTGGGGTTCACGGCATGTCCATTTGATCCATGTGTTTTTATTCTCAGAAAACCCCAAAGTCAAGAACTTGCTGGTATTCTCGGAATACATGTGGACGATGGAATCTATGGGGGAAACCAATTTTTTCATCAGCAGATTGCCAAACTTGAAGCCAAATATCCTTTTGGGTCCAAAAAGTCTCGAAATTTTACGTTCACCGGAATTGACCTTCAACAAAACACTGATAACAGCATTGAACTATCACAATCAACATATGTGAAAAATATCAATCCAATTTCCATGAAGCCAGAACGCAGAGCCCAAGAGAATGCCAATGTGACTGAGGAAGAAAGACACCTGTTAAGAGGCCTAATAGGTTCTTTGCAATATGCAGCTGTACATACCCGACCTGATCTCACGAGTGCACTCAGCCAATTACAATCACAAATAAATAACGCAACCATTTCCACTTTGATCATGGCCAACAAGACCCTTCACACAGCCAAGAAACACAGTGACGTGAACATAAAAATAAATCCCATCAAACCTGAGGACTTGAGATTCATTGCGTTTTCCGATGCATCATTTGCATCCAAAGTGAAACCAGAGTCATATGCCGGGATGATCATCCTCGCGACTCACAAAGAAATCGCCCAAAACAAATCCTGTGTAATCAGTCCAATTTCATGGGGAACCAAGAAAATCCAGCGAGTTGTGACAAGCACGCTCTCCGCCGAGACATCCGCTTTGTCAACCACCCTGGATCAGCTGACATGGGTACGTGTATATTGGGGTTGGCTTCTCAATCCAAAGATACCATGGCAAAAGCCAGAAACTATCCAATCACTACCTGAGGCAGTGACAGTTCCCACGATTAAGATTGAAGAAAAGGATTTAGCCATTACTGATTGCAAAAGTCTTTATGACCTGACAACCCGAACAGCAGTCCCTAATTGCCAGGAATTCCGAACCCAATTGCTTGCCAGATCGATCAAGGATGTGTTGTCAGAGGGGATCAAACTTCATTGGGTACATAGTGGAGCTCAGTTGGCCGATGCACTGACTAAAGTCATGGAGGCACAGTTCTTACGTGAAACTTTACGTCAAGGGCGTTACTGTCTTCACGACATCCATGAAGTCCTCAAAAACCGAGCATCCGCTCGCAACAGAATGAAATGGCTCAAAACCACAAATGATGAAATGAGCATCAAGCCATAAAAATTTTTAATTGTTGGGAATGTGAATGTGCTCATTTCAGTTGCTGCTTTTCCTTGTAAATCTCCGGGATCCATGCATGTTCCAGAAGGGGAGCACCAACCATAACATGTTCCATGAAAGGGATTTTGGCTCGGAGAGCCTTGGAGACAGCGGTGGGTGGGCAATTCACCTTGAGCGCCATTTTGGAGGCTACGATTTGGCTGGGGCACAGCCTAGGTTGCTGCGTGGACGCAGATCGAGCTTTGGTGGATAAAAGAAGCTGTGAGGCGGCAGCTTGGAGGTGATAGGAAAGGAAACCAGTGATTCCCCAGGTGGCGCTACCCAATTCATAATATATATATATATGTATATACAATGGATATATCATGAGAATATAGTGGGTATACATACCATTCATATGGTTTTGACACCAATTGATTGAAAAAGTCGCAAACCCAAACGATGAAAAACCATCCGAATTGGGCTTATTTTTTGGTATACCCGTATCACTGGGATGTTTTTTTTTGTTTTATTAGACATAATATTTTCTTATGACCCCCAAATGGTTGGTTAATGTGATAGTTGATTTTATTGGGTTTACCACATTCGTCCATTTTAATGATCTCTTAATAGAGTACCCCATTCCATCCGCTGATCAATCATCATTATCCCTAATATTTGATGGCTGTAAATGGGGCGTTTGCCCCATTTTCAGACGTCATTTTCTTCAAAGGGATTTCACCAAGCTTGGAATCAATCTCTTCAAATTCCAAACATTTTTCAAATGGATTATGTTTATATTTTGTAAGGGACTTGAATTAACCCTCCAACAATCAAACGTGGCTTGCTGGAAAATCCCCTATTTCTAGCTAATTGTCCCATCCTTATCCCGTTATTATATATCACCATTACGATTCCATAAATATTCCATCATGGTTATATTCCCAAATTATTTGCTGGCTCTCAGGAAGCCCGTGGTGGCTGTGGTGGGGTCCCGAGTTGCGGCGATCGGATGGAACTGGCACTGTTGCATCATGGAACTTGCGATATGTAAACGAGTGGATTTTCCTTATGTAGGTTATATACAATATATATATATACATTGATTATATTATATATAGATGTTTTATATATGATACTCAATATATATATATATATATTTCCAGTGAATATAGGTTATACAGTTCTACCCTCTATCGTTATATAACTTGCTTGGGTTTGTCCAAAAAGGGGGAAGTCACACCAATTCAGTGCTAGTCCAGTGATCAATCACCACTTTCCCTGTGAATCGATGGCCACTTGGGTGCGAATAGCATTTCTTGGGGGTTTCCTAAAATATGGGTACCCCAAAATCATCCAAGTCATTGGACCAGTTTTAGTATTGAAAGCCATGGTGACTTGGATAGTTTTGGGGTACCTCCATTTTAGGACACCTCCATTTGTGAAGATAAGGGATCCCCAAGAATTCCTGTCCAGCGACAATGGCATATTCCCCAACATCACCTCACTGGGAGAGAACACCTGGCTATGGTATCCCAAAATGGCTGTTTTGAAGAAAACCGCTACTAATTTTAGGGAAGCAATTGGCTATTAAGCCATCCCATGTCAGTTTTCTTTGAAATTACCGCAATCAACCATGGCAACGGAAAATCCGGCATAGATGATTTCCCCAGCTCACAAAATCCTTATGCCGGGGATTTTCGTTTTTTTTTACCGGAGCGCAACCCTGACCAGCATCCGCCAGATCTATCGACGGAGTATGGCTTCCAACGCCGCAAGCCGAAAGTGCCGGCTTCGGCAGGCGGGCCTGTCCATGTGGATCCCAGGACAGGCAACACTGGTGCTTCCGAATGATTTCAAACATATTTGGCGGTTTGGCGGTTTGTTTTTTTTACATTCCCCAAAAGGTGCAGAAGTACATGTATCACACATATCTATATATATAATATTATACATATATATATATAATATATATATATAATATATATATATAATATATATATATATTCTACATATACCATATATGACATATATATATAGATATATATATATTATGTTATATAATTTATGTGAAACCATCAAAGCCCCGTGGCGCCGATCCATCCCCTCAGCGCCGAGGCCAACAGAGTTCCATTCTCCTCCAGTGGTCGGAGCTACCGATCGACGCTGACCCCGTGGCGCACGGCAAAAGTCACGTGGGACACTTCGGGCAGGAGCCGTTGGGACTGGGCAATGGAAGGGTTATTTGGGTATGGATCAATACCATTCAATACATATGAAAATACCATTTTTAGGGGGATGAACATCCATAAATCCCAGCTATTTTGATGTGAACTACAGGGGTACAAGGTTTTGACACACTGCCATTTCTTAAAGGACTGGTTCTGAAGCTTATTCTGGTCAACAAAAGTCAAACACTTAAATAATTTTTGAGAGAATGGGATTCGATACAAGAAAAACAACATACCTGGAGATTGGGATGAGACTATTGAGAAAATGTCAACAATAATAGGGGCATCTTAGGGGTCAAGAGCGATGGGAGCCGACCAATGAAACATAGGGGACCTCACCAATCGAGAAATGGCAAGATAAGTATGGGAAGGATATGTGACCTGGTTTAAGCGCTGCAAAGTCTGAGTTCCTGCATTGCTTATTCCCAATCATCACAAGAGGAATTGAATCCGCATCTAAATTTTGAGGGACCTAATTGGTCTGGAGTGAAGTTCCATAGCTGTGTTTGATCAGACGTGGGCACAAGACATTGAATGAACAGCAACAGTCTGATGAGAAAAAGCAGTCACTACCTGGAGAGATGAGCAGAGTTGTTTTGGTGTGTCCATGGCAGATTTTGGATGTCCAAACATTTTTGGAAGAGTTTGTTGAAAATCCTATCCATTCTGACGACAGCTACTCTGCCAGGCTCACTAGCTGTCATCCTGGTACAAAGGTTTGGTATCGCCCTACGAGCCATGAAAAAGATACAGCCGTTCTTTGCTTGTTACAATGGGCGAAGAACATCTTGGTTCCATGCGGGTTGTTGTAACTCATGATAGGGATAACTCTGATAACTCTTAACTAACGTGTGTAATGCGAGAAGCAGGCAGTCGTTTTTTTTTTTTTTTTCATTTTTTTTCATATTTATCATGGCTCCATCAACAATTGCCGCCTTCCGAAAAAAAAACACAGGACTCGCAGCAGACGTTGGACTGTTTGCAGATGAAGCGGTGCGGAGGTGTCGAAAAAGGGCTCACATTTGGGGTATCTGGTACTGACGACGCCTACTAGTCCACCAATCTATTCAACAGTATGAGTTTTTTCATGTTTTTTGCCATTTGAGTTGTACATATTTATTGGTTATTTAAAGCAATTTATTTCAAAATTCTGTTATATTATGTTGCAAACTGGTTCAAATGTTAAATACAATATGTTGTTTTCAATATGTTTTGATAGATTTAATATATGTGCCGTTTAAGATCTAGTATATTTAATATATATATATATGCTATTTAAGATATAAGAGGTATAATATAATATATATACACACTAAATTACTATATGAACACATTTTTTATTATTATTATACCACATTAAATATAGAGATATATCAAATCATTTAATGTACATAATATAATATATATATGTATAATTTTCAATATATATAGTTTACGTATATATTATATATCAGATACGTTGAATCATATATATATATATACACATGATATATACACTATAGTATAGACGTGAAATATTTTAAGCTACTTATAACATATATATAGACATACATTCTATAATGATATAGTGTAATACATGTTTAACATAATATATATATACATCATATATTAGATACTACTTATATTAGATATGATATATATCTTATGATGTGCATATGTATTTTAGGCATTAGATAATATGTTAGAAATTATATATACTATCTAAAAGAGATATCAGTCATATTAGATATTATAGATAATATATATATATACACACACTATATATAGATTGTAGAGATATATCAGAACCCATTGGAGATGTCTTGTTTGCAACCCCCATGAAAATTAGAAAAACACACCCCAGACTAGTGGCAAATTTAACGCGTCACCGGCAGGATACACCAAGAGTCCCAGGACGAATGCAGCTCGCTGCGGGGAGTGCCCTATCGTTTCGATTGATTCGAATGGTGTCACTCTCGATTCTCCAAAAACAAAATGGCGGATAAGTGGAATCTCTATTATGAATATTGAAAACACATGTTTGAATATTGGTATACACCATTGGAATATACACATTTTGTTAATATCAATATTATTTTATATGAATATTGAAAAACACATGTACAATCACACATTTGACAAAAAATCAATGGCGCGATTCCGGCTCCAAATGAGCTTCGTTTGTTGATCCACCAGGAGTGCTACCAGTCCAGTCCCCGACTCCAGTTCCTTGGTGATTGAAGAAATGGGGCCCTGGAGAGTTTGGCGTTACCCTCTGGTAATTTGTTATATAGCAAACTGGAAAATCACCATGTTTAAGAGGTAAAGAACAACTATTTCGACTGGGCCATTTGAAAAAATAGCTTTATATGTATGTTTACCAGAGGGTACTCATTTTAGCAAAAGCCATCCCCTTCCTGATAACCATTTCAGTGACCCAACACCTGTCAAGCCGCGCCGAGGCAGGGTGAACGTGGAGGCACTGAGGGTCTGATTTCAGGGTGCTTCACTCATCACAAAGGCCTGATTTCAGGGTGACCTGTCACCAGATGTTGCCACTCTGATGTCATGTCACCACCATGTAGCCACAGATTCCAGTTGATTCTTGGATGTAGATACTGTACTATTTGTAAATAAACACCCCAAAAAATATATTTATACACATTAAATAGATATTGTAAATAAATAAGTAAGTCAATAAATAGATAAATAACTAAATACATCATAAAGCAATTAAATAAATGAATATATATATATATATATCGATAGATTGATTGCAAGCATTGGATGTCAAGTGCAGGACATGCGTCCTCCTGTGTTATGTCAAGAGGAGGCCTTGGGGGGCGTGGGTGAAATGGGCCAGGCTAAGTCATTTTGGATGGTCGAATGGTCAAAAAACATAGGAGAGATTATGTCTGGGGATACAGTGAACCTACAGGATGAATCATTTTTTTCATCTCTATCTAGTTGGCTTCAAATATTTTTCACGATGATATAGTTGATATTCAAACATTTCTTTTTTGGGAACCAGCAAACATATGTCTGATTGGTGGTTTGGAACATGAATTTTATTTGTCCATTTAATTGGGAATAATCATCCCAACTGGCTATTTTTTTCCATATTCACCACATATTAACCACCACATATAATAACCATATATTAACCATTTAATTGGGACTGTCATCATCCCAACTGACTTTAACTCCAGAGGGGCTCAACGGCTCAAGCACCAACCAGGTCCGAGCCGGTATGGCTCGCCGCGGGGGACGAGGCTCAGCCTGCGCAATTTCGCGCAAGATGGGTGTGGTGAAGTGGTAGAACTGGGAAAAAACCATTGCAGATGGGGACAGATCTGTCTTCTCAAGAATTTTACTTTCTTTTTTTTGCAGTGGTACAGTATTTGATCGAAGATTGGCCATGATTCATGATTGATGTCAACAGAAAATTGCACTTTAATGAAGAAACATAGAGATTTGATTGGTAAAATTTGGGATCTAAATTAGTCTAAGTAAGGGATAACCACAGGGATCTGACAGCTGAGCAAAAAGGGGAGCCTTAGATCCCATATGTGCCATGGTCAAAGTTGGACTACATACCGATATTGGTGGATGGTCTTATCACTTACTGTATCACCATAAAAAACGGGAATGATCGTGACCACTATAAGGATTCATAGCAATGGTGGGATAGCCATTGTCGATTTATATCCATTTATCATTAATTGTTGGTTACCCTCTGGTAAACGTTTACATAGCTATTGAAAATGGCAATTTATAGTGAGTTTTCCCATTAATAGCATGGTGGATCTTTCCATAGCTATGTAAACGTTTACCAGGCTGGGTATATACCCATTGTATTCCTATCCCTATCGCTTGTTGCTAAAATCCCAGCTCTGAATGGCACATGGGGGTATCCTCCCAGCTCTGCCGCAAACTCCGAACCACAGTTCGAAGCACATCTCATGAACAGTTGGATGCAGAATAAGTGTGTAATTGCATATCATATTATATATATAATGCATATCAGCTACAGATGTGCATACATGGAGGAAAACACCAACACCAACACCAGCAGCAACAACAACAACAACAACAACACCAACAACAACGTCACCACGACGTCGCTAGAAATGATGGTTTTGAGGAAATGGGACACTCTCCCAATGGTGGATTGATCAATCAAGGTGATTAGTTTAGGCCAAACCATGTTTCCAAAGTTCCTATGACTTATGATATGAATATTTGAAAGAAAAACATGTTTCAATAGAAACACATGTTTCTATACTGTACTTAAGTGATCTTCAGTGTACTTTCCCATAAAAAATGATGCTTCTCAGCATCTCTGGACCGGGCGTTACGAGCGTCACAGGTCTGCGCGCGACCTTGCCGAACCAGACCTTGAGGCCAGAGTCCCTAAAAAATGGGGGAACCCTGCGAAACCAATCAGAAGGGGGATATGTAATGTTTATATATGATTTTACATGTATGTATAGTGGGATGTAGTGGGATGTAGTGGGATGTAGTGGGATATATATATATATATGTATATATACATATATACATATACATCTACTGTATATGGCGGGATATTGTCATGGGATGAGATGGGATAGAATGGGGAATACAGTCGGATATGCGGCCGACAACATCATATACACTGGAGAGAAAATGGACGTATATGTTTATATAGCTCAATACTGCGGATTAGGATTTGTGGCGAAATCGGGGATCTTGACCATTTTCGGGCCATCAAATAACGGGGCATATGATGTTCTAAACAGGGGACTTGGCTCTTGCATCAACTGAGTTTCTGAGCCGAGGGAATGGGGCCTCTAGACATTCCCAAAGCCAAAGGATGGTGATGTTTGGAGGGAATCATTCCATGGACAGCAAAGAAATTTCAGGTCTGTAACGCTAAAATCCATGGATTTTCCATCGCCCATCTACCAGGACCCCTGAATGATGTGGCTTTGTCTGAAAATATACTAGCCCATTCCATCCATTGGGTTAATCCAATGGTTAAAATCCTCACTGTCCCAGTGAAACTGCCAGAAATTGGGGCTCAATTCCCCATTTTCAGGTACCAACCGCATTTCTTTACAGTGATGACATCCGCAGGTCCTGTCAAACCAGCCCAAGAGATGGTCCGCTCTACGCATCTCGGCCATGGGTTAAAAAAAATGGCGACCCCCAATTTTTGGGGTACCAACGGTTGATATCCATTAATATCCATTAATATCCCATTTCCAATCCTAGAATGGTGTTGATACATCGATTTCCATAACATACTAATTGTGTGTTGGTTGGATGTCTTTTTCGCTGTTGAAACTGATCAACTTTGGGGGGGTTCTGTTTTACAGAGGCGAGAGGAGCTGTTGTGCCGATCATAATGGCTGACATAGCTATTGAACATGGTCATAGAAATAGTGAATTTTCCCATGAAACATGGTGATTTCCCATAGTTATGTGACAGTTTACCAGAGGGTATCATGATCTCAAAAGATGAGGCATTTATTTTAAACATGTTTCTCATCCAGAACCATCCCGTCATGGAAGTGCCAGCCCTTCCCAGTTCGGTTCCCCACAGGATGATCTCCGAGTCGAGAAGCACTTACCCAGTCGAGGTGGGAAGAAGGTCTGGATCCCAGGGATCGACTAAGTCGTCTTGGTGAAGGGTTTTTGTGGATGTTTATGGAGGATATACCCTCTGGTAATGGCTGACATAGCTATTGAAAATGGCCATAGAAATAGTGGATTTACCCATTAATCATGGTGATTTTCAATAGCTACGTTAAATTACCAGAGGGTAACATGATATGGATCAATACCTATGAAAATACCATTTTTAGGGGGATGAACATCCATTTTAACCCAGCTATTTTGATGTGAACAGAAGGGGGATAGGGTTTTGACCCATCCCCATATAGTTATACTAACTATGGTTAAGGGGATTTATAAACCCACTTCAAATCTGGGGGAGCCCACCCTGTACCTTTGGTACGGGTCATGGCTTCGGGCCATCCTTTGTGTGTCACTGTTGCCGGTGTCCTGGCTTTAGCTTTAACAAGCCACAACGCAACCCCGGAAAGATACAACAGTTCCATACAGTTCCTATGGAAATCCTATGGAAATGATATGATTTTTGTATCATTTTTGTATTTTTGGAGGTTCCTCTAATGTATCACTCAAATTCTCCATAGTGTCAACCCTGGACATACCTGGATTGTGGTTTAGTAGTGGGTTACTCCAAAGTGGTGAAGATCTGCTACTAAAACGGCACCCTCAACTCAAATAGACAGCGCATGGGTTTATCAATCCGGAGTCGATGCCCAAAGATGCCTCAAGCAGCCCAGATTTCCGCTTGCACCACTTGACTGCAAAGCTTTTGGCAGCCAAAAAAAGGGGTATTTGTGAGAAGATTCCACTGGATCAGCCCATCACTGGATTTGTGGGGTCTCTATCTGTGCCCCTGATTCTGGCCCGAACCCCCCCAATTCTTCACTATGGCAGATCAGCCAAGATGTTTCAAGACATTCCGCCATGGTTTCACTGTCGGGAGCTGGGGGAATTCACCAAGGCATTTGAGAACGACTAGTCCAAAGCGCACTCACTTTTTCCTTTCATCTGCAATCCACCCATTTTGGGGGGCAACATCCACAGCAGATCGTAGCATATCACAGCCATTGGTCGAAGCTCCACGTGATACGTGGCCGTGCCCATGCAGCTTGCCGCCCCTTCCACATCGTCGGGCCTTGCGCTGCCGCGGACGCTGGAACGCGGGAAGACGCGACAGGTGCAACCAAGAACCATCATGGTGAAGTCTTGGAGCTATGGCGAATGAGGATACAATAAATTATTACAGAAACAATATAACATAAATAACAATGATAGTATATATACATATATACATACACATAATATATATATATATACACATCATATATATATAACTAGATAATATATTGTATGATATACATATATATGTATATTATATATGATTGTATATGTCATATACATATATATATATATACATACACATATACACACTGGACTACCACCCGTGAGTCTGATGTCCTCACACCACTCTTGGGTTCATGCAACTATTTTTCGTCGCCACATTCGGTATGGCGACCCCATAAAAGCCATAGCAATGGACACAACACATGGGCAATTTTTTAGTATGAAAAACCATCCATTTTTGGTGTTGATCATCCCCAAACGTTCAATCCATGATGAGTTTGCCAAGAGTTTTGAGTGATTTTGCCAACCGCCCAACATCCACAGCCGTCTCTGTCCAGCTAGGATGGCAGCTTCTCCCAGTCTCTGTCCAGGAGAATGCGGAAGTTGGTTGGAATGGATATGTCCAAAGATTACCCGCAGAATCTGAGGGTTTTTCCATGTTTTTTCAGAATAGCCTCTGGTTATGACTAACATAGCCATGGTATAGATGGCCCATAGAAATAGATGATGTTCCCAGCTATAAACCTCCATTTATTTACGGGATTTTCCATGGCTATGTTAGTCATAACCAGAGGGTAAATCATAAATCCCATGATTTTTGGTTCTTCAGATGGCCGCGGCTCCCCGTTGGGACCAACCGGGACCGGTTTAGAGCCGTACCATTGGGAGGACTGTGGCAGCAAGCCTGGCAGTCTGGAGGCTTTGGAGGGTTTGGGGGAATTTGGTGACACGAAAAACCCGGAAAAAGCCGTGATTTTGCCAGCAAGAAGTGGAATAATTCATCATTTCACCCAGAAAAAAACGGTAGAAATGGGAGAAATTCAGGAAACACTATGGGTCTTGCAAAGGGTGGGACATGGAATCACATGAAGTACACGAGAAGTCTTCCAAAAAGGTCATTTTTAGGTCCATGGCAGGTCTGCTCAATCGATCTTCAGGAGCCAATGGATGCTGGACGCTGAGAGATTACCTGGTAACAGAACATCACCAGTTATAGATATCCCGTGATATCCCAAAGATGAGGAATTTCCAGTGTCAAGTGAGAAAATTTACGCTGAGAGTGTAAAACTCAACTGCTTGGTGGTGACTGGAACCATGGAAGTTTATGACTTTTTCATCATATTGGGAAGGTCATTTTTTCCCAACTGACGAACTCCATCATTTTTCAGAGGGGTATACCATCAACCAGTTAATGTTCATTATTCAACAACAATTCTTCTATGCTTTGAGTCCAGCTTCTGGAGTTCATCAGCTGGATATATTTGACACCCTAGAGAGAGTCATGTTACGTGACAGATAATATCTGTGTAGCTACCTATCTGGCTATCTATCTTTCTGTTTTTCTTCCTTTCTTGCTTCTAATTCATCCACATACTCATCCACGTATTCATCCGCATATCCATCCCTTTTTTGTGGATCTGTTAAACTTTGAAAAGACTCACAAGTACACAGCTTGGCCTTGTCACGAGGGGCCACCGGAGCCAGCGCGATCGCTGGACAAAGCTGGGCGCAATGCGACAGGAGGTTTCACAGATTGTGGAGCAGGACCAAAAACACCAAGGGTTGACGGAAGATTGACGGATAATATCCCCAATTTGGATCTAAATGGGAATGGATCAACACCTATTATTAATTATCCTACTAGTATTATACATTTTACTTAAGAGAGGAAACAGCAGAAGCACGCGTATGTTGGAGACGAATCACGAATCATCCGGCGGCATGTCGCTCAAACATGGAGGTTGGGCCCACCACCATTGGAAATTCGGCAACCAAATAGCAGGAGTTTAGTGACCGAACATAAGGACGGACATTCCTAAACAATGGAGATGTTAACCAAAAAACCAACATGAATCAGGAACAAGTGGGACTTTGCTGAATAGTTCTGCTCCTGTTGAACATGAAGAACATCAGAGAACTGTACTTTTGCAAACATGGCAGTGTCCAAACATGAAGACTTGTCAAACACCTGACAGGAGGATCTGTAGATCAGTTAATGTCAACCCTGGATTAATAAACCCCAAACGGTTGTTTAATAAACCCCTATGACTATTGGGGGAATACCCCCTATTGACTAAACATATGGCACTGTAAAATCTCAGTCTTCGACAGGCAAGTCATCTCCAATCCCGCTGTGGATGTGTCTGTGGGTGTGTCCGAAAATAGCTGCCAAAAACCAACCATTTAAAAGGCCAGTTTAAACCCCAAAAAACACATTTAACTAGGGGAACATGATGATTTTCACCAATGGATGGCGTTTTTTCACGTATATTTTCAGACAAAGCCAGATAGGACCAGTTTAAGCTCCATTTTTGTTGCTTAACCCATTGATTTCCCCCTTTTTGGAGTTCTGGGATGCTATAGGAGATCCCAGAGGTGCCAGTGAAGGTGCTGGTGGGCCACTTGGCATCCATGGTAGATGAATCTTGGAAAACTGGATGTTTCCAGCACACAGACTTGGATGTTTCCAGCTGTTGGATATCATCCAATGATCTCAAAGTTGTTTGTGATGTATGTTTTGACGACAAGGTGGTGATCAAACGGCAACAGCATCAAATATCGCAAAAATCGCATAGATCCATTGCGCAAAGGTGAAACTCCAGATCGAGGAAAGTGCCTGTTGGCAGCTGAAGATGTGCGACCAGGTGCCAGGGTGTCAACATTTGGTGGTTGGAGCATGTGGAATTTAACAGCAGGGATCACATCAATGGGGTACTTCTTTGTTCCTTGGTGACTGTGACTTTCCTTCGATTTCGACAAGTTTTCCATCCAATTCTGGGACTCAGCTGCACACCCAACCATCAGTTCACACATCTAGCTGCCAGGGGAGCTGTTGTTGCTGGAAAGACCAGCACTAGTGCATCAGCTGAACGCCCAAGTCACTACAGAAGGCGGGAGCGAAGTTCGCTGAAAAGGTCGAGGTGGAAACTGGCAACTCGCCCTGATGGGTCCCAAATGGGACTGCAAAACCTCACCCTTTTGGGGCTTTCGTTCCAGCCATGTAAAAACAGGGTCATGTCACTTGCCCTTTCCACTGGAAGTTTAGTACCTCATATCTCGTAGCTGTCGTAGCTGTTCACAGTAAACTTCGTAAAGCCTCAACGTTCACTGCAGGTGTTGAGAAGATTATAGCAGCCTTTGAAGAATTGCCCAAATCCAATCAGGATGCTATTGGCAGCGCCCCGGCTCGCAAATGGTGGATTTCTTCGATGTCTTTTTGATGGTTAATGATGGTTGATGATGGTAATTTAGTACTAATTAATCTCAAGGGTTTCTAAGGTCGGATTGATTTTATCGATTTTCTCCTTTCTGAGGTATTGAAACTGAGAAATATTGAGAAAACGTAGGACATTTATGGACATTTGAGACGTTGGTCTCATTGGTGGCAGGACGTATTGCATTGGCTGGCCCATAAATTGACCGGAAAGATTCGACCTATCCGAGATGAAGATCCAGCCATGGCGCTGAGGTTTGTTCTGTCCAGAGGGCCTGGTGCAGTCGCTGAAGAATTCCCAAGGGAAGCCCGGCCACAATCAACCCCAACAACTGGAGATGCCCCAGCCATGACCAGGTGTGTGTGTGTGTGTGATGTTGAAGCGTGTTGAAGCGTGTTGAAGCCTTGGACATTGGTGTTATGGTCAATGGCTATCAATGGCTAGGGTATGCTAGGGTTATACCAGGGGGTAGATTGCCGCGGCCCCATTGATCGTGGTTCATGTGCTCATCTTCGTAAATGCAAAAAGTAAAGTTTCCAAGAACGGTGGATGTCCTCTCTGGTTTTGGATCTGATTGAATATTTACCCAGCCGCATATCAATCCCAAGCGATCCCAAGTGATCAACGCTTTTCAAGATCTTCAGGAGATGATAGGGGGCAAAACCAGATCTTGGCTGCAATCTCTCCAGCTGGGCTGTTGCTGCTTTTGCTCCGCACCATGACTTTCTCAATGAGGAACGGACTCACTCAACACATAGAATCAAAGGTTGCACAGGGCTGCCGATAGTTTAGCAACCCATCCCATTCCACCTGCGCTGCTTCTGCAATCTCTACCTACCTGAGCTACCTTTCCCAGTTATGGTCTCCGGGTGACAATGACGCTGGGCCTCCCCTCCAATGGGTTTTAGAAAGAATCAAATCTGGTTGCGTCCAACATAACTGGATGAAGGGGACTATTTCCAGGACTCCCGACTCCATATCCTATGATTTGCTGGTAGAAAGATGTAGAAAGTAGAAACATCTAAAAACTGGTAGGAAACATGTAAAGACCCTATGGTATGCACCGAAAACAACTCCTAAAACCTGGCCCGAGGTACCTGGAAGCCTCGCCGGAGCAGCAGAAGCTGCTGGGCACGTTGAAGCTGAACAGTGTGCAGTTGAGGAGTGCCTCTGCAGTTGTGAGAAAAACCGCAAAAAAACCGCAGTGCTGTCCTATTTCTGGAACAACTTGGAGGGATGACACCTTATCAAGAACTGGTCAAGTTTTAATGATACCCAAATGATGGTGAGATATGGTGAGTATGGATGGGAAACTTTGAACTTGACATCCATCAGTTCATCAGTTTTGAGCCGACAACTCGTCCGTTCCCACTGGTTGATGCAAACGGAGAACTCTCCGTTTCTCGAGGCGCTCCGGGTGCGGGCGTCTTCGTGACGCTGAGCCGCGCCAGTCACAGCTGCAGACCCAGCAGCTGCTTCTTCTTTCACGAGGAGATCATTCCATAGTGAAGTGTTGAATGGAACCAAATGAGCTATGCCCTAAATAAAAGGTGGTATCTCTCATGAAAAATGGGGAGATTGAGCCGAGACTAATATGATTTGCTGGGGACAAACTGTACGGTGAAAGAGCTAATATGATTAATATGGAGATATTGAAGCAATGCAGAACTGATGGTGTTCTTTTTGAAGATGCGGCTAACCAACTAGATGGGATTTGTTTCACAATGCGGTACTTAAGGGATTGGTTTTTAGGGGTTCATCCTTGTCATCCTCGATTGGATATACCCAACCTGGTTATGACATTCACAGTTTGCCATGGAAAGATCCACCATTTTTAATAGGTAAACCATCTATTTCTATGTGTCATCTATACCATGGCTATGTTAAATGACCAGAGGGTAATTATTGAAATCACATACTCGGTCGCCAGGTGCTTCTGAACAATGTGGGCCATTTGATGGGAATTGGGGAGCCGAAAGGGCGCTTGGCAGGACATGTGCGGCTTGAAGGCTTTGCGACCCATCCAAAAGGGAGAGGACAGGATACGGGGCACATGGGGCACAGGGGTTTCTCAACGCTTCGATGGCGACAATTCAGACATCTCTTGCAACTTGTTGGAAGCCTGAATGGGCTTGTCTGAAAATTGGGTACACCTAAATCCACATACCCCCTGGTAAACATACAAAAAACTATGGAAAATCACCATTTTTAATGGGAAAACTCACTATAAATAGCCATATTCAATAGCTATGTTAAATTACCAGAGGGTAAATCCACTAGTTCATCATCATAATCATCCTCATCTTCATCCCCAGTAACATTTCCATTTGGGGGTTATACTGTACCGTATACTGTGCCCCAGTTTCCGACACAACCAATAGATCAGGAGTGGACTCTGGGGTCATTGCGTGACTGCTTTGATTGTGCTGGTTCAAGCCGTCAGCGCATTTCGATGTGAACAACCGCTCAGGTCCTGAGTTTGGGATCTCAAATTCCAGGGTGGAAACAGGCAGGAAAAAGGCCTGAAGATTTAGATGAATGGGAACGGTTCAATCATAAGTACAAGAAGGAACCGCTTGAGTCATGATTACTTGCTTCTGGCAGACACAATTTGACGATCTTTGAGGTTTCAATCGCATTGATGGGGTCCGCCACTCGAAAGTTTTGATCTGCTGGGTGAATCTGACAACGTCTCAATCACGCCCAAGGACAATTCCCACGAAAAGTAGGATACCATTCTATATAAATTTCTATATACATATAATTTGTTTATAATATCAGTACATATCAGTTCATGTCATCGGTATCAGTCTATATAACATTATATAACTATGTATCTACATATATAAAAGCAGATGTAAGATGATATAAAGCCCCAGAGTATCATATCACTTGATGCCTGAACTATCAACTTTTTGCCCGTCCATCCAGCGTTTGCAATGTCGCGTCTGCCCGGAAGGGTGTGTTTCAACATCCATTTACTCAGTGGCCGAAGCGAGTTTGTATCTCTGCCGGAATCGGGCACTTTTGCTGATCTGAAAGAAGCGGCACAACGAATCTTGCTCGTTTTTTTTTTTGGTTTCTCCCCTTCCAAAATCATTTTTAAGCCCCATAAAAGCCCCCATCCTAAGCTCTGGTCGGTTTATCTTCGTTTGGTTTTTTTCTATCTCAGTTGGGGTTTTTTATCATCCCAGATCGTCCAGACCAAGGAGTCTTCAAGCTGGGATTTCTACAGCTCTGCACAGCCGATGGCTCTTTCTTGGATCTCAGGATGATGGTTCAGGAGAAAAATCCCCGAGCGAAGTGAGATCTACCATCTGGTTATGACTGACATAGCCATGGAAAGATCCACCATTTTTAATAGGTAAACCATCTATAAATAGGCCATTTTCCATGGCTATGTTAAATAACCAGAGGGTAAACGGTGAGTCCTTCTTGAACCCAGCGAAGTTCTTCTTGAGACGCGCTTAATGTTATATCAGTTATATCCACAGTTTGTCTTGCTTGAACCATCTTGAATCCCCCATTTTTTTGGTTGAATCCACAGTACCCTCTGGTAAACTCGCATTTTTCTATGGAAAATCACCATTTTCAATGGGTAACTCCACTATAAATAGCCATTTTCAATAGCTATGTCAGCCATTACCAGAGGGTTTTTCTCCCAACTGCTGGTGAAATCCCCTGTAGACATCGCCAGGATGCAGGTCCTGAACTCCGCGATCTCTATGCGGCAAGGATTTCACCGCACCTGGCAGCCACCCAGAACGCCTTTGCATTGGGTTTCTGGGTTTCCATGTTTGATTTTGTGTGGGTTTTCCCGTGGTTTATGGGATATGGTGTTTAAAACATTTTAAAACTGATATCAAGAATGTTTTTTTACACATAGATCTTGTTTTGCACCCTCCTATTTGGTGCGCTTATTGCAGAATGTACACGACTCCACTTGGACGACCATCAATGGCCAAGAGTTCATTCGTACCCATCGTGGAACTCGTCCAGGTTCACCCATTGCGGACGCCATTTTTCACTACATCATGTATGACTTTTCACTGCAGCTCCGGGCATACCTTGATGATGCAGGGCACACAGCGTTTGTACGTTCTCGGCTGCAGATGGAAGTTGACATGATTATTTGGAGTGATGACCTTGCTGTTCCCATTGTCACGGCCACCGCAGCTGAGCTGTTACCTGCATTGCTCGACATGCTCACCTTTGTCAAGAGGGAGTTTGCTGCCCGTGGGTTCCGCATCAATCTTGCCAAGGGCAAGACTGGCATTGTGGCTACCTTTTGCGGTACGGGAGCTGCTGACATTCGACGACTATTTCAACTCATCCCACAGCCGGGCATCATGCACCAATTTGAGGAAGGGGACACCCAGTTTGTCCATATGACACCTACGTACCGACACCTGGGCACCCTCTACACCTCGGACCAGCAACTCGACGCTGAGATAGCATCCCGCATTGGTATTGCTGTTTCTGCCTTCGAACAGCTGCGTCGTGGGCTATTAGCCAACAGACATCTTCCCCAAAGGTTGCGACTTCAACTTTTTCGATCCCTTGTCCTGTCCAAGCTCTACTTTGCAGCTGGTACGTGGCATACGCCGACTGGACGACAATGTGACCGCCTTCGAGCTGCCCTAGCACGTATGCTGCGGAAGATGCTTGGACCCACAAACCGTGGTCTTTCCGGCCCACAGCTTTTGGCTAGCGCTGATGTTCAAGAACCTCGAGTCCACATTGCGATGGAACGTTTGCTGTATGCGCAGCGAGTGTTCCACCATGGTCCGGCATTTTTGCAACTCATGTTGCACTCAGAAGCTTCACAATGTCCATGCTCCTGGCTAGAGGGACTGCGCTATGATCTGGCATGGCTTCATGGCGTTGAAGCTACAGCCGACCCCATCCTGATTGCCACTGATCTGACTGCCCTTATTGATTATTGGCAGCGTGACCCAGGGCGCTGGAAGCACCGAATCAGGCGTGCTGGTATTCGGCATCTTTTTCAGGAGGGAATGATCCGTGAAGCCCAACAATGGCATGCGGACATTTTTGCAGTACTACGCCAGAGAGCCTTCACCTTTCAGCCTGATCCGACCTGCCTCCATGTGCAGGAGTGCCTCTATCAATGCCCTGATTGCCCACGCTGGTTTACTACACCCCAAGGAGTGAGTACGCACAGACGAAAGGCACATGGAGTCTATTGCCCTGAGCACCACTTATTGGACTCAGCGACATGCCCAGCCTGTTTGACATACCTGTGGAGCACTCAGCGCTTACAGCAACATTTGGCCTATATGCCGAAAGATGGTTCTCCCAACGCTTGCTTCGCCTACCTGCAGACGATTGGGTATGCGGTTACATATTCTGCTGAGCATCTGCCCCAGGCATTGACTGGGCAATCCAGACGGGATGCCTTGCCTGTCGCTGGTCCTCATGGGTGTGGTTCCACTGCAACTGACCGGCGCCTTGCAGCTCTAGTTTCAGAACGAGATACACTTGCAGCCGAGTACTTTGAGTACATGCAACCTGATTCTGTTCTTGATGCTGGAGCTCGTCTGGGTGACCTCCTGACCTCAGTCACCCGAAGATGGTATCATGATTTTGTGCAAGCCTCCTACTGCTTTGAGGATGTGGAGAGACCGCAAGACAGATGGATCGATGTGATTTGCAAGCTTCCTTCGGCTTATGAATCCTGGACTGCTCGCGTCTTCATTTTATGGGGACGCCATGTTCTCCCAGATTTGCTTGCAGAGCTCCTTGATGGGGAAGCTGAAGCTTATTTGGACAGAGAATATGCAGATCTTGTGAACGACTTCGATGAGTACCAGATGGAGGAACGTTTGCGCAAGTTGGACCGCCTAATTTGGCAGGCCACGCTTCGTCCTGAAGCTCCCGAACCACATCGGCCAGTCCGACCTCCTCAAGAAAATGCGAGGCCACGTTCGCTGCCGCAACTTGAGGTAGTGCGTCTCTTTGACAAACAAGAACAATGGCAACAAGATCTTGGGCGTGTGAGATGGGAGGATATGCCGCAAGATCCTTTTGTGCCTCTTGTGCCTGGGTTAGCTCCGCGACCAACGTTTATCATTGTCCACCTCTTCGCTGGAAGGCGTCGTGACACCGACTTTCATGCATGGTTGGATCAATGGGCTGAACGTTGGAATGTTACCCTGACGATTTTGTCCTTGGACACGGCAATTTCGCCGGTCCTGGGCAATCTTGACTGCAGATCTGAGACCTGGCAGAAGATTCAGGAACTTTATCTTCAAGGACTCGTCGCAGCCACGCTGTCAGGGCACCCTTGCGAGACGTTCTCGTCCGCACGATGGACGCCACCCCCTGAAGGACACCCTGAGCACAAATGGCCCAGGCCACTTCGTACTGCTATGCAGCTCTTTGGCCTGGACCATCGGACCTTCAGAGAGATGCGACAGACGCGCATGGGCACAGCATTTTTCCTCCAGACGCTCTGGACCTTTGCGTGCCACCTGGCATATGGGGGGTTCTTTATCGAAGAACATCCTGGAACTCCCCAACAAGCTGTGCATCCTTCGATATGGAAGAGCTCTATCATGAAGGTGATTCGCCAACATCCTGATGTGCGATTCCACGAGATTGGGCAATGGCGATTTGGCGCAAAATCGGTCAAGCCGACCGGATTGTTGACGCTGCGGCTCCCCTACTTCCTGAAGGATCTCTACAAGCACGCTGACGCTGAGGCCAAGCGTCCTACGGTGCACGCCATTGGGCTGGACGCTGAGGGGGCATTTAGGACTTCCTGCCACAAGGAATATCCACCCCGGCTTTCAGCCGGATTAGCAAACGTGGTTGGATCCCAGCTGCTGCGCACCAGGCGCATGAATCTGGTCCGAACCACCACGGATGTGCCACTTCCCCTTGCCAGATGGGTCACGGAGGTTAGCCGTGACAGTACAGTTGTCAGAGCGGCCCAAACGTGGCTGCCTGACTACCAAGGGTAGAAGTTTTTGGCATTAATTAGAGAGCGTTGCATGCCGGCTGCAAGGAACTGACCTTTGTCCGCCAGTGAAGTGAAGTGAAGAAGATCTTGTTTTGTTGCTTGAAGTTGCTTGACTTTGCATATGTCTGGCAATAGTTTGGGTTCACCATCCCAACAAATTAGGGGTCAACATCCCAAATATATAGACAGGATCCTTAGGGTGAGTGAGATGCTGGTTAAATCTCCTTCCTTGCACCTTATTTTTGGGGTAAACTGTTATTACTGTAAACTTTGTCTCACATTTGTCTAAATCATGCTCTATCCAAGCATCTTTTTCACATGTTTTTTCCCTGACAATGTTGGCACTGCAATGACATGTCCAATTTTTGGGTGCGCACAAATACATATGGCTGGTTGAATCCTGATTTTTCGCGCAAAAGATGTGCATCCCCCAACCACCAGGGACCACATCGCCTTCCCAGGGAGCACCGGTGGCGTGGTCACCTGGGGCGCCTCGCAGGGCGGTTTCAGCTCCGAGCAGTTCCGGGCGCTGGGTGCCCCACTGCGTCAGCTGATGGCCACGCAGAGCGCCTTTGGGGCGCTGGCGGAGAACGGGCGCGTGGTGACGTGGGGCGAGGACATGGATGGAGGTGGAGTCGGCATGGGGCGCATGGATTGCGCATGGGGCATGATGCATGGGGGATGGGGATGTTTTTGTATTGGGGATGTTTTAAAGTGATAAAAACGACTAGAAATTCAGGTGATGTTTTAAATACTACAATTCTTGTCGGCATCTTTCTTGTGATTGATGGGGTTTCATTGGGATAGAATGGGGATATGTAAAAAAGGAATATGAATCTGGTAAATCCAACGGGGCTTTCAACATTATCCGTCTAGAATGGGGGGTTTTAATCCCTTATAACTTATATCCCTGAAACATATTCATTTTTATGGATTGCATCAAAATGAACACATCTAATGCAGGAGTTGACCACCTAGAAATAAGGATGTAACGGGGATTTGATGGCTACAGAACCCTCTGGTAATCAAACATGGCTAGCTATGCTGGTGGATTTTCCAGCATCATGATCCATGGGGATGTCCTCCATATGGCCATGCCATAAGAAATGGGGAATGTGATGACTTAGCCTCTGGTAAACAGCAACATTTTTCTATGGAAAATCACAATTTTTAATGGGCAGATCCACTATTTCTATGGCAATTTTCAATAGCTATGTTAGTTTACCAGAGGGTAAGTCATGGGGGAAAACCAATGCTTTGGGCGAAAAAAAACACCCCCACCCGAATATGGTCAAATGAGTTGGGAGGTTTCTGGGCAATTGGAAGGTTGATGACACTCTCAACTATGGAGATGAAAAAGGACATCCCAATAGAATCTGTGTTTTACGGTAATCAAACATGGCAGCCCAAATTTCCCCCATCTATAGATGATTTTCCCATTGACACCTCGCTTCATATGGGATTTCCTATTGCCACGTTACGGGAGGGTATATGTGGCGCATGTGGGGGTCTTGAGATAGGCGCCAACAGTTGGGGGTCGAAATGTGGCAAAGAGTATGCAGCTCCCGATCTTCACGATTGATAAAAGAGATCAATAGCCAAACTTGGTAGATGACTTAGCAAAACACTACCAACCACAGAGCTGAGCAAGTTCGCTGCAAAATGTCTCACCTGTGGTTTCTCCCTGGCCTGGTGAGGGTCGTACCGTGCCTTCGTCGCGAGTCCGCCAGCTCTCTGGGTCCTGAACACTACGCTAGGTAAATGGTGAGAATGCCCGATAAAATGTCAGATAAAACGTCAGAATATCTCATTGCGATCGCATAGCGCGGTTGTTTGGCTGCGCGCACCACAAACCCGGCCACGCCTTCTGCCCGCAGAGGAATATTTGTCAGATAGAATGCCTGATAGAAAGTCAGACTATATGTCAAGAAATGCCAGAACGCATGATAGAACGTCAAAGAAACTGTCAGAGCATATGCCAGAAAGATTGCCTGATAGAATGTAATATAGAAAGCCAGAACATGCCAAATAGAATCTCAGAAGCTGTTAGATAAGAAGTCAGATAAATCGTCAGAATGTCAGAAAGTCAGGTAGAATGTCAGATAGGGATCACCCCAAGGAATTTCACGCAGGTTCTATCAACACACTGCCAATTTCTCAGGTGACAGCGATGACGTCCAGGATCAACTGGTGGATGTGCAGCAACTGGCTGCAACCAGCAGGGCCTTCGCAGCGATCTTGGCTGATGGCTCGGTAGTCGCATGGGGGAACCCCAGTTTGGGAGGCGATGTGAGTAACGTGGCGGAGAGACTGAAGCTGGGTGGTGAATTGAGAGAAGTTGGTGAAACTTCACGGTTTTCTCTCTTTTTTGATGTACTGTATTTGTTCATCCCTCCAAGCATGGATGATATATGCTGACTTTGCCCATTTTGGTGGGGTGATGATTTTGCCAATAGATCTGGTTTGTTGCTTTCAAAGATGGACGCTTATTTCAGTGGGGATAAAGGGTACGAGCAATTTTGATCTTGTAATATTTTCATCCATCACACATGGCAGCCGCTGATCCTTTGCGGAAGTCATCTCAATGCAAAATTTGGTTATATGCTCCTCAATGGGCTCAAAACATCATCCCAACTATAGTCAGCATCTTGATCTTGTCAACCTTCAATCTCCCCATGACTACACCAGATATGATAAAACTGTTAAAACATGGGATGACGATCCCGTCGCCCCAATGGATCTCCCGATTTTGCTTGGCCCAGGAAGGGCGTGACTCAGATTGCTGCCTCCAGTGGTGCCTTCGCAGCGATGGCTGAGGGCGGTGTGGTGACCTGGGGCCGCGCCGGCGACGGCGGGGACAGCAGCGCAGTGGAAAGTCAGCTGATGACGGCGGGGAGGTCGTCCAAATCATCCACCTGACATAGAGCCATGAGTTGGGGCATGGTGGAGTCCTTCCGCCGAACAAAAAACATTTCGTATTAAACCGTTGGCCGCCAAAGACTGGTTGATATATATATATATTATATTGTATCACATATATATATGATATGTTGATATAAATGTTAAGAATCCTTTGGCTCTCAATCAATACTTCTTTAATCCCACCAGGTGACGGAAGTGATCGCTTCGCAGTGTGCCTTTGCTGCAGTAAAGGCTGACGGAACCGTGGTGGCTTGGGGCAATCCACACCATGGGGGCATGATCCCAGAGGAGCTTCGGGATGCTCGGCTGAAACCAGGATGTGATGGTGATGCTCCAATATCACCGAAGATTTCACAATGTTTGGACCATTTCGGTGTTGAAAATGGTTGACTGGTGGTAGAAGGTAGCTAAATGATAGTCTTGTGACAAACCCCTTCAGAATCTGGTTGGTGGTTTCAAGGATGTTCGATTGTCGACATTTGGAAGGTTTTTTTTTTCTCAGACAAGCATCCCAGTAGTCACAAACATACGTATGTCTATATATTGAATACCAGTAGTGCCCGGCTGTGCCGGCTGAAGTTTCGAAAGAGCAGTGACCACAAGAAATCAACGGCCGAAGTTTCGAAGGTCTGTGGCATACACAATGCATCGAAGGAGTTGCTGGCGTGAGATATATCAATGAATGAACCAGATGATTGAATTATTGATTAAACAAGTGAATGAACGACTGAGTGATTGAGTGAATGAATGATTGAATGAACCGACAAATCAATGAATCAATCAATACATGAAAGCGTGAAATGACATCAAATGACATGGCATGAAATGAAATGAATGAATGCCATGAATGAATGCATGAATGACACGACGTAACATGTCATGAAATGAAATGACATGACATGCCAGGAAATGAAATGAAAGAAACGAAGTGAAACGACATGAACAATGAAACGAGGGAGTAAAATGCACTGAGTGAATGAGTGACTGAATGAATAAGTTAATGAATGAAGGAAGAAACTACCAAACAATTGAAACGATGAATGCATCAATCAACGAATCAGACAAGAAGTGAGTCATGATTCAATGAATGAGTGTGTAAATGAGTCAATGAGCAAACGAACGAACGAACGAAGGAACAGGCGAAGGAAGGAACGAAGGAACGAACCAAGGAACGAACGAACGAGCAAACGAGCGAACGAGCAAATAAGCGAAGGAAGGAAGGAAGGAAGGAAGGAAGGAAAGAAGGAACGAAGGAAGGAACGAGGGAAGGAACGAAGGAAGGAACGAAGGAAGGAACGAACCAACGAACCAACGAACCAAGGAGCGAAGGAGCGAAGGAGCGAAGGAGTGAAGGAGAGAAGGAGCGAAGGAGCGAAGGAACGAAGGAACGAAGGAACAGGAACGAAGAGCGAAGGAGCGAAGGAACGAAGGAACAAAGGAACGAAGGACCGAAGGAACGAAGAAACGATGGATGGAATGATGGATGGAATGATGGATGGAATGATGGATGGAATATGATGGAATGATGGATGGAATGATAGATCGAATGATGGATGGATGGATGGCTGGCTGGATGGATGGATGGTGGATGGATGAAAGGAAGGAAGGAAGGAAGGAAGGAAGGAATTGTATGATTGAATCAGTGAATGAGTGAATGGATGACTGCATGCCTGACTGGCTGACTGGCCGAAGGACTGAATGAGCTACTTCTTTGTTGAGCCCATTCCCTAAGCCAAGTCTTCTTTAGGCTATTAGGCTACCTCTTCACCAAGCTACCTCCGCACTGAGCCAGCTCTTGGCTGAGCTTCCTCTGTCACCTCCTCCTTCAGCTACTTTTCTGAGCTGCCTCTTATCCGGGCTACTTCTTTTTTGAACCTCAGCTATATCTTTGTGAGCTACCTCTTCGGTAACCGAATTCTTCTCTTCGCGCAGCCATTACAAGCACGGCAGTCGCACCATGCCCAAATATCCAGCTGTTGCAATGCGTTTCAGCAACCTCCAGCTGCAATCCCACATGGCGGGAGCGTCGCACTAAATCGACCAATGCGCGCGCAGCGCCACAGTGCGGACTTTTCCGTGCTGCCCCACGCTGGTGGTAACGAGCTCGCGAAGCAGTCTGGTGCGCATTTCTCCCTCATCATCTTCCAAAAGTGGTCCCAACTCAGTTCTTCCACCTGTTTTCTTCAAATCCAGCTCTCGCTACAGTCTCCTAATCCGTATTTTTCCAACCTCATTTTCCAAAGGTGGTCGCGGCCATGGAAACTGGAACCACCATTCCTATGAAAACACAGTGATTCTTGTAGTTCCATCCTTTACCTGCAAATTCACACGCTCCCGGACTCTTATGGTTATTTCATGTCTCCACTTACTGCTGCATCCCGGTAGTTTTGGATGTGAAAACTCTCCATGGACATTCTTCCGTTATTCGGAAGTTTGCTTTTTAATGTACGTAAGTAGACCTCCTTGGATGAAGTATCGTTCTTATTTCCATCTCACCAAAAACCTGTCCCTGGGCTGTTTCTGTTTCTTTGTTTGAAGCCAACTCACTGGAACCATATCAAAACCGTATCAAAATCATATCAAAATCGTATCAAAATCGTAACAACACCCATATCGAAATCATAACCCCAAATTCAAAGCATATCAAATTCATATCGTCAAATCGTATCCAAAACCATATTAATTAAATTCGTTAAAAAAATATTTCCTGAATTCAGCATCCTAGAGGGATTCCGGGCTTATAATTCTAGGAAAAAAACATGTGCGGAAAAACTTCCCCGATGATGATCCCCTCCAAAAAAATCAAGTGCTTTAGTTCAACCAGGATACTTTGATGGGGGTCCAAGACTTGGCTGCTACGGATTTCGCCTTCGCAGCCATCTGTGGAGAGCAGAGATCCGTGGTGACGTGGGGCAGTCCCCATTATGGGGGAGACAGCAGCTGAGTGGCATTTTTTGGAGCATGCGGTATGCACCATTTTTGGACAAACCTAAATAGAATTTAATGTGAACTACAGATTGATAAAATCTGTTGATTCATCTTTGTGGTGGCTCGACCAGGCAGTGAAGTTCAGGATCAACTGAAAGAAGTGCGAGAAATCAGATCGAACAAGGGTTCCTTTGTGGCCATTCTGGCAGATGGATCGGTGGTATCTTGGGGACACAAGGGTCATGGTGCAGACAGCAGCGAAGTGCGAGATCAGCGCCTTGGCTTTGACTTGGGAGTGTCTGAAAATGGGTTGCATACCACCATTTTTGGCAGATTTTAGTGGGAGAATAATGCATGATAAACTATCTGGTTGGTGGTTTGGAACATTTTTTATTTTCCATAATATATGGGATAATCCTTCCCATTGACTAATATTTTTCAAGATGGTTAAAACCACCAACCAGCTACTGGATGTGGGATTTTCCCTGAAATTTTCAGAGAAACCCACTTGACTTGTCATTTTGGGGTAGTGGAGGCTTCGCGAAATATGTAGGCACAAAGGGCCCTGCTTTCTTGCCGATAAATGCGTAGTGGAGGAAACTAGAGGCCCAAACATACCCTGAATGTCCAGCTTTCCATTGCTTTTGAATGGGTCTGTCTGAAAATAGGTACCTGGTCCCGGAACCCCCCATGGTTAATCATGAAATTTCTTGTCATTTAAACACATTTCAACTGCCATTTAGCCCCATCTTTCTCAGGTTGCAGCAGGTGGAGAAGATCGCCAGTTCCTCCAACGCCTTCTGTGCTCTTCTCCGAGATGGCTCGGTGGTTTCTTGGGGCAGAGGTTCTGAAGCTGACACTCGCCTGGTGTCAGGTCAGCTGGTGGGTGTGTTGGATGTCTGCGCTTCGGCTCAGGCCTTTGCTGCGATCACTAAGGAGGGCAGAGTGGTCACTTGGGGCCGGCCGGAGTCTGGTGGAGACTGCAGGAGTGTGCAGGAGCAGATCCGATATTTGTAGCTATAGAGGAATGAGAGGATCAGAATGGCGAAATCTGGGTACTGGCAGATGTTTTTTTGCCTTGTCACAGTCGCCAAGTTGTGCAAACTTGGCCGTTCAGCAGATGGACCAGAAGGATCACAAAGAAAAACAGGCCCAAGCAGCAGCTCAGTGTGATCCAACCCTGGGTTGAGCGGTGTGTAAAGTTATCACGACCAGTTATATACCAGTTATATACCATATCACGGGGGTTATACGATGAGGTATAGATGTCCTTTTCCCACAGTTTGATGAATGCGAAAAGACGGGTACGGCCCCACTGAACGCTATGTAAACCACGGTCAATGTCACCTGGTGCCGGCCCCTCTATGTTGTGGACCAGGACGTGCTCAAGTGCAATTTTCGACCCCCAAGTCATCAGTAGATCCAGGACCAAACCCTGGTTTCATTAGGGTATTTCATATTCCACAATGAAGAGATCCAGACTAGCAGGGTTGCTCGGGGGGTATGTCATATCTCAGTTTAGTATTACCTGGTTGGTGGTTTGGAATATTTTTTATTATCCATAATATATGGGTTGTCATCCTTCCCATTGACTAATATTTTTCAGAGGGGTTGAAACCACCAACCAGTCTCAGTTTTATGGATTACGTTTAGGAGGTCACGGTGGCCTACATCTCGGATGAACATCTTCTGCTTCCGATTCCCCAGAGGTGCTGGGCGGGGTCCGGCCGCGATTTCGAACCTGAAGAAACCCGCAGGGTTTTGGGCTAATTTTGTGTCATGTTAATAACATATCCAGATATATCCAGATAATAATTCGAGATACATCAGATATGCATATAATATCATGTCATGTCTGCAACATCATGAAGAAGCAACCTGTAGAAACCGATGTTTGTACCCACAGTTCTTGCTGGCTATCAACTTGTTTCATTTCAATTCTGGCAAGATGATTGTCCGAATCGACGAGCACACTTTTTTTAGGCAATTTAAACCACCAACCATGCTGAAGTATTTGTGTTTTGCATTGCCAATTCTTTTGGTGTTTTACATGGAGGTTTCCTAAAATGGGGGTACCCCAAAACCATGGAATTCAGTACTAAAATGGTCTTTCAGTACTAAAATGGTCGAATTTTGGATGATGTGGGGTACCCCAATTTTAGGAAACCCCCATATGAAGTGAATATCCCCCATTTTGGCTGTTCCTCTCGTTCATTTAGCTGGGCAAAACAACCTTTTGCTGAAAAAAAAGGTGAAAGCTCCATTCTTAAGCAACCAGGATTAAGTGGAATGACATCAATCCGGTTTTGAACATTTATAGTGAATTTTCCCATTGAAAATGGTGATTTTCAATAGCTACGTTAAATTACCAGAGGGTAGTTCTCCATGCCCAGCTCTTGAGGCGGGCACTGCTCCAAGCGTGGCAGTTCGAGTGCGCTTGTCCTCGCTGCTCCGCAGAGTTCGATGACACGCGCGGCATGCGCTGCCGCTGTGGCGCCGTGCGCATGGCGCGAAGTCAGGGCGGCTTCGGCAAGTGTGACTGGATTGAAGATCGGCTGGTGCAAGGTGGTGCCCCATAGTTAGCTAAGTTGGTTTATAACTCCCATAACTATGGTTTATGGTAGATAGAACTATAGTTACTGGGGTTTATAAACCAACTTATAACTGGGGGGCACCATCCTGTGGGGGATGTCAGTGTTTACCTTTGGTAATTCAACATAGCTATGGACAATGGCCCAGTTGTAGAATATGGTTGAATCTGATTGAATATGCGTGTTTTTTGTTGAACATGGTGAATATGGTGATTTTATGGTGATTTTCAACCAATTGGAGTTTGATGAGCTTTGGGACTATGTAGGATCTCATCAGTTTGGGCAATCTTTGCATCTGTCCAAGGTCCCAGGTGGGGTAAGCAGCCTGTCACACCTCAAATGCAACTGGTAAAACACCGCGTAAGCCCAGGCCAAGCTTGTGGAATTGATGATGGTGAGGACCACAGCAGCGGTTGGTTCTCATCCATAGACCAGGGATTTTCGGTTTCCAGTTGCTGCGGGGCTGCGAGGAACTTCGGAAAGTCGCCAGTCGCTGGTGGTTGCGCTACAACGCAGCTAGGAATTCTCTGGCGGTTTCAGGAGCAACGGAGATCCAAGCTGATAGAGTAGGGATTTATTGATGATTATTGTAAATTGTTGTAAACTAAGTCATTGACACTCTGGGAATCCAGAATGAAAATGGGATAAAAGGATGGCTTCTGGTTGTTGAGATTCGTTGGTAGGACCAACTCGCTGCAGGCTATTGGCCTTTGGGATGCTGTGGGCTAGAGTGGTGCAGAACCAAAGACCCCAACAATGTATGATTTCGGAATGTTCGCGATGTGTTGCCAAAGGTACTTACTATTCATTTATCCCTCCGTTCCCCCTAAACTTTCCATCAAAGAAACATAGCACATTGCATGCTTTCCATAAATCTAACAGAGCACATCCTTTCCACACCCAGTCATCCTGGTCGTTGCATTGATGCCCTAGGCTTGGATGGTTGAACAGCAGGAATGACCAAAGTGTGCTAACCCCCCAACTTTTCGCGCCACCTTCATTTATGCAACCTAAACTTGCAAGTTTTGCTGTTTAAACGGCTTAAACTGACAAAGTTTGCTGGCAAACCCATATTCTTTTTGCTTGAACCTACATTTTTCTGCTTCAACCTATCATGTCTCCTGGTGAATTCGATTTTTGCTCCGTTTTTGCTGCTTGGCCCTTCCTTTTTGCTGAAACCTCGGGCCCAGGCATGCACCCCGTTGGCGGCGGAGGACGAGTTGACCAGCTCCCGCTGGGCGCGCGGCCGGGAACTGCCCCAGGAGCGTCGGGGCGAGGCCTGGATGAAGGCGACCGCTGGGGGGGGTGGTCGGGGGTCAGGGTGGCCACAGAAAGGGGGATTTAAGGCAAACAGAACCTGGGAAAATTCTGGGAACACCCACAAAATTGGGCGTCTGACCAAAATTGGGGGAAATCACCAGGAAAAAATCAGAATTTTCTGCAGCAAAATGGGGAAGTTGACGAGCAAAGTTGGAATTTCACTGGCAAACATGAGGATTTAACGAGCAAAAATGGCGAGTAAGATGGCAAATTCAAGCCATGGACAGAGCTGATGGGGTCCATCGAGACATGGCAATGTACCTTGTGACACTGGTGGTGACCGATGACTGCTGACCGATGGGAAGATGGAACACCAATAATTAGTGGTTAAGTATATGGTTAAGTTGATTAGTATCCATGCCCAATTTCGGAGTGGTGAATTTTAATGGCCATGAGAGCCATGATAGCCGCCATCTACCAGTTTGTGGCTGTGCCAAGGCGAACTCCCATGGAAGTTGTTGTAGAAGTGGTGATATATGATGATATATATATATACAAAATTATATTTATACATGACATATATACGTATCTATCTATCTATTATATCTATTAATGGTTTGATTTATATTATATGTACATACTGTGCAGAGGTTCCCATTCTGGTCGCGACAAGATTGCCATTTCTAGTGCCAGATAGGACACACGCCATTCGCGTTGGGCATGGCAATTTTATCCCTGTTTTTCGACACGAAACCAGGGACCCCTCCTATGGTCAACATGGTAATGGGGTAAACCCACTAACAAACCAATTGGTTTGGGGCGGCTTACCATTTTCCCCACCATGGTTCCATTTTAGTTGGTGAGCTCGGTACGTGTCTTCCTTCACAACTTCAAATCCCCAAAGGCTCAGAATTCTTTTTCTCTTTTAGAATCCCGATGCGCTTCTATCACTTCCCAAAAAATCCTACAGAATCCCGCAATTTCCCACAATTCTTTTGTAATTTCCCATCAAGTCCCACAACATCCTATGATATTCCTACAAACTCCCAAAAAAACCTATATGATATTTCCATCAATTCCCAGAATTTCCCATGATTTTTCCATACCTTCACCCAAACCACCAGAAAATTATCATGGCTTCCCTTGCTCGCAGGATTTGGTCACCTTACACCGTCAGCTGCTGGCCGCCGAGCGTTCGGCCGAGCACAGCGATACGCCAAGCCTCTGCCGCGATGGGCACTGGATGGGCGCCAGTGTGGCAATGCTGGCGGCCGAGACTTGGTTTAGACTTAGTCAGAATAAAAACCCGATTCCGCAACTTCTCCGGATTGCGCAACTAGGATTGCGCAACTCTTTGGTCGGATTGCGCAACTATAGGATTGCGCAACTTGGCTTGCGCAACTCCCAGGATTGCGCAACTCCGCTTGCGCAACTTTCAGGATTGCGCAACTCTGATTGCGCAACTCATAGGATTGCGCAACTCTGCTTGCGCGACTGCTTTTGACAGATTGCGCAACTCCCAGGATTGTGCAACTCTGCTTGTGCAACTACGATTGCCAGATTGCGCAACTCTGCAACTACACTTCGTCCAAACAATTCCAGCTCCCATAGAATTTGAAAATGACGCGCGCCGTCCACAAGAGCAAGATGTTATCAAAATTCCCACCCGGAACTTCAAACTGACTTGGAGTCTCCACAAGGCTAAGATGATATCAAAATTCCCACCCCCATGGAACTTCAAACTGACTTGGAGTCTCCACAAGGCTAAGATAATATCAAAATTCCCACCCCCATGGAACTTCAAACTGACTTGGAGTCTCCACAAGGCTAAGATAATATCAAAATTCTCACCCCCATGGAACTTCAAACTGACTTGGAGTCTCCACAAGGCTAAGATGATATCAAAATTCCCACCCCCATGGAACTTCAAACTGACTTGGAGTCTCCACAGGTTAAGATGATATCAAAATTCCCACCCCCATGGAACTTCAAACTGACTTGGAGTCTCCACAAGGCTAAGATAATATCAAAATTCCCACCCCCATGGAACTTCAAACTGACTTGGGGTCTCCACAGGCTAAGATAATATCAAAATTCCCACCCCCATGGAACTTCAAACTGACTTGGAGTCTCCACAAGGCTAAGATGATATCAAAATTCCCACCCCCATGGAACTTCAAACTGACTTGGAGTCTCCACAGGTTAAGATGATATCAAAATTCCCACCCCCATGGAACTTCAAACTGACTTGGAGTCTCCACAAGGCTGAGATAATATCAAAATTCCCACCCCCATGGAACTTCAAACTGACTTGGAGTCTCCACAGGTTAAGATGATATGAAAATTCTCACCCCCATGGAACTTCAAACTGACTTGGAGTCTCCACAAGGCTGAGATAATATCAAAATTCCCACCCCCATGGAACTTCAAACTGACTTGGAGTCTCCACAGGTTAAGATGATATGAAAATTCTCACCCCCATGGAACTTCAAACTGACTTGGAGTCTCCACAAGGCTGAGATAATATCAAAATTCCCACCCCCATGGAACTTCAAACTGACTTGGAGTCTCCACAAGGTTAAAATGATATCAAAATTCCCACCCCCATGGAACTTCAAACTGACTTGGAGTCTCCGCAAAGTTAAGATGATATCAAAATTCTCACCCCCATGGAACTTCAAACTGACTTGGAGCCTCCACAAGGTTAAGATGATATGAGAATTCCCACCCCCATGGAACTTCAAACTGACGAGTGCCCCTTCGACGACTATGAAGTCCTTGGCGCGGCGCGTCTTGAAGTTGTGGGAATGAGTTCGGACGTAACCGAGAGAAAAAAGGTGCTAGACTCCTGCTGCAACAGGGGAGTGAGTTTCAAGATTTGTAACGATTTTCAAACGTCGGATTGTGAAACTTGGAAGTCGCATTCTGAGACTTGAGGCTTTGATTATGCAACTTGGAGTTTCACAGTTTCCTGATCTGTCATCAAGGTTCGCAGTACCCGTGAAACAATCTCCACCCAAAGATTCACCATCCCTCTGCAGACTTTCACAATACCAGTTTCACAATCCGTCCCCAGAGTTTCAGAATCCGTCTTCTGAGTTTCACAATCCCAGTTTCACAATCCGTCCGCCCCCAGAATTTTCACAATCCGCCTTCAGAGTTGCACCATCCTAGTTTCACAGTCCAGCCCCAGAGTTTCACAATCCGCTTTCACAGTTGCACAATCCCAGTTTCACTATCCGCTCCCAGAGTTTCACAATCCATCTGCAGAGTTTCGCAATCCTACTTTATAGTTTCACAACCCGATTTTTTTCAAGTTTCACAATACAAGTTTCACAATCCGTGCGGCAAGTTTCACACTCCGACGGGCAAGTTTCACAATCCAAGTTGCACAATCCGTCCGGGAAGTTTCACAATCCGACCTGGAAGTTTCACAATCCGACGTTGACCACTTAGTCAGATGCAGGTTTCCTAAAAGGGGGGTACCACTTAAACTTAGCGATTTGAGTCAGATTTCATCACGTTTCATCATATTTCTATACATTTCTCATGATTTGGGGATTTCCTAAACTGGGGGCACCCCTTAAACTCATGGGAAAACCAATGGTGTGGGAAACCTATCTCTAATGGATGTGAATGGGAAAACCAATGACAATCATTGACAATCATCAGTGATATGGCGTTTTCCCTTATTTTCGTCTAAAACTGATGATTGTCAATGGGAAAAGCAATGGTTTGGCATACTTATATTGTAGGACACCACCATATGAATGGAATGTTAATGATTTTTTATGGAGATTCGTGGGGATGGTAGTTACTATAGTTACTATAGGATAGTAATTAATATAGTGACTATAGTTAATCGGGATATTTGCTAAATTCCATTAGGGATATCAATATGGATACTAAGAATGGTGTCATTTAAGAATGGTGAGATACTTTTATATTATCCACACCCTGTTAAGGGTTGTATAATGTATGGGGATGCAGTGGATAATTTGATTGGGCGTGGATTTTTTTTAATGGTGATCTAATGTAAAAAAATATGGGGATGTACTCTAATGTGAAATAAGAAACCATAGTGGGAAACGAGTGCCGCCAAAATTTGGTTCCACTTCCCTACAACCCGCGTCTCAAGGAAGCACATCTTTGGCGCGGAGAGTACGAAGAAGCAGCGGCTCGGTCAGTCAACGGCCTACTTGGGAGTATTATACATCCAATAGATACCAAGTATACATGGGACGTTCATCAATGTGGGGATATGGATACCGAATCTTCTGGATATTCACAAATTGATACCAATTGTATATGAGACACATGATATAATTACATCCAATCAACACCAATAGCGATGTGTACAAACACCTTATGATTCAAAGTCCCAATTTTTAATGGTTAATCCAAATATTTTATGGCTAATCCCCAGACGAATAAGATGTGTTGTTGTTTGATCCGTGTGTGATGGTGCTTAGAGCCTCTATTAGAGGGCTATTTGATGGTTGCATTCGGCTATATTCTAGTTAAACATTCCCATCTTTGTTGGCTAAGTGATTAAACCGCAATGTTTCCTGCCCCTCCTGTTTTGTTGGGTAGTCCCTTGTTTCGCTTGGTTCACACCTCAGGCAATTTACAAGAACCTTTGCATTTTCATTCTTGTCGCTTCAAATCTGCATCACCAACTTTGCTTGGTCAAGACCCTATATACTGGTAAAAAACCAGGGTTTCCAGGGTTTCCGGTAGATTTTCCCTCTTCCCCCGTGATTTTTGCCGCTGAAATCCCCTGATTTTCTGCGCCGAGGTCCTGGCTGCAGAGGCGCGGCTGCGCTACGTCTCGCAGGTCCTGGGCTATGAGGACTGCGCGGTGCGACGCGGTGCCGAGGTCAGGGACCCCCGAAAATGGAGGGTTGTTTTTGGGAAATCCTATGCACATGGATGATTCAGAGATACCCCATAGGAAACCTCCATATACTCAAATCTCTGGTTTTTTGTCGGGCTGAAATATTGGCCCATCATCATATGCAGTATGGCCACGGTTCGGTGCGGTTTCACGGAACCGAACCGAAAGCATGCGGTTCGGTTCGTACACGGTTCGGTTCTACTCTGGGTCAGTTCGGTTTCACGGAACCGAACCGAAAGCATGTTCGGTTCGGTTCCTAAACGGTTCGCTGCCGGCTCGGTTTCACGGAACCGAACCGAAAGCATGTTTGGTTCGGGTCCCAAACGGTTCGGTTCTGGACGGTTCGGTTTTCCGGTTCGTACGGTTCCAAGTGTTTGGGCTGAAACAATACCTGGGCCTTCCAATTGCACAATCAGGCGTTTCATCAAATTTATGGTCGTATCGAGCGTTTCCCCAAAAAGTTAGGCGTGGTATGTCATGGCTGTGTTTCCCATCAGCATAGCCCTCCTCCCAGTCTTCTCGCCAGTATTCTGCTTAAAAAATATGGAGCCGCACATCCAAGTTGGTTTCTGTTTAATTGCGCGCTCCCAAAATTATACAAATTTACCAGATTCTTGGATTTGCGGGCGTTTGAGGGGTTTTTGCGGGCGTTTTGCGGATTTTTTCGGGCATTCTGCGGGTAGCTTTGGGCGCAGTTATGTGCATGTATATGCGTTGGTGCTTTAGATATGAGAATGGCCTGGTATGTCCCTGGGACGCAGCCAGGATGCAAGCCATGTTCAGTCAGATTCACAATGTCAATTGTGGTGAGAGTGTGGCCACTAGGAAGGAAAACCAGGCAAACTAGTAGGCCAGCTAGACAATTCATCATTTCTAGTTATTTCTGGTTGATATTCCCAGCTAGAAACCGGCATTGTCCAGCATTTGTAGAGGGTTTTCCCATGAAAACTCCCAATTGCTAGGTTGTGAAGCGTCACAACATGATGGTTTAACCAATAAGTAATTTCATTTCATGGGGATGTAATGTAATGGGGATGCAACTCACTCTCCACATGCTGCTTCCTAGGGTTTCAAACTGGTTTCAAACTGGTTTCAAAGTGGTTTCGACCTGGTTTCAAAATGAGGTTTCTATGGAAATCCCTTGTAGCTGGAGGTTTCAATAAGAGGGGCACTTGTGAACGGGAAAATCTTGAGTAAACGGATCGGAAATTACTGTGGGAAAGTTTGTCCACATGGATGGGGCTATCCAGGGATGGCATGTTACGAATGGGTGATGGGGATGGCCATCCTTGAGAATCTCCTGGCTGGGTGTCGATCGTGTCGATCCACGCTGCTCGTTGTGCAGCCTGCCCATATTGAACAATGTACAAGGTATATTATATATTAGAAACCAGGACTGATTGAGAAACAGCTTTCTCAAAGCACATTCATGCAATATCCATAATGGATTCTAAGATGGATTTTGACAAAATATGCACATGCACATGGCATGAGTGGCAGCCTGTTGCTGCTTGATCCTGGAAGCTCCAATACCTCGGGTCGGGATCTTCTTGCCCTCAGGTGAAAGCATCCCTTCTTCCTGGCCCAGCTGTGAGATGTTTGTTCAGTGAGGCAGTCATCCACACTGGGATTGAGAGAGGACACGTTGAAACCATATTATTAGTGTTTCTTTTCCAACCAAATACGAAAACCGAAAAATGGATCAGTGTAGGAAGAACGTTGGACATGTAAATCGATTGGCTGATGTCAAGCATATCTTGATCCCATTTCACCAGACTGCAGTGTCCTTCAGCTTAGCCTGGATGACAGCCCTGATCATGTCCATGCGCTTTGTGTCCTGGCCTGCAGCAGGGATTCGTTGTCCGTTTCAGATCGATATATATTTCAGAAATATAATATAATATAAGATAATATAATATAATATAATATCATAGATAATGTAATATAATATAATAGATAATATAATATAATAAAATATAATATAATACAATATAATACAGTATAATACAATATAATATTATATTATTTATTGTAATATGCATGTGTATGGTCGGATATTTATTTTTATAACATGATGTAATCTGAATCATGAACAAAAGATAGTAGGCCCTACTAGTGTTGGTAATAAACATCAAAACACAAGGAAAGCATGGCACATAGTACACAGTAAGTAATATTGTCCATATGAAATCGAAAGCTGTCGTTCAGTCAGCCTGCGCAAACAACTAGGATTAATGTACCACTGCAACCCTAGCCTGGATTTATCATACCGCTGTAACCGATCCAAGCAGTAAGCCGCACAGGCGGTCGCCTGATGTTTGCAGAGCTGATGTGGCCCAGGTTGACAAACTGTTTCATGATATGTTGAGATGTCGTATATTATGAGGATGCATTTCCTGGTTGCATTGGCCATGCATGTCTGTCCTGTCTGTCCTGTCAACCTTTTTGTTCTTGCTCTCGGCGCAGGATCCTTGGAGAATGTGCTTTGTGATCGGCGTTCTGCGGGAAAAAATGAGACAGATTCAAAGGAACTATGATGTTCGTTGCTTCTATCTTATAGAAACCCTTTGTATAGTCACCATTTGATCCCTTCTTTGGCCTATTTCTGGGAATTTTAGATATATCTTCTTCACTTGGCGAAAATCTTAGAAATGATGCAAGTATTGTCATGAAGGGTGGCCAAGTTGAGACATGCAGACACTGATTTGGATGCAAGTATTGTCATGAAGAGTGGCCAAGTTGAAACATGCAGACACTGATTTGGTGATCACTGCCTGGGGATGGGGTGAATTTGGCCCTCCTGAATTGGGCAATGCCAATTTTTAGATATGTTTAGATTTTTTTAGTTGTTTTTAATATTTCTTAATTTCTTCTCTCTCTTTTTTTTGTTTGTTTAGTGTTGTGTAAGGGAGATTGAGGCCACCAGGAAAACATATAGACATCCAAAGAAACCTTGCATTAATGATTGGATGCGGCTTATAAGTTTTCGGACAATGAAATAAATATTCTGTGGAATTTAGTGGAATTTAGATTTCTATAGTGGAATTTATTGGGCTTTAGATTTCTATAGGATTCTATGGGTTCTTCTAGTTGTAGATATCGCAATGCATTCTGCAAAGAACCTATCAAATGAAGATGGCAACAAAGGGTTTGTATGATTTTATTTCTCGGAACCTTCTAACGGTTCGGTTCCACCGGTTCCCGGTTTGGTTTCTGCCATGTCGGTTTGTTCCTAAACGGTTCGGTTCCTCAACGGTTCGGTTCCACCACTTTCCGGTTCGGTTTCTGCCTTGCCGGTTCGGTTCCATCACGGTTCGGTTCCATCACGGTTCGTTTCCACCGCTTTCCGGTTCGGTTTCGGCCATGCCGGTTCGGTTCCATTACGGTTCGGTTCTTGTTGGTCCGGTTCGCCGGTTCCCGGTTCGCTTCCGCGGCCATCCTGCATATGGATGATAAAAATTGATGATATATGGATGATATGGTGGTTTCCTAAGTCATGGGGGTAATCCCACATCATCCAGTCATGGATGACAATTTTAGTATTGAAACCCACGGTGACGTGGGGATCCCATATGGATGAAAATATGGGTGATATAGTAGTGTTCACACAGATTTGGAGGGATGAGAACGGTGCTATAGGGTGTTGCACTGCGGACCTTCATGGACCTTCCCATTCATCAACCATTGTTGGGGTGTTTCTTCAAACAAACAACTCTTCCAAGACTCTTCCAGGATCGATCCGGGGATTAGTACTTGAACCCTTTTTCGCAGGCGACTCGAGAAATCGCAATGACCGCGGTGAAAGAAAACCGTCCAATGTGCTCAAGGGATGACGAGGGTATGCAGTATCCACCACATGGGTAACCCCAAATCTATTATTTGATATTATGTGTTGTTCCTTGGGTAGGGGATCGAAGCACATGGTATGAGGATTGTCTCGGATTTCGTGCAATGCCCAACTCATAAAATATGATGATGACAGTACTGGAATATGTCATAATGAATGTTTGATGTCCCAGCAAGTCCAAGCAACAACCCCAAGTGTAACTTCGACAGCTAGCAACAATTACAAGTCCAGGTTGAAACTTCTCAACTTTTGGAACCCTAACCAATCAAACTGGGGAACTCCCTCCCTAAATTTGTGGGTAAAAACCATGGTTTCCTCTATAGGGTTCCCCAAAAAGATAGAACACCTTTTCCAGGATGTCGCTTCGATGATATTCGCTCCAAATTGTCAGGTGTCCAAGTTGCTATAATCCATTATCCACCCATTTTACAACAACTTTTATCCCATCAAATCAAACCAACACTTCCCATGAAATCTTTCAGCCCCATTTAGTTTATGGTTTGGTATATATTCTATAAATTATATATGTATCCCATCAATTTCCATTAAGTCCCCATTAAGTCCCCATGAAATCCTACCATGAAATCCCAGCAATGGCGGCGCCAAGGATTGGAACCGCAACTCCTCGAGGATGGCAGAGATGGTGTCTCCAAGACAGGACAAGCCGCAGTTTTCAGAGACTATAAACAGAGACATCTATTTACCATTTGGCTATTTAACATAGCCATGGAAAATGGCCCATTTATAGATGGTTTACCTATTAAAAATGGTGATTTTCCATGGCTATGTTAAATTACCAGAGGGTAGGTAAATAGCTGGTTGGTGGTTTAGAACATTTTTTATTTTCCCCAATAGTTGGGATGATGATCCAATCTGACTAATATTTTTCAGAGGAATAGTCTAATAGAGACTATCTAGTGATAAATATGATGTTAATAGTTGTAAATAGAGACGATCTAATTTTAGCTAATTAGTGATTAACTTACATCTATTAACTAACTACATAAACTGAGACATCTAATAATTTTTGTGATCATGAATATAATGAAGGACATGATATAAATTAATCTAGTTGCCTAGAAAATACATATCATTTCATATCGGCTATTTCTATATTCAATCATTTTAAAGTGTTATAAACGCTACATTGCTACTTCATATGGAGTCTGTATTCCGAAAATCTCCTTATTTCGCTTGGAAGTGATTAATTACTGGGGTAGAAGTTCTGCCTCAATACCTCCATGCATTTTCCAGCGGAGAACACGTGCAGATTTTCGAACAATTATGAATAAGGATGATAAGAAACGGTGCATTTTTTAAGTGTTTGTTTGAGAACAGGGCCCATTTATAATTCCATATCCTTGCTTTTACCTGTTTCACAAGAAATTATTCTGATCCATCTTCACGACATGTGCGCAATTCGTTAGAGCCGCGTAACGTTTTGCCAAGAAAAGTAACACTCATCCCATAAGCGCAAACTCTTCAGAAAGTGGAACCTTCCATTGAAGAAGGTGCAATTTCCGTTCATTCGGAGATAGGAATGATTCTGCTATAGGATGTGACCAAGATGGAACAAAAGTGATAAAAGTGTAAGTTCCACTAGACAATGCATATGGAGGGCCACGAGCACATCAAATTTTCAGCAGTTCCCATAGAAAGGGACGCCTTTCCTGAAAGTAATGCAAGTAGGAAAGCCAGCCGCAAACGCACACCGCAGTGCTCGGATTGGCCAAAAAGACGCCAGGAGAATCGGAACTTGGGTAGGGGTCCCCAAAAAACCATGGACACTTGGCAGGGCACCCAAAACACATATCACCATATCCAGAAGGAACAGCTCCCCAAAACCACTAATTCTGTGTTCCGTGTTAAGTTTCATCAAGGGTTTCTGAATTACTAAGAACATCTAACGACCTTTTTTTGCTCGTCATCTCCGTGTTTTTTCCCCTGGGGATGAAGATCACCACCGGCCGATTAGCACTAGAACCCCCAACAACATTTTTCCGTCATCTGGCTTAATTTTACGAACTATGACATTCTTACCATAACCCATAGGATCCATGTATGGTATATTTACCTACAGTTGGGTGAATTTTAGGGCAAATGTGGGTAAATATACCATACATGGAGCATATGGGATAAGAAAACAGATGAACCAAAAGAAAACAGCACGTAAATCCACCAACTCAACTTTTTTTCATGTCGCTTAGGTCAGCGGGCTGTTGTCTCAAGCCACGGCCCGTTGGGGCAGCCGAGTTTCACAAGGATTTGGTCAGCAGAATTGGGGTCTCAAACAAGAAATGGGTATGGATCAATACCTATTAATACCATTTTAATGGGATGAACATCCATTTACCAGCTATTTTGATGTTCACCAGGGGTACAAGGTTTTGACACACTCCCAAATAGCAAGACATTTGGGCATTTAAAGCAGAACTGTGGACTAAAGATGATTGAAGTACCAGTTCTATGGTGGTTTTCACCAGGGATTTGAGCAACCATTTGAGAGTTCGTAAATGCTTCGTGAGAGGGTGATTTCACACTGATCATCCCATACTCATGGGTACGTATTTTTCCGGGGATTTTTTTTCAGATTTCCCGGGGATTTTTTTTCAGAAATCTATTCGCAGGCCACGCAGGGAACAGGCAAGCAAGCAAGCAAGCCAGCCAGCCAGCCAAGCAAGCAAGCAAGCAAGCAAAAGAGCAAGCAAGCAAGCAAGCAAGCAAGCCAGCCAGCCAACAAGCAAGCCAGCGAGCAAGCAAGCAAGGCAGCCGCAAGCCAAGCAAGCAAGCCAGCCAGCAAGCAAGAAAGGGCAAGCCAGGGCAAGCAAGCAAGCAAGCCAGCCAGCCAAGCAAGCGAAAGGAGTTGAAGCAGAAGCCAGGGCAGCAAGCAGCCAGCCGCCAGCCAGCAAGCAAGCAGCAAGGCAGCTATCTATCGTTTCATATCGATCTATCTATCTATCTACTATCTATCTATATATCTAATCTATCTATCTATCTATCTATCTATCCGTTCTATCTATATCTATTCGACCTACCTATCTTATATAGTTCATATATCTATTATCTATATATCTATATATCTATCTATCTATCTATCTATCTATCTACTATCTATCTATCTATCTATCTATCTTTATACTATTGTTCTATCGATCGATCGATCGATTTACCATATCTATCTATCTATTCTACCTATCTTATCATTGTTTATCTATCTATCTATCTATCTATCTCATCTAATCTATCTATCTATCTATCTATCTATCTATCATCGATCTATCTATTATTCATCTATCTATCTATCTATCTATCTATCTATTCTATCGTCGTTATATCTATCGTCTATCGTTCTATCGTTCCGTATTACGTTCTATCTATCTAATCTATCGATCCATCTAATCATCCATCCTTCTATCATATCTATCTATATATTCCTATCTATCTATCTATCCTATATCCTAGATACTATCTATAAGAGACTATCTATCCTATCCTATCTAGAGACGAGATCCTATCTATCCTATCTATCCGGAAGATATACTATATATATCTCTATCTCTCCTCTCTAATACTCTATCTATATATCTCAGATGTCCTATCTATATCTATCCTATCCTATCTATCCTATCTATCCTATCTATCCTATCTATCCTATCTATCCTATCTATCCTATCTATCCTATCTATCCTATCTATCCTATCTAACCTATCTATCCTATCTATCCTATCTATCCTATCTATCCTATCTATCCTATCTATCCTACCTATCCTATCTATCCTATCTATCCTATCTATCCAATCTATCCTATCTATCCTATATATCCTATCTATCCTATCTATCCTATCTATCCTATCTATCCTATCTAATCTATCTATCCTATCTATCCTATCTATCCTATCTATCCTATCTATCCTATCTATCCTATCTATCCTATCTATCCTATCTATCCTATCTATCTATCAATCTATCAAAAACATATGCAGGGCAAACAAAGAAATTGAGCGACCCAAATATGAATAAATATGCCAGGTGTGTTATGGCGTCAAGAGGAGGATACCAAACTGATCCTGTGTTGAGCCACACCACACTATTGCAACTTCAACAGAACCACAGCTGAAACCTAACGACGACATATCTGGCATCACAGCACAGTCGAGACTAGAGTATTGCGACCTTTCCGTGTTGGAAAAAGGTAGGGGCGCGAACCCTTTCCGCATGGTTGCTGCTTCTGGCCTTGTGTGTTTTGCTATATAGACCCCGTATCCTGAAAAAAAATCCCCGGGAAATCTGAAAAAAAATCCCCGGGGACGCCCACACCCCATACTCATGGTGTTGCCAGGGTCTATGTCTTGGACCATTCGGACGGTATACAACTACAATGTGTGCATACATGATTTACATAATTAAGATAGATTAATCAATAATTGTTCAATTATATATATAATGTATATATATATATATAATGTATATATATATACAACAAGTAATATGCAAGTAAGTAGTCACGGAGACAGCTAGCATTGTTTTTTTCGGCGTTGCTGGGTGCGCTCCATTTCTCATCGCAGGTCCGAGATGTGGGCACCTTGGCTCCTCACATATGAGAAGGACGCTGTTCAGTGTGTGTCACCATCGATGCAACGCTGGTACAATGGCAATGTGGCAATGAGAAAACACCCAAAAAACATGATGTATATTACTGTAGTATGTACCTCTATTATATGACCATTGTGATCCATTATGTGTATATATATATATACCCTCTGGTAAACTAACATAACTATGGAAAATCACAATTTTTAATGGGAAAACTCACTATAAATGGCGATTTTCAATAGCTATGTCAGCCATTACCAGAGGGTATATATATATATCCAATATCACTATGGGTATGATATAGCCTATCTTAAAATTTTCTCGCATCCATCGAAGAATCTGTGAAGAATTTGAAGCTGCTGAGTCGTGCCCACGGAGGAACTGCAAGAACAAACAACTCGACTCAGAAACCTTGCAGGAGGTCGGGGGTTGAGAGGTTCTTTGATGCCTAGTTTATCTCCATTTTAATAGGGAAAGTTTTGGGGTTTTCCGAATATGTTCAGACAAACCTACAAGGTCCGAGGCTTGATCAAACGCCCTTAGATAGAAATCCTTAGCTTTGTTGCTGATATACACATAGACATCTCCAACCATATCTTCAATATATCCTATTTTGTTGTTGCTTAAAGTTTTTTCCCCGCCTTTCAGACCATAGATTCGCCATAGATCTGCGAACATCTTCCAATTTGTTGTTGGTTAAAACCATGTTGAAGCCAGATTTGCAGGGGTTGGTAACTGTCCCATTTTGGGTATATTGGACATCACCTTATAGTAGCCATTATAGACCATATACCTAATGGTTGGGTGATGTTCAATGGGGACATTTAATGACCCATGTTTTTGGTCGTGTTTTGGGTGGTCTTCCGCAACCCAAATCCAGGAGGCGGCGCTGCTCCAGGGGCTCCAGTGCCCTTGCCCTTTGGACTCACGGCAGGTGCCCGGCAGCACCATGTCTGACAGGACCATTGGTGTACCATTCGATGACTAAAAATGATGACTATTGGAAGAAATAGAAGACTGGTTGGTGGTGACTGGAACCATGGAATTTTAGGACTTTCCATTCAGTTGGGAATGGAATAACATCCCAACTGACGAAGTCCATCATTTTTCAGAGGAGGGCTCAACCACCATAGAATTGGATGATGGGAAAATTTACAGGAAAGCCCTATATTTGATGGTAAAAACCATGGTTTCCTGTAGATTTTCCCTTAAACCAATCCAATGAAACCACCAACCAGAAGATGTCTTCTTTTTGACCATTTCGACTCATAGCCGCTGAGAAGTGGATCATTTTTCACTCGTTTGCTGGGGGATTTTCCAGCCGAGGTGAAATGCGATATTTCGGGGATGCACTGCAGCGACAAGGGACAACATCAGGAAGTCAGAAAGTCAGTAGGAAAGTAAGGGAGAAAGAAAGGAAGGGATTTGTACTGGTACTGGTAGTATGACTCAAGTATGACAGAATTTTGGCAATGCACATATCATCTGTGTTGAGTTGCGACCTCCAGCCGCAGAGAGTGGCTGTGCCATTCATCCCCTTCTGAAAAATGCTCCCTTGCTCTCTTTCGCGGGCTTGATGTAACCAAGTTTACAACTTGGAACGGCATTATTTGTGCAGCTTCCATGTGAAGAGTGGTGCTTTTGAAGGGTCCTTCTTGGAGACACAATCATCGCTGTATTTCAGTTGCTAATACAATACATTTGTTGTTTGCTTTGGATCCCCATTAACAATCTTTCTGCTGCAAAAGCAGCACCTGAGGGGGACCCCAATTTGCCAACTCGACCACTTAGATTGGCATCCCAATCAGTAGCGGGTCATAAACGGTTGACCATCCTGAAGTTGTTTCTCTTACGACCCACATGAACTCAACATAGAGCCCAACATTGGTGCATATCCACTAGTAGTCCCTCATGTTTGGGATCCCATTGGTCAGGTTCCACGTTGCAATCCCTTCCCCCTGAAACAATCCTAAATCCCATTGAATACCCCTTGGAACCCCCTTGTTTAGTATGCTTTCTATTAATATGGGGGGACCATGTGGGGGTATTTCACATTCGGGGGATGGGATAGTTCTGATCCAGTCACCAGGATGACTCTCACCTCATCACTGTCCCCCTGCCAGGTAGCGGACCGCGGATCCTCGATCGAGGGAGGGGCAGGTGAGACGCGCTTCCGCCACAGATTGGGTTTTTTCATCGCAGCAAGGGGGGAAAGGATCAACATCTTCCGTGGAGATATCTGATCCATCCAACCGATAAATGATCTACCCACAAGAATCGTGAACGTACCTGGCAACTCTACCCCAAGAATCTGTATATGGTTGTACTAAATCTGGATCACCAAAATTCTACCGCCAACATTTACACCACCAAATCCAAGTATCCAAATTCGGGGCATAGTGTTATACTGTTATACTATATTCATACATACCACCAAAAATGATAAGAGTCCATTGTATTCTTATACTATATTCATATATACTATATTTTTAAAGGGCCACTTTTAGGGTGAATGTCGCAACAGTTCCGGATATGAGCATTTGGGAAACTTACATCACCAAGGCTCCAGCACAGGATTGAACTGAAGTTGCAACCCATGTGCACTCCATATTGAACCCCAATGTTCATTGGTTATTATATATTGTTATATAATATATGTACTATTATGTTATATCATATTATATTATTTTACCATTGTTACTATTATTATTCTTTCTATTTTATTTTGTTACAGTTTTTATTTTTGTTGCCATTTGTGCTATTACTATTGTTATTGTTGTTACTATTACTCTTGTTATTATTGTTATTATTGTTATTATTGCTATTATTGTTATTGTTGTCATTATTATTGTCATTGTCAATATATATTAATTATTATTATCATTATCATTTTTCTTATTATTATTGTTATTATTATTATTACTAGTTGATTGTTATATAATATCATTATTATGTATTTCTTGGTTATAATATTTATATAACATACATCCCAATCCCCTATTTTCAATGGCGAGTCATCACCCCTCCCCTTGGCCTTGCAGGTCGCGCTCGCCGGAGCGCAGTAAACTGCGGGGCATGGCGGGCAAACCTAGCCAGGAGGCGGAGATGGTAGGTATAAGATGATCATAAGATGATGGCAGTCATGATGATTACAAGCTAATATGATATCAGCTAAGATGATCATAGTCATAAGCACTAAAGTCATTCTAAACTCAGCTAAGATGATGCTACTCATCCCCAAGTTGAGTTTAGGAAGTTTAGATGAGTCTTGTTTTTTTTTTTTTTCAACAGTTGAAAAGTTGGGTTCACTCCGAAATTCTAGTTTTTTTTTTTTGGCAAACTATATGTAATATAAAGAGGCATTGGGACTATATATCTATATATTATGCATATATAATATGAGTTTTGGGGTGTGTTTGCTAAATGACGTATACGTACCCCAAATAGCAGCTTTTGATGGGACAACTTACGAAAAGCAATCAGATTTTGGTTCCCTATTTCAAACAAACCCAAACAGATCCAGCAGAAATGGTGGGTTCGCCAGATTTACCTTGCATTAGCCTTGAGAAACATTTCCAGAGGTTGAATGAGACATGAGATATTAATCATCTGTCAAGGAGTCGCAGAATATTGGGGGTTCTTCTTTTACTACTAAGGGTTGTTTGATCATTCCGTTTGATCCTACTGGGGGTTGGTGCAAACTTGTGAATGTAACAACATCGTAGGTGGGAATGATGCTTGGCATATGTTGATTTGGTAAATTAACAAGTCAAAAATCAAGATCACCATTCAGCAAATCCATGGTTGCTGCCAGGGACCCCTTTGTGGAAGACCCTTTTGGTTCGGACCGGGCTGGGCGGGCTGTTGACATGCCTGTTGATTTCCGAGATTTTCCATATGTTTCTTTCCACAATATTTTCCATATATAACATGCTCCGTTCACTTAGAATATGGAATTGAAATTTTGGCTTCCCAGGGCATCCCCATAATTGAACTTGAAACAGGATACTTAGAATACAGTTGACGTCAAAAAACCTATACTTAGAATATCGTTGGACCATATAAATTCTTTCACTTTTCCAGACGAATTCGTCATTTTTCCATAGAAATTCTTCACTTTTCTTTATAAATCCTTCACGTTTCCATAGAAATTCTTCACTTTTCCATATTTTTGCCATACAATTTCTTTCACTTGTTCAGTCAAATTCATCATTTTTCCATATATATATATTTCTTAATAAATCCTTCACATTTCTATACAAATTCTTCACTTTTCCATATTTTTTTCCATATAAATTCTTTCATGTTTCCAGACAAATTCATTATATATTTTTCCATATAAATTGGAAATGGGGGCATATTCTAAGTGGAGTTGCGTTCGAGTTCAACTGCATAATTGGAAAAACGCATATTCTAAGTGAACGGTGCACCTTATATATATATACAGTATGACTATTTATATGTAATAATACATTATATGCTACCTGTTGATTTCCATGACACATCATGATGTCCTATCATTATCCAACCAAAGTTGATTTGGATTTTGATAGCCACTCTGGTTGGATAGATCCTTTCGATTTCCAGTTGCGTTTCATCCAGGAGACACCAACTCTGCCACGCCTGAGAGTACCAGCCATTCCTACTATGGCAGGCCGGCCCTGAAGGGTTCAGAAGTTCAACCTGCGGTTGGGTCACGGGCTAGTTACACGTTTTTTCTTTTTTGCATCCATGAACATGGGATGATGATGATGATGATGGTGGTGGTGGTGGTGGTGATGGTGATGATGATCCATAATAAATCCTAATGACCTATTCTTTCTGAGTGCGGTCCTGGAATCCATGGATGTGATCATTTTCCAGGATGAAAACAACCGTTCTTGGGTATGATTTTTGGAGCCATACAGTAGCGCTGTTTGGCAGGACAAGAAGTGGCATGTCCACCATCTAGTGCAGCAGTTGGGAGACACTATGTGAGATGAATGGATTTCATGGATTTGCACATTTTGTTAAACATGTCTGCATACATGAACAACTATGATAGACTGGAAGGATATTTTTCATGCAAAACACAAAGAGTCGCGGTGAAGATTCAGCCCCTGGAGATCTGAAGATCTTGGGAGCACAGGTCTCAAAGTCGACGGCAACGACCCAACCAGGCACGCCAGGTGTAACCAGGGTTTTTCACTGGCACTGGAAAATCCGCCAGATGCCAGACATCTGGCGGAAGGGGATAACCCACGATTTTAATGGGTTTTCGACTGGGTTTTTCGACCATAGAAAAGGGATGATTGGTTGAGATGACTTGAACATATTTTTAAGGGATCAATGGGTTAAAACATGTTAAAACCACCAGCCAAAACATCCATGTTTAGATTTTTTCATATAGAGAAAATGGGGAAGAACAATTGCCATGTCTGGTTCCTGCAGTTTTTTTTTTCCCGGGTTTGTTCAATACCTTTGATGGGTTAGCAATCACACGGGTTGACGCCCAGTCACAAAGGTTCTCACGATTTCACTGTTTTGCATTTACGCACCACGGAGAATGACTTAATGCCCGAAACATCAAACAACTTCGCTACTTTCTTGGGGGCCTTTCCACTCCAAGGCGGCCTCGGAGCTGAATCCAGGCGTTGGCAGGGACGGAGGTTTGTTATTTGGGCAGGGATGGTTTCGGTTTCTTTTAAAGAAGAACAACCGCATTTTTCGCAAAGCACATCAAGTTTTTTGGTTTCTGAATCACACCCAAATCTCCAACATGGCAAAATTTAAGACCCAAGATTTGTTGTTCACCAAATGAAAGACTGGGACGACTGTTGGGATTGTTCCAAAAAATCCCCAGACTTCAGGAATCGATTTCCTGTGCCATCACTGAATCATTGAATGTGTATTACAGATGGTCATGGGAGGCCAGCCAACCTTGCCAACAAGCAAAAACACAGGCTGGGGTGGGCAATCTTTCTATCTCCGTGGTGCACGCATTTTGCCAGAAGTGTAGAATCTGGAAATGCAACAGATTACTGATTACTGAGAAGCAAAGAAATAAGAAACACAAAAGCAATGAATTATAGTACATTGATCAGCAAAATGGTCAGTATGGGTCAGTATCTCAAAACAGCCTGACTTCAGAATCTCTAATCAACTGTCATAAATTAGTGAATTAGAATTTATTCAGTTGTTCTTATCACATCTTATCAATGGTTGTCTCCTTAAAGTAACAGAGTCAGACTCGACGATCCATGGCGCAACTGCCAGGCGCTGAGGAACCTCTCAGGCCTGGGATGGACGGAAAGCGAAAAGCTATGCTTTACTACAAAGCACTGCTCCAAATCTCCCAAAACAAATTTCTATGGACCCAACATGACCCAATTGATTTGTGGCGGCTCACATCATGCACTTTCTTTCTTTCTTTCTCTCTCTCTCTCGGTCTGTTGCAAGGAATGAATATCTAATACCAGCGGTTTGGCACGATTTTTTTTCACCTATCACATGCCATACATCATCATACATCTACTTTAAAATGCTGTTTTTTTGTGTGTGGATATCCTTGTCATTCCTTATCGACCCGTCAGAATCTGCGGCTGGACGTCAGCGTTCAACGGAGCGGCCAGGTCACCAGTGGAAGCCAAAGATCTCGAGGCGGGGCCTGGGAGTGGTGGAGTGGCAGCCTGGAGATCACTGATTGGAACTATTTTTACTGGGTAAATCCACTATTTCTATGGGATATCATGGGATATCATGGCTAGTTGGTGGTTTCAAACATGGCTTTTATTTTCCACTTCATATATAGGATGTCATCCTTCCCTCCCATTGACGAACTCATATTTATATTTTTCAAGATGGTTAAAACATGTTAAAACCAGCAACCAGTGAAATAGCATGTTTGAAACATAGCATCCTTTCAACAAACATAGCAACCTTGATCTTCCAAGGCTCTATTTCTCGACAATCTGCAAACACATACGCTTTTTTCAGGTGGAAGCCCAGTCGTCTCCCAGTCGATTCAAACACGCCAGGGCGCCTGAGTTTCTCAGGAAGAGTCCATGATTTTCTTTGTCAGGATATCGTACAGTATCCATGGATAGAACATATTGTGTCTACATATATCATCATATCTGGTTGGTGGTTTGGAAAAAATATTTTTCCATATATTGGGAATAATCATCCCAACTGACGAACTCCATCATTTTTCAGAGGGGTAGGTATACCACCAACCAGATGTTATATTAGCATATTTATGGCAAGTCTATCTTTTTGGGGCTTTCTTTCGAAGCCACAAGGATCATCCACCACAGAGATGATCCCATGTCGAACGGCAGTGCAGGGTGTGGATCAAGGGTGAACAACCTCTGAACAAATGCATACACATACATATTATACATATATAATTATAATTAGTATACATATCGTGAAATATACATTATTATATATTTGCTGATAGAATTCGGTGATTGAGCAACAAGAGTGTATTGAACTTCGCTTTAGCATCCATCTTTTTCACATCTCACAGAACTGAACTTCAATTTCTTCCCAAGGACAACCCGACCTCACTTCGGGAACAACTGGCCGCGGACGGGTTTTTGTCGGAACCGGTGTGGATTTTTTCTACGGCAGCTACGGGCCTGGCAGGGGTGAATTGATTGGGTACTCCAAAAGCTGGATGGTCTAAGCCTCAATATCTCCACATGGATGTACAAAATAAGAGCTGGGCTAAGCCATTTCTACTGTACATCGCCAGAGTCTGGACTTTTTTTGGGACCAGTTTTTTTCCAACTGGCCATCAAATGGTACCTTTGGTAAACCAACATAGCTGTTGAAATCACCATTTTTAGTGGGTAAATACACTATAAATGGGCCATTTTCGATAGCTATGTCAGCCATTACCAGAGGGTAGACATCAGAGAAACTCAGGGAGTGTTGGTGCCATATCCAGACCCATGACCTTCGAGGAATCCTTCCTTGCACCGACCATCCTGGCTGCTGGGAAGGCACCAATTTCGGTGGGGTCCCCGCAGTCGTGGCTGGAGGGGAAATCCCCAAATGGGCATGTCAATGGGAAAGTCATGGATAAACCAGAATAGCCACTGGGCTTCTTATCTACTCTTGGGTTACTTTGGCAACTGCAAGTTTCAAGGTGCCTTTGCCATAGATGTGTGAGGCGCGAAGAGTCTGAAGTAGGTAGTGGGGGTGCACAAATCCCATAAAAATTGAACATACAACCATGGATTCCCAAAAATGAGCAGGGCAACATCCCAATATCCATGGAGTTTCCTAAGTCATGGGGGTACCACAAAAATCTTCCAAGTCATGGATCAATGGATGACCATGACTTGGCACCCCCATGGTGACTTGGGGATCTCCCATGACGGTTCCGTTGGGTAAGCTGAGCCACCGCGAGAATCACACGTCCCCCGGCTCAGCCCATCGTTTTCGGCTTCATGGACGAGAATCGCAAGTGGGGAAGCCTGGTGCTGACTGGAAAGTCACTGGGTAAATCTCATTGGATCTCAATAGGAGCAAATAAGCCTATAGCCGGTCAAGAAAAGTTGATTATAACATGTTATAAAGATTTACACAGTTCTAAATTCAAAAATTCATTGGTTTTCCGGATGGCTGCTCCTCTCATTTTCGATCTGGCGACATATCTTTCCTGTTTTAAGCCATCAGAATCAGGTCTCGATTCTCCAGTTGGCGCAAACTAGTTCTAGAGATTTGTTGGTGAATCTCCAGCAACTATTGATACCGTCTGGGAATTCAATATAGCTATGGAATTCACCTTCTTTTAAAGGAGCAAACCATCTGATCGAATTTATCAGCCTATCTTTCGCATCTGTATTTCCTTCCTTTTTGCTACATCGAAGGAGCTCTTTTAGTTCCAGGTTGCTTTCTGCCATTTGTCTCCCCATGTTTTCTTATTCACCACATGATGGTTGAATGATCAGGCCGGTGTTTGATCATGACACATTCCCTGGCGGGTTCTATCCGCATTTCTTGGTTCTATCCGCATCCCCATGTAGCTTTGGATCAATACCTATTAATACCATTTTTAGGGGGATGAACATCCATTTACCAGCTATTTTGATGTTCACCAGGGGTACAAGGTTTTGACACACTGCCATGTGGGCAAATCACACTCTGGTACTGTACATTCAATGCAGTTTCCTCTAATTATCCGTATTGAATCATTTCATTCGTTCCCCCAAGAACAGTTACACTTCCCTTCAGAAACCCCAAAAAACCCCAAGGGGATGGCTTCATGGGTCGGAATCATCCCATGGGCACCGTTTCGTACTCCCAATCTTTGATGGTTGAAATCCGAATGGTCATCTCCCATCCCTGATTTTAAAAAGCCCTATTTATCAAAAGGCCAGTTTGAGTTGAGTCCCATCTTTATGTTAGTTAAATCATGTTGAATATGGTTAAATTCTGGATTCAAATCGGAAAACCTCACCAGTTTGGTTAGAAAAAAGTGACCCTTTCCAGGCGAATAAGTGACCCTTGTTTTCCTGAGGCCGCCACATAGCTCCTTTACCGTGCGATGAGCTGCGAAGCTGACGCTGGCATTCCCAGGAGAATGATATCTTTAAAAAGCTAAGCATATGCTAAAAGGCGATGTTACCCACCATAAATATATCTAAACATCTGGATATTACATGATATTACTATCTGATACAATAGGTATGTGGATTTGATCTGCAAAAGTTTTGTATTTTCTTTTAATCATTGAACAATTGTGGATGTGATATGGATTGGCTTCAACACATGGGGATTTGATCAGCACGTGCATGTCCTCGAAGAATGTGAAACAGCACCATGTTTATCTGCCAAACAAATATCAGGATGGAGCACTACTTGCAAATGGCAGTCAGACTGCATCGCATCCATTTTGTTGAAACTCAGTTGCTTGAAGCGCATCGACATGCATCGACACTTTGGGATCCGCACATTTAGTGATGATGTTTTACCTGGTATAATTTGCAAGTGACATCACGGTTCCCTCTCATCGACTATTGTGGCCCCATAGTATCAATACTGTGGTTTTTCATGTGGATGGTGGCCAAATCCTGCACCAGTTGGTAGATGGGCAAAATCCCATGATGTCAAAACCCTGGTACCTTTTGTTCACCCCAAGTCATAGCTGGGTTAAAATGGATGTTCATCCCACTAAAATATGGTATCTATAGGTATTGACCCATACCCATGTATCAACCATGATGTCTCAGCACCACTTCCCAAGATCTCTGCAGATTAGTGGCAACCACTGAAGGCACACTTCCGAGACCTGCAGCTGCAGTTCCTGGTGCTATGACTCTATGGTCTGAAAGGCAAGAAAAAAAATCACCTGTTATGTAGGTATGGGTCAAAATTGAAGCCCAGTAAAACCACAGATTTTAGATGATTTTAGTCTGTGTATGATTTTTCACCATCTAGTTATTGGGGTACCCAATTTTGACCCATACCCATGTAATGTTCTATAGACATGATAGCCAGTACTCTTGGTACTATAGTTCCCCAAAAACCTTTGAGGTCTGGGAAAAAACAACCCAAGGCCGAAAAAAACAACTTTGCGGCCCAGAAACCACATTCCTACAACATTTCACCGTCAACGACCATAGCCACTTAACGATGATCCTAAGATCCTAAGTATTGGCTGCCATGGCGGCCATTGCACCCCAACTGCTGCGCGGTAATGTTTCAATCTTCCGACTTTCGGACTTCTGTGCTAAGGGGCGCGGACTCTAGGGCCAGTTGATCAGACATTGTAAGCATCCATCAAGGATCTAACTGGCGCTGGGGGCGAACGTCATGGGTCTGTGGAAGACGGCCTCCGCACTGCCCAGGGAGGTCTGGTTGGTGGTTTCCAAGTTCAACTTGATATCAACCACTTTTTTGTTTTCCTTCCCCTTTTTGGGATTATGAATCTAGTTCTTTGACTCATACGTATTTTTGCACGGGCTCAACCGCCAACCAGAGATGCCGGAAAGGGCTCCTCAATTGGACACAAGCCCACGTATTGCATCCATCCCGAAATAGCGACATGGACAATGAACCACTTTCAAGACCAAGAAGCTGCTCGGCAGAAGCTGCGCAAGAAATGTGGATACTGGATGATACTGGAGGTTATGAAGTGAATCACATAATAAGTGGATGACCTGATATAGTTGGGAGGGTAGTTGAAGTGGAATCCTCAAAAGATAGGCTTGGAATTGTTGGGACATGTCTGGAATCAAGGTGATTCTAGGGTCGCAGATGGCCCAAATTTCTTACATCTGTCCAGCTTCGATGGCTCACAGCGTCTCACAGCTGTCACATGGGGCTATCAGGCTATGTGAGAAATGGACCCCTTGGCCCATCATCCACAGGTGTCAGCAGGGTAGCTGGAGCCAATGATGGGTGAATGACAGCCACCTGGTGGGGGAATTCAGAAAAATGCCCCCTTGTAATTGGGGTATTGGGAGCAACCATGATTCACCTTGGGAGAGTACACGCTCACAAACGCATCGACACACTCATCAGAAATGCCACCTATGTCGCTGAAACATGGCAGCGGAGTCGGCCCAAGAGATTTGGCCCCAGGTCAGATGTGTTTTTTTTCTCACCAGAATCACTAGCCTTTCAACTAATAGTTAGGATTTACAGTTATATGTTAGGATCACTGGACATCAGGCCGATATTAATTTCAGCCGCCTTCAACAAACATCCCCCCAAACCCGACCGCGCGCGGTTCCATGCTGTCGCTTGCTGGATGTTGGAAGCCCCAGTCCCAGGGATGTTCCATATGGATTTTGTGGAAGTTGAAAAAACAATCTGTAGGAATTGTGGGCCATTATGACATCAGTTGTTTTGGAATATCCCTACAGATGGTTGTTTGGTTTTGGACTATCCCTACATCTTCCATTATGCCGTTATCCAAAAAGCCATCTTGAGGGAAGATATCTGGATTTTGGAAACGGCCACTATGACATTGGCGTTGTTGCCCTTCCTCTCAGCGGAGAGGAGAGAAGCCAGATTGTCCAGGTCTCCAAGGTATCCGCATTTTGTTTGGGGGGTTCCCATGCATTTCATTCTACGTATTATACGGAGGTTTCCGAAAATGGGGATGCCCCAAATCATCCAAAACATTGGACCATGTTAGTCTTAACCCATTTGGATCCATTTGGACCATGTTAGTATATGTTAGTATTAACCCATGGTCACGACTGGGGATCCCCCATGACTTTTTTGAACCCCTCATGCTCCGCCAGGTGGATTTCAAGGACGACTTCAAACCAGGCCCATGCCTCGGCAGCCTGAACATCTGGGAGTTTTCCCAAAGAGATGGCTACTTTAATATATTTTGAGCAAATAATATGGTCATATTATATAATATTATACATGTATATATATATTATACTATACAGTACAGTACATAATATGTGTATGATTTTAATATACATAATATATACAATATACAATAATATATACCAATATATATATATACACACCATCACAATGGTTTGCCTTAAAGCTTTCAGACGGCTTGGTCTGAAAAAATGGGCTCTACCAGAACGGGATCATCACTGACGATTCACCATCCATTTTTCATGATAAACGTCGGGATAATTCTCCTTATCGACTTATCGACTTCTCCTTTTTGCTAAGATTTGCCATATAGATCATTATTCATTATCCATCATTGTCATATATTGTCATATATATCCATCATTTGTCATATGATATATATATATATATCCATATATTGTCATCATGATGAGATTTTTCTCTGGCAAGCTAGCCTCCTGCTAGGCCGCTAGCTGCCTGGGGTAAAGTTTCACATAGATCTCGAAAAGCCATGGTTTCCCTAGGAAGATGATCTCCAAATGGTGGGCTTTTCCATTGGATCGCCATGGATCATGGGGATGCTTTCGGAGGATCCAGGGATCAGGGGACCATCAGTTGAACTGCCGAAAGGTTTTTTCATGACGAAGCATTTTGACTGCAAAATGGCTTAAATCATCGAAGTACAACTAAGTACATAGAAATGACAGTAAAGGCTTAACATATTTTAAGATATTTTAACTACAATCAGTTCATATATGTGTTCACTTAAAATCTTCAGCAAAAACTGGTGATTTTCACTGGCCGAGGTCACCTCTGGGCAGTTGTGCCACTGTGCTTCGAAGATGGCTGTGACTGGGCTGGCCACTTTGTGGGGCGAGAGATGGGGCTGGGTGCCGAGAGATGGGTTCAGGATGTCCCAACATCAGCATTTTTCATAGGGCAAATATGGGAAGATATGATCCAACATGAGGGCTACCTGATCCTCAAGGAGAATCTGTGGTTATGATATGTTATGATCTGTTATGACCACAACTGATGGGGCTTCAACCAGCTTGATGAGGGATTCCGGGTTGTGATCCATCTGCATGACGACTATTTGGATCTTTCGAGCTTTCAAAGTTGGATCATGTTCCAACCTGGCTGACCTGGTATATCCCCATGGCCGTGGATCATCAGGATTTCAGCCGCCCCATGACAGGGGAAAAAAACTGCAGAAAACTCATAGAATTCAGATCCAACCAGTTATCCCACCGAACGGAGGCGTGAACGCGCCCGACCTTCGCGAGCCAGAGAGAAGGTCTGTGAAATCTGGGATGGTTTAACAGACATAGATAAGAATGGAGGTTTACATAGCCAACCGGAACAGGGATTTACGGTTTAAGTACATTTGAGTATGTTTAAGATTGTTTAAGTATGTTGAAGTATCACAGTAATTCAATCAAACGATAAACAATGGAGGTTTTTTACCAATAGGAATATGGCTTCAAGATGGTTGAACCAGCAATAACGGAGATTTAAACCAACAATCAGGGTTGCTCCTGGCTGCAAACGTCAACCCCAAATGAATGGATCCTGGTTGTTTAAAACGGGCTTCCCATAAAAGTTGCATGAAGTTGCTGCATAACCTCACCGGCACTTTTCAAAAAATCATTTTCGCCTAGGGTTGTTGGAAAATCCAGGCTTGGCTTTTTTTGGTGAATGATTGGCATAATTACCCTCTGGTAAACTAACATAACTATTGAAAAAGCCATTTATAGTGAGTTTTCCCATGAAAATGGTGATTTTCCATAGCTATGTCAGCCATTACCAGAGGGTAAGGGGGCACTGGATGGTTAAAAGCCTCTGGCTGTTGATGAATTTTCCCTCAGATCTGTGGGAGTCGCTGATGGTTAGACTTCCCGAAGTCATGGGACATGACTTCCAAGCGCTGATTTTTTTGATGGGAAGATCAGAAATTCTGTAGCCAGTACTACATCTGGTTGATGGTTTGGAACATGTTTTTTATGACTTTCCATATTGGGAATTGGGAATTTCATCATCCCAATTGACGAACTCATATTTAATTATTTTTCAGAGGGGTAGGTATACCACCAACCAGTATTCTGTACCAGTACTACATTTTCGGTTGAACATGACTGAATACTGCCACGCCAAATAGCCAGAGGATAGTCCATCGTCCAGTTGGTCAACACCAAAAAGGGGTCGCTCTTGCGGCGACCCCTATGGTGCCCAATCATCAATGGCTTCCATAGCAATATTGGAAACACACGCTTTTTTCCAGGTTGGAGCAGGACACATGTTTGATCATATTTGCATTCTTCTTGATATAATCTATTCACTTTCCTTGGGGTTCACCATATGTTTTCACTATTTCCCGCAACTTTTCCAATGCATTTTACTATCAGGATACATCAAGATATATCAACATATATCAAAAGTATATCAAGTCAATTCCCTCAATTTCTGTGGCTATCTTTCTGGGAAAAGTCAGAACCTTGGCAGAACCTTGGCCAGGTCTTTACTGTGGATAGTCCAGCTGGAAAGCCAGTGACCTCAGGTTTTACGGTTACCTCCAAAAGGTGATTGAAACGTGGCAAGCTGCGAAGTCCGCAAAAAAAAATAAAGTTTCATAGCTGGGAAAATCATGGAAAATCATCTATCCATAGCTGGGATTTGAGGCTATCCTTGGCGATGATCATGTTGCTTTCCTTTTAATGGCCGTTCGGTCATGAGAATGTTTTGTTCTAAATATTAAATGTTATGTTGTATCCAGTATAGACGTAAGCGAATGATGACCATAGTTTGGTGTAATGTGGTAAACCCAACAACAAAACCTACCATTTGGGGATGATATTTACTAGCCTAGGGGATGTGTAACGAAATATGGCATTATATTCCATCATATTCCATGCTTCATTTGGGTTCGGGTCCACTCCTAATGTCCTTGTGAATCCCACCATTGATGTTTTTTTCTCAAAGAACATTGCATGGTGAAAAAATATATAAAAAAATCGCCTCGAAACAGGGATGGAACGTAACATCCATGAGAAAATCACCGTGCTGTGGGAACATCATCTGTTCTGTGGTTTTCCACCTGAGAAAAGGTAGATCCAACAGGTCATTTCCAACATTTCCATGCTAGCTCTCCTTTACTCCGATCTCTTCCAACGTGACTTACATCATGGGCACCCAGAGATTTTCCCCAAACAGGGTAGTGTGTCCACACTGAGGGGTTCTTACGGTAAATGTCAAAGGCCGTGGTTAGATCAGGGTGCTCCATCTGGTCTGCGGTTTTTTCACCGTAAATTCTCGCATAAAAGTGCCCTTGCGAGATGTCCATGTGCATTTCGACTGCGCAGGCTCGCACAAGATGAGCCTCCCGGTTTGGTCTCGCGCAACCCTCTCGTGACTTTTTGCTTGTCAGATCGCTCTCGTTGCGGCGCGGTGTGAACTTTGATATCTGATTCTCTTAGATCCTGGTAAAGAAATCTTTTGAGTTCTGTGGAAGGTCCTTCTATGACGATCTTGCAAGCGTTTCAGGGTGCAAACTCAGAGGTGACTAAAAAATCAAGATCTTGACCAAGGCCTTGTAGAAGTCCCTGTGAAGTGATGCTGTGATGAAATCTTGCCAGAGGTCCTTGCGTGAACGCCAACAGGTCCTTATGAGAAGATCTTGTGAAGATGCTGCTGACATGCTCTGCGAGGTCCTTGCACGATCTTACACCGGTCCTTATGAGAAGATCTTGTGGAGATCCTGGTAAAGTCCTCTCTAAGAGGTCCTTGCATGAAGATCTTGCAGATGCTATGTACTGTATTAGAGGTGCTTGGTGAAATATATAAGAGGTCCTTGCAGTGCATGATCTTGTCCAAGTCCTTGTGAGAAGATCTTCTGGAGATCCTGTTAAATCCTCCCCAAGAGGTCCTTGCATTACGATCTTGAAGATGCTCTGCATTGGTGCTTGTATGAAATGTCTTCTGGGGTGCTCAGAGAAAGTTCTTGTGTGAAGATCTTCAAAGATCCTCTATATAGAAGGTCCTTGTTGGCGATCTTTGGAAAGTCTCTTACATGTCCTGGTATGAGGCTCTGGTATGAGGTCCTGATGAGTAGACATAGCGTTGCTTCTTGTGCCAAAACAAGTTCCTGCTGCTGCAGTTACGGAACTGTCTAACCTGATCTGTTTCTGTTCCATGGCTACTGTTGCTTGTATCTGGCACATTGACTTCCTGCTCCCCAAACTGTTTGGGGTCTCTTGCCGGAACATTTTTTTGCGGCGGCGAACTATCACTTGAGGGCGATGGATATATAATGTTAGATGCACCCCAAAAAGGTGGTGGCAATGATCCCCTGGTATTCCGCGCAGGATTCGTGTTCACGCCTGCAAGGGTTCCTGTTTTTTTTTGGGGGGCGGAAGGCACAAAGTAGGGATGCCAATGAAACCTGTGAATGTGCCGGCAAAAAATCTGATGAACATTTTGTGACCATGGAATTTGGCAGAAAAATCTGGGTGGTGGGTTTAACACTGACCAAAACAGTCGTTTTTTTTCCAATTTCTTTGCAACAGGCAGTGGGTTTCTTGGCCAAGAACTGATGGGTTTTTCCGAGGCAATGGCCGCCGATGGATCAGGCGAGCTATGGATGTCTCCCATGGTCTCCCCAATTTTAGTGGCATGATCCACCAGTTTTTTTTTTTTGGTGAGGTGAAAGCCTGTTGTGATTCGGAAATTTGGGTGGGTCCTGCAAGAGGTTCCCGCTCTCTTCCCAGGTGTGCAGTCACGAATCCTAATTGTTACTAACTTCAGCGATTTAGATGAATGATCTGAGCAACTCAAACAGTTTTCATGTCAAGGATCAAGGTGGATAAGTTGGTTTCGGCCTCGAACTTAGGGATTTTTACATGATTCAAGTGGCTCATACTCCCAGCCTGCCATAAGTTTCCCAGATCTCAGATGCCGCCAGGTGGGAAATCCCATGACCCCGCAGAGGTGTAGAGATTTGATGCATCAGCTGCATCTCCAGGCGATGGGATCCCAAGCGCAGAGTAGAAAATCGGAAGCAAAGACGTTTTTGAACCAATTTTTTCGTTTTACATTTATAGCTGTTTGCGGTAGAACATCTGTTTTTTTAAACCGTTAATCTCTATTCGGGTATCAGGCTTATATATCCAAGATGTATCCTGATTAGGGAGTTCGGAATCACCCTTCTCCCGTTGAAATCTTACGAGGATGGGATTGAGATATTCGTTGAGTGGTGGCACCATGACCAACTATTTGGGGGCCTATTCATAGCATTCAACATACAAAATCATACAAAAACAACAACATACCCATACCATATGCTTTATGGATATTCATTGATCGTAGATTTAGTTGCCATTACCCTCTGGTAAACCAACATAACTATGGAAAATCACGACTTTTTTATGGGTAAATCAACTATAAATGTCCATTTTCAATAGCTATGTTAAATTACCAGAGGTAAATGCGATTCAAATTATGGGTCATCCATTTGGGGTTGCCATCTGCAGGAAGTGGAGAAGATGAAGCAGCAAAGATCCTTCACCATGCCCACCGTGAGGCGGGGAACGTTTCGTAAGGGGGTTGTTTAGTGGTAGGGCGGAAGGAGTATGGTAAATCAGTAAATCAGCAAGATGACAATACTTAAAATACTTGTGATTTTTTCGAACACGTGCTTCTCTGGTATTTCTGGATGCTATCCCGTTCCCAGTCCAAGTTTTGTTGCGATTTGACGCGATCTTTTCAACTCAGCCATGCGGATGTGGAAGTTCTTGGCGGGTCAAAGGTGTTGTCTCAAGAGGCGACCTCACTGCGACAGAAATGATGGTGAGTTAGTAGGGGTAACATGGGGTAACTACCAAACTATCCAACATGACCCTCATTTCACGGTGAACAATGAGAGTTGATCCAGAACCATGACACTGTCAGAGACTGGCGGAGAAGCCGGTTCTTCCGGCCAGAAGTGCTTGGTCAGCTGTTCAGTCATGGGATTGTAATGACTACTCGCACAACATATCCCTGGAAAAACCTATATTCCGGAAAGCTAGGCAAGGTAAGATGACCCGCATTTCCCTATCCCGGAATGCCATCATCCAAGACATGTTTCCTTCCACAGTTTCTTTGGATTAGGTGGCTACATTCAGGTTGTTGAAACCCGTGTAGCTGCCGGCGTCACCAAGGACTTTAAGCAAAAAGGAGCAGCCATCAATCAGACAATTTGGCCACATGTTCTTCTCATTTCTTCCCATTTTTTGGCCATTTTATTTCATGAGGAAACCATCTCATGTGAGTAAAACAATGTCATAAACCACCCATTTGGGAATTGGTTTACAATGGTAAACATACCACCTTTTTTTGGACCTGGGTGATTTGAGGAGTCCGAATCTGAAAAATCCAGGCCTGGAGACTTGGTTGAGGTGAAGTATGAGCTGAGCCGTTCGGGGACCTGGAACCTTGGGGGTTTCGGTCGAAGGTCCGATTGGAAAGCCATGGCTTTTTGGAAGGTGAATCGAAGATGAACTTTGGATATGGACATGGATGAAATTAGGATGAACTTGTACAACTTGAGGGCAACAAAGTTGAGGTGACATATTTTTTTTTGGTGTTTCAGGGCAATCTTGTCCATGTATTTGGATGCATTTGGGGCCGCTGTCTGGTTGGGGTCGTATTTAATTCTTGTGAAGGTCAAGAGGCCATAAATGGCCAGTTTCGTACCATCCTTTCCGACACCCGCTTCTGTTCAGATAGTAACATCACTTGTTTCTGCGAAGAATCTGGCTCTCTCTCCAAGGTAGCCAACAGACCTTTGCAGTTTTTCAAGGTGGGGAGTTCGCCGTGATCTTCCAATCTTGCTCTGCATGTGTTTGAATTCACTTTGGTTGATAGTGAAAGGATCAAGTTCTTTGATCCAAAGTGGTTCCCTTGATTTCAGTGTTGGAAGCTCAGCATTTTCCGCTGATGGTCTGATGGTCAAGGCTATTGCGTGACAGTGCGTAACAAGTACCTCAACTCGGGCTTTGCGCGAGGCTCAGTTGGCACCAGGACTTACCAACGATCCAAACGATCCACCTTCACCTCCAGGATCCTCTAGGTATCCATTGAAGTGGGGACCCTTACCACGTTTTTCTGGGGAACCCCAGAAACATATGACGTATTGAATTCCAGTGTGTAAATTACCACGTGTGGGTCGAAACATGATGCAACATGCCCAACATGTAGAATCACAGTTCCCAGCCCCAACCCCAAAATCTTGGGTCCAAGGTCTTGAAAAACACCTATGATGGTGTGGGTGTGGAGCAGCTGGTGCCAAAGTACTCGTCAGGGCCCAAGCAGGGAGTTCTGGGGTCCTCTCAAAGACATGACAAGTAAATCACGAGTAGAAGTTCTGATTCTCTGGATCTGGGACCTAGTTTCACTATATGTTTCACTCGGGTGGCTATCCAGACCTTCAACAACAATAGGGCTTCATGGAAGTTGGGACCACACCAATGTTATTTATGTTGCTCTTCTCTCGATCCTCAAAAAGATATAGTACTCAATCAAGCTTATATTGTAATACATCCAGTATCAAGCCGCAAGCCAAAGGGTATGGGTCAGCATTTGGTATCCTAGAACATACAGTCTGCGTCCAACTTTTGGTTGTTCATGTCCCCCCGTTTCTTTGCTTTCAACAATCTTAAACCCCTGCTGGGTCTCTTTAATTTACATTACCCTCTGGTAAACTAACATAGCTATGGAAAATCACCATTTTCAATGGGAAAATCCACTATAAATGGTCATTTTCAATAGCTACGTTAAATTACCAGAGGGTACTAACTTTGGGTCTACCCTAAAGTTCTTCTTGGTTTCTGTCCCTATCCTTGCCAAATCCATATTTTCTGGCCTCAAACCAACCATTTCAAGGGCACACGACTCCATCCCCATCGAACTCAGTTTTTGAGGCCCCGGCTGATGGGAGTTCGAGTGATTCAACCTCTTCAGCCCAGGAACCGGGGGAGCCAGGATTTCTATGGATTTCTGGTGATTTCTGGATCGTTCTCCATTTGGAACCCTGGTTTTTCATGGTTTTTCTTGAAACTTTTTGGCATCCTGCTTGGTAATTTCCGGTTGCAGAGCGGTTCCATTCTGCAAAGAAAGGCGATCGATCGCCTGATGGAAGATTTTTGGCACGATTTTGGGCATTTAGGGGTCCGTCGATCGACTGTTTCTACGAGTTTCTTTATTTCCACACTGCCTGGCATGAATTTGGAATGCCTTTCCCCCACAATCTCAGGACTTTTTTTGGTCAGCGTAACGCTGTGCGGTCTTTTTAGGATCATAGCAATCCCCAAAAAGGTAGAAAAGCGACATCCTACTAAAATACTCGCAAATTACTTGTCTATCTGTTTGGGGTATATATTACTATAGTAATATCACTATAGTTGTCTGTCTTAAGGTGGACTACAGTTGTCATATTTACTATAGTTATCTAGACATATCTAGACTATAGTACCCCGCCAATGCCCAAACTTTATATCTTTGGGGCTTGAAAAAGCATTTCCTGAGGGCGCCGAGCATCGACAAGCGGCCCTGGACCCGAAGCTATCGTCTGGTACTTAGGGCTGTTGCCATTCAGTTGAGATATTTGGTCTGTGATATATATATATATAATATGTATAATATAGTACATACATGTCTAACATTATATGTATACATATGACTTTATATAATATAGATAATTACAGAATATCAACTAAATTTATTATCCATATTAATCTAAAGTAATATTATAAGATAATCTAGCATAACATAATATAATATAATACACTATGATACAATATAACATAATGATAAATAATATATATATATACATAATAATATAATATATTGTAGATATAATATATTACAATGTAATTGATATAATTAACATTCTATATTTAATCTAATATATTACAGTCCAATTATATAATATGATTAATATCATATATTACAACATAATTAATATAATGTAATATGATGTAATATAATATAACATAATATAACATACTTAATATAATATAATATAATATAGTATAATATAATATAATATGATATAATATGACATGATATGATAGAAATAAAATACAATGTAATATAACATCATATAATATGAATTGATATAATAGACTATGATATGATATAATATAATAGGATACAAGATGATATAATATAATGTATATTATAACACTACACTACACTACAATACAATATAATATCATATACTTATAACATAATATGATATAAGATGGACGGTATAATACATAATATATAATGTGTAATATATGATATATATATATATACTGCGCAATATACCATATATTAAAATGTATAATTACAATGTATAACGCATCATGTATAGCGAACATGTGTATACATATAGTACAGTGATGGGTCCCTTCCATTTATGAATTGGGGTACAAGCTGGTTCGCAGACCGCTCATTCATTGTCAAGCCGCCATGATTGCTGACTGCTGGACAGTATCCAGTTGGGCAGTGCAGATGTTTTTCCTCATGGAGGCTGATTGTAGGCACAGCTGAAGGCACATTGAATGCCACCCAAGATAGGCTCAAAGTGATTGACCTCCCAAATTCCAGATGCTTTGTATAGTACCAAAAAATCCAAGGGGTGCCCCTGATTTCATTGGTGCCCTGTTTGTGGTCGCACTCAACCTGAGGTTATTGCTGGCACTACTTTGTGCGTGTGGAGCTTGGTTTGATGGGTGAGGGGTGGCGACAGCTCGTCTTGTTATGGGTTCAAAAACCGTTGTCCCCCCCAAAATGGAGAGGTGAACATCTAAATGTCCCAAATTGATCCAAATAGCTCTTCATTTTTTGAGATGTTCACCAAAAATACCGAGTTTTGACCATCCAGTAGTTTGACCCTGGCATGTTTGGACGCTGGCAGCCGGTCCCCATGGCTTTCCATTGGATCCAGAGGATCCAGGGGATCCCAGAGCCATTTCCGAGGCGGAAAATACTCCTGGGGCAAACGCTTGCGCTGGAAATTTCATACGCCTCAACTGCCTGGTATCATGTCTGGGGTCCCAAGCCGGTCGACAGCCGTTTTTCGGAGGGGTAATAAGGGAATCATCCGCGAATGACATCAGATGACCTTATTTAACAGTTCAGTGAATTATTATGGAATGATTTGTAATTTGTAATTTTATCCGGATATTGTATCCTTTGGCTATATGTTCTTTCCCTATATTTGGACACTTTTCTCAGTTCCAGTCCTTAGAATTGAGACTGGACCATGGATATCCGATACACCTCCCTAGTGGCTTTTATTTTTTCGGTGCTCAAATGAGTTCAATATTTGAATGCAATCAAATACACGCTGTTTAAAGCTCAAATAACTAAATACCCAATTTATTCCTGTTACATCCTGTTACATCCTTTTACATCCTTTTACTGCAATGTCATGAGAATATATGCGAAATTTCATGGCTCAAATTCTGATTCTTCTGACTCTTCGAGGCTTGAAGCTCCCAAGATTTGATGGGAATCAAGCCAGTGAGTGACGAAAAATCACATGACAAATTTCGTCAATCATTGAAACGTATCATTGATATTCATCAGAACTGGTGGATTTGAGATGATGAATCAAAGAATTGACAATTCTTTGATTCATAATCACATCACATCCACCAATTTGACCCTTTTTTTTTTGGGTGAAAACTGGTGAAACGATCCACCTTTCTTCCACCGTTTCATCACACGAACATCAGGTCGCTGGAGCCGAAAATCCGGCGGGAACTGGCGAATGTGCGGCGCAAGTACCAGATGCAGCGAGCTGAGGCGGGTTTTCGATGGCGGGGCGGAGGGGTTGTAAAAAAACCATGGGATTTTATATAACATGGTTATGATATCATGATTATGATGGTGTTTATGGCATTTTTTTAAATAATATAATTTTATGGGAAGATAATGATGATGGTGGTGATGATGATGATGACACAAAAAAACAATGGGAAACACAATGATTTATCATCAGGTTCCCATTAATACACTATGAACATGGGAAAGGCATTGCAAAATGATGTCAAACCATTGGGGGACCCCTTAGTGACTAACCCATTTAGTAAGTTTGTTCTTTTTTTTGGGGGAGGGGGGAAAACTAGACTTATCATGATTTTAATATATATATATGTAGTCTATATAGCGAAATTTTACCAAAGTCAGTTTTTCCTTTTCGGGGTTGCTCAGTAGCATCTCTAAAAATGCAGGACAGGAACCAGCAAAGATTGGAAGCTCAGGACAAACTGGATCCTCAGTGGACTTCTCCTTGCACAAATCCCGGTTTTTGTTGCTTACATGAAACTTGGGATAGATCAACACCAGCTATTCGGAACTATACTGTACCATATTTGGGGGGATAGTATGCAGGTGTTAAATATGGTACATAACTGTACTGTTATATTTGAAGGGAATCAACACCATCATAATATGCAAAATCCTAGCTATTTTGGGGTGAAGAACCAGCTTCTTTCTGAAGTGACTTAGTTCCCTTCGCTTCTTCCCCGCGCACGAGGCCAAACTGCCCTCCTACATCTTCCCTGGGCCCTACCACATTACCCGGCGACAGACGCGAGAAATCTCTGCGGAACGCTACAGTCACGTGGCAGATTTGCCATTCGGGGGTGGGGGGGCCGGGCTGCAAGGTAAAACAATTGCGATGAACGTTTGTTCTCATGAACTGAGATTTGGGAGTAAAATCCACGTTGATTCATCGTGGTTTAGTTTCAAGCAGTTTTGACATTGGGGCACCAATGGGCACGGCCAAGATCTTGATCTAAGCGTGAGGAGGTCTGCCTCAAAATTTCACTGGAAATGCCAGTAGATGGTACATTTCCAACTACTCCAGTAACCATGTCCACTCCAATCACCTACAGTATGTTTGGATTTTGATACTTATTGACTGTGACTGTTATGTATTATATACGTATTACTATATAGTGTTTGGATAAGAGTATTTGTATATCTTTCTTGGATGGTAAACAAGTGATACAAGTGCGTCGATCTTAGGTTGCCCAAAATCCATTGAGCAATGCAAACCCAAGCCCCAAAAAGATGCCGAAAAGTCGAAAAACTGGAAATGATGGGGAAACAGCATCGAACTACCATCCTGGAAATACTTTCCGGCATCTTTTTGGGTTCTGCTACAAGACATACCCTCTTGTAAACTAGGATAACTATGGAAAATCACAATTTGATGGGTAAATCAACCATAAATGGTCCATTTTCAACAGCTGTGTTAGTTCACTAGAGGGTATTAAATACATCATACATCATGATTTCAGGACGTATGTTGATCTACGCCTGGGACGAGCGCCAAGCGCGTGCGGGCAAGAAGCGACGTCTGGCGGAGAAGCACAAGTGGGGCAAGTTCAGGCAGCTTCATTGGGGGGCTGGAAACTCAAGCTGCAGAGTCTCTTGGTGGGTAGTAATGGGGATATCATCAATTTACATGGATTTACCGCCATATTTATGGCGGTATCTAATGGGGACAATGATGATCATTGGCAGATGGTTTGAGGGGGATTGAAGTGAAGAAAATGGTCATGAAGACCAAGAAACACTGTTACCCTCTGGTTATTTAACATAGCCATGGAAAATCGCCTATTTATAGATGGTTTACCTATTAAAAATGGTGGATCTTTCCACGGCTATGTTAAATAACCAGATGGTAATTCACCAACAAAAGGGTGATTCACCAGTACTTGGTTCATGAACACACCCACTCTTGGGTCATCACCCATTTGTTTTCGCCATCAACGTATTGTACGGTAGATTTCTGGAAGAAACAAGCAGTAATCAACACCCAGTCATGTAGATAAATATGTCATACCTTCCAGTAATCTAATGTAGCTATGGAAAGCACAATGTTAGGTAAATCCTTTGTAAATTGCCATTTTCCATAGCTAATTATATCAAATTACCGGGGGGCACATAGTAGAGTAGAGGTTGATAGTTCCTTATGATTGTGCCCTCACCCGTGCGGCACGCGTGGTCGGAGCATGTTAAAGACTGCCATCAAAATGATCTCGAACTCCATATGGAGGTTTCCTAAAATAGGGGGTACCCCCAAATCATCCATTTTCACGGGATTTTCCCTTATAAAACCATCCATTTTGGGTACCCCGCTATCCACATTTTCAGGAAAATTTCTCCATATGACCTGAATTTTCGATGGTTTGCCTGCCATTTGTTGGCGGTAGGGTGAAAAAACCTGTGGGAGCTGCCAGGATCAACAAAGACCCAGAGACGACGGCGCTGTCTGATCTGCCAACGTATCATCCGTTGATGGAGAATCTTCCCAAGTGACCAGGGTTGCTGAAAAACCGATGGGAACAATGGCCAATGGCATCATTCTAACATGGTATACCCTCTGGTAAACTAACATTTTGCTATGGAAAATCACAATTTTCAATGGGTAAATCCACTATAAATGGCCATTTTCAATAGCTATGTTAAATTACCAGAGGGTAAATATGTATAAATGATAGGCACCAGGGGGGAACGGCTGATTTTACATGCTTTGGCTTTGACCACTTGAATTGTCCTTTCTTTTCTCCCCTGGTATTTGGGGTGTTGCGAGCAACCTTGGACCTACGAAGTCGGTTCAGAGCTGGAGATGTAGCCTCCTTCAACTGTTCACGCGTTTTATCATCCAGTATAATATGTATAGTATAGTAGTGTACATCTAGATTTATATGATGATATGCAGATATGCACATGATTTGACGACTGTTTGCACCCCTTCCAGGTTGTTTCCTTTTTTGGGGCAGCAAAGATTGCGCTGTTTGAACCACTGTGCAGACGATCCATTCGTCCAAAGCTTGAGCCTGGAGAGACAAAGAGTGGACGCAGTGGCACTGCTGGAGTAGCATTTGGCCAGCAAAAACACCAAAAACATCAACAACACTAAGACTGGGGCATCAACTAACAGTACAAGTGAAGCAGGAACATAGGAGTCCTGAAGGGTCCTTCTCTCATTGGACATGGCCAATTTGGGAAGCGCTGATTCCGTGTCGTCCGGAGAGACAGGAAGAGCCGAGAACACAAACTTTCTGAAATCTTTCTTAAGCCATTTGTGCGACACTGGTTGACACTGGTTGATATTCTTTCTCAACTGGATGAATCATTGGTTTTATCCGGAATCATTGTTGGTGCACACTGTGATGATCTGTGATGCTATCCATTCTTTTCGGCTGTTGCTGGTTGCCGTTTGTGGTTCAAACAGAGCTAGGCTCTCTGGTGTCTCTTGACCAAGCCCATCGGCTGGTGGCAAGGTTCGCGTGGGTCAGTTTGGGCATCGGCACTTGTGGCACCGCAACTTCAACTGGTGGGTTGACGGTCATTTTACCCCAGTTTACCTCTTCATTTGCGACCCAAATTTGACATAACTTCTGCTGAGAAGCTGTGATATATGGAGTCTGCATGATAATTACTCTAGATTCTTTTGCACTGTATTCTTGGTCCCTTGTCATTTCCGTTTCAAACAGCAGTCATCTATCAAAAAATGCTGGTGAAAACCAGGCTCGAATCCTCAGTTACAGTTGTCCACGCCATCGATCTCTGTCCAGGGATGCTGAAGCCCAAACACATCCGCTTCAGAGCGCTTGAGAAGGCTAGGATTAGGGGAGATTCAGGGGACGGGCCTCTGAAAACAGCCATTTTTGCTGGGGAAAATGATGCTAGGCTAGTAGATGTAGTAGGGGTAGCCATGGGTAGCCTATGTTCAAACAAAGCCGAATGGATGATTTTAGCATATTTTAGCAGGGGACTGGAGGATTCGTGCTGCACACAATTGGGATAGACGAATTGCTCGGTTTGGCCACAGCAACGCAATTGTCACATGATTTAAACAGCAAAGATATGGAACAACAGGAAGTCAGCAACAAGCAAGAGGGGTTGACCCCAGATATTGTGAGCAAAACCATGGCATTGAGTATCTTGGCCAAGCAAAAATCGGAGAGAGATCGGCAAGCAATCATGACTACTGTAAATCATGGGATGAGAATGGCAAGCAGAATCTTAAGCCACAATTTCAGAATGATGGCGATATGAAACCAAAGTCCTTTTAGTAAATGGGAATGATGAGCTATGGTTCATCATGTCACTAAATAACACTAACATAACACTAGATATATAATATATATAATATCTATCATATCCATCATATCCATCATATCCATCATATCCATCATATCCATCATATCCATCATGTCTACCATACCTATCATATCTATCATATCTATCATATCTATCATATCTATCACATCTATCATATCTATCATATCTATCTATCTATCTATCCATCTATCTATCTATCTATCTAATCTAATCTAATCTAATCTATACTAATCTAATCTATATAATCTAATCTAATCTAATCCTATCCTATCTATCTATCCATTTTGTGATTTAACTGATATGTATGTATATATTTAACTGATATATGAATCCGATTCTTTGGGTTGGTTTCATATTTTCATCAACACGAGAATTCGAGAATTGAACTCACCTTGGCCCCGAGCGCCTTGCCAAGCCAAGCCTTGCGACAAATTTCGAGCTGGAAGAGTCATTGGCATGGTCATTTTAATGCAGAAAAAAACCCATAAATACACCATATATAGAAATATATGTATATATATATATATGTATATTATACTATTATACCATACCCAATTTTGCTGTGTGTTTTTTCTAACCCATAGGTGGGGCTTATTTTTGCTTTTGCCACGATATAGATTATGCATGTTGGTAGCCAACCCAGATAGTCTGCACGTTCAAATGGGTTTGACAAATGTACACACAGCTTGGTTGGTTAGGGTGTCCAGAAAAAATAGTAAGTTGGTGAAGTTGATTGTCCCAGGAAATCATTCATGGGATTTTCATCCCAGCCATAAGGCAAGAAAAACATGAGCTAGACAATGTCTATTCTTCGGAAGCACCAACTGAAATCTCAAGCCCAGCAATCAATTCAGCTCAACAATCCCAGTCAGAAAAGCCAGGTGATGATACACTGGTCCCCAGATGATGATGGTCACTATATAATCCCCCAATAATCACAGGGATTGGTAAATGTCCCATTTTGGGTATATTGGACATCACCTTATAGTAGCCATTATAGACCATATACCTAATGGTTGGGTGATGTTCAATGGGGACATTTAATGACCCATGAATCACCCAGTAATCCCTGCCTTTGATCTCCAGGTGAAGGTAAGGCCCAGAAGTTTGGTCCAGATCTGCCTGCAGCGCATTGCAGAGAACTTCCTGCGTCTGGGGCCCCACAATCTGGGCCCAACGGCCGGGAGACCCCGGAGAGCGCGCAAAGGCACAGGCTTATTGAACCCCCCGAAATGGATGATTTATATATGATTTAATACTCAACATCACACACCTCAGTTTTGTGGTTCCATTGCTACCCATTTCTGACCCACACCTGCAGGAAAACCGAGAATAGCTCGGATTGAAGATTCATCCTTCCCACAGGTTTTCTTGGTTCCATTGGTGATGTTTGGGGTGTATCGCTTCATTGGTGAGTTCCTGAACTCTTTGGTTTTTGGGACTCGCGAAGCATGTCCACGTCGATTCAGGACTCTTCCATAGTCTTTTGATGCTTGCCGGTCCAAAGTGTGTTGAACTTCCATGGTCCGTCTCGAACTACTTGAGTTGATCAACGATGATTGGCGGGGACCAATGGTTATGATCCAAGTGATTGGATGTTGGTATAAGTCAGAAGGTGTTTATGAGAAAATGATGATAGAGCATCTCAATCTCTCATCAACCCACTTTCTCCTCAATTTCATGGATTTCTCCACATAAATTTTGCACGTCAGCCATGGTGGTCTCTACCTGCATCCTCCATGGCCTCGGGTGACCCTATTGACCATTGTTTTGTGCTCAGAATATGACAACCTTACGGCGAAGTTGGGCCGAAAACAGCTTGAGGAGCTGGGAGCTGGTGAGCTGAAATCACCAAAGCGTTTAAGCTGGCGGTTGTGAGTTTCTCCCCCAGCGTCAGGCTAACAGGGAAGTTTTTTCAGTTTTTGATGTTTGGAGATATGCAATCAGCTGTGGAAACAACCTTTGGAACTATGGATATCATTGGGGTGCCTTGCTATGTCAACCCTGGGCTGTTGGGAGCCGGAACTGGGGTGTAGCGCCCTGATTCATCCACCAAGTTTCCTTGATTTCCAGCCCAAATCAGAGATTCATCGACCGTGGCAGCGGTAACCCATCCATGCTCAACGGGAAAATGATCTATGAAAGGATATGAATGAACGTTTCCATTGCTCCTGTCGGAAAGCAGTCGTCGCCACTTCATATTTTCACAATTTTCTACATATATATATAATATTATATATAGATTATAATATTTCCTCCAATTGTTTTCTTCAGGTCTGAGGTTTTCCAGCCATGACAGGGCACCTTTCTAGCCTTGGAAACTTCGCGTAGGACATTTATGCCATGCTGGATTTAGACATGCCCTTGCCGGAGGCTGCACTCAGGCACGTCGCTTTTTGGGCACGGTGGCACCTTGGGGGAAGGATAAAGTTCCCATTCAAGGCTGAACTAAGTGGCAAACTCATACTGGTTGGTGGTTTGGAACATGGCTTTTATGAATTTCCATATATTGGGAAGTTCATCATCCCAACTAACGAACTCCATCATTTTTCAGAGGGGTTGGTTGAAACCACCAACCAGCATTTCTATTGGGATTGATCAAACAACCACGGAAAAGTGCGAGTCACCTTAAGCACAGACAGAAAGTTTCGAAGTCAGTACACCCAGATAGAAAGCTTGATCGAGCCAGTAAAGTTGGCTGAACCAAGCACCTACCCTCTGGTAAACTAACATAACTATGGAAAACCACCATTTTTAATGGTTAAACTCACTATAAATGGCCATTTTCAACAGCTACGTTAAATTATCAGAGGGTAGACACATCCATTTGATTCCATTTGTGTGTTTTTGTAGATTGACCTCTTGTGAAACAACAGGATCAGCGATGAAAACTACTGGAAAAGGAGAACACAGGTGCGGAAAACCTATGGGCTGGTTGGGAGGCAATGAAATAGATTATACTATTATATACTACTTTGACATAGTGATTCTTGGAGAGCTCATGAGCCTGGGATGATTATACGGCATATATATATGATACTATGATATACTACATGATTATATACAAATATGTATTCACATATAATAAAATCACATACAATCCCTACGACATGGCTGTTGAGCCTCCACAACCCCCCAGCTTGGGCAAGTCCTGAGACTTCAACAGCTGGCGGGCCAGAAGTGGCATGTTTCAGCGATGCCAAGGTAAAATGACCCAGCACATCCAATTTGCGCGATATGTGGGTGATCTTTCTATTGAATTGATATCGATCACCTGCAATTTCCCACAATTCCACAGTATTCAAGTAAAGTCACACCATGTCACAGCCGAAAATGATCTTACCATATCTTCCCACTACTTCGCCGCTAATATTCCCCATGGTTCCCATATGTTCCTTCAGTCAGCACCAGGCAAAACATCCCAATGCTCAAGTCGAAAGGTTGGCTGATGTGGGATTTTCATGGGTTTTTCATATCTGGTTGGTGGTGACTGGAACCATGGAATTTCATGACTTTTCATAGACTGGGAATGTCATAATCCCATATAATCCCAACTGACGAACTCATATTTTTCAGAGGGGTAGGTATACCACCAACCAGATATTGTTTGATGGGATTCTAACCAAACTATGGGGATTTTCGAGCGGATATCACTGACAACTTCAATGCTTGGTTCATGATTAGCTCGGGGATTACACTCACCAATATGGTGAATGGTCATTGAATTGTCAAGATTAACCTTGGGGAAATCCCGAAAGAAACCAACCAGTTTTTTAAGGGACGACGGAGGTAATGGAACACGAAATCTGATGAAATCTGGGCATTTTCGTTGGGGGTTGGAGTGTATTTGAGGAACATTTTTTATTGGCTTCCACTTGCTTCCAAAGATTCAGTACCTTTCCATTCCTGGATGATTTATAGATAAAATCACACCTCGATTTAGTTCGGGGATTTCTCCGCTTGGAGCTAGCGAGCTGCAAGGCATGGGTTGTCGTGGAAGCAGACCTACTTGGAGTTGACGCCTTGGGAGACGGGATATGACGTATTTTTGTGTTGCTGCAGATGTGAGTCAACGGATGTCAACGGTCAAGGAGAAGGTTATGAACGTTTATGATTCATAGATGATTGATACTTCTTAGATGTTCTTATTTTATCTGGATTTCAATCTCAATCCATCAGTTCTATCATTGTCATCCTGATAAAACTTGCCATTTTTGGGAATCGATAAATTTTTCACCCAAGGGGTGATTTCTGGCAATTTGACGTCAGGAGGTATTGGGTTCCAATTTTCGGAAGGGGCTCCGTTTTTTGTTGGCGGTGCGAAAAAAGCCAATCCTTAGAAGGTCTGGTGGTTCACATCCTAAATCATCCTAATATATATTTTAAGATATATAATTTACTTTCGCAGAAAATGCTGGAAGATTTTTGTAATGGTCGTATTATACCCATTCTTTGCTGATGTGAAAATATATAAGTCACATCCCCATTTTTCGTGCTGATCATATTCCCTCCTATCCCAGCTGCTGGCACATTGAAAAGCAGTGTTCCATAGCCAATTGTCCAGTTGGGCTTGTCTGAAACTAAGCTCCCTTCCAAATCACGTGCTTCAGAAAATCCCTGGCCCCCCATTCGAATCCTTGTTTTTTTAGGAATCCATCCCCCAAAATCAGGTGCCAAAGCCAGTTGTGTTTTGCAGCGCAACCAACCGCGCAACCGTCATTTCTTTGAGGTTAGAGTTGCAACAGGCGCTCGAACGGGTTCCCATCACCGTAGAGTGCGACACTTGGAGCGGGCGTAGCAAACTCTGTGGACAGATCTGGATAGATATCTACAGCCATCTACTTGTTATTTACATGCTACTACCCAATATATTGTTATAATATACATATATATATAGCATACAATATTTTTTTAGCTCTATTTATTATGCACATCTACACATCATATTATATCCATATATGAGTTTTTGAAGATAAGGATAGAATCAGGAGCTTTTTTTGCCCCATCAGCACCAGGTATGGAAATCCGGAGTTGGAAGCGCTGAAACAGCAAGTCATGGCTTCAAGGCGGTGAAGCCATATTTGGACCATGGATTCCTGTGGATTTTTGATCCATTGATTTGAGCGCAATCCGATCATCCAAAAATGTGAAAAGGAAGACTCCAAAAAGTAGACACATTAAAAAAAATGGATAAATCAGGTAATGAATATGTTATCCATTTTTTAATGTGTCTATAATATTTTTATCAATTATAATGATTCTCCCTTTTTAATGATAAATCTATACATATAGAATATACATGAACACTTTCTGGTGAGTTTCCCTTGGGTTCTCAGGCCAGTGGAGAGTGATTTGGTGCATGGGGCACCAGCCATATGTCACAATCACTAGGTCGCTACGACCGTACAGTCGCAGATGACAGGTGAACGGTGGTTACTAAAAAGCTGCAGAAATCTCCTCTGATCCTTGGATGAATCACAATTTTCAGGAATTTTAGCCTCCATTGAACAGAAAAGAACCCAGGTTTCCCCTGTGGGTTTGTGCGAAAATGGTACCGATACCCCCAGTTATGATCATGATCATGGCCATTTAGAAGGGACCATGATGAACAAATAACACATAGCCCGGCATAATTTCTGTGAAACCAATGATTTCCAATATGTTTTTTTTTCCCATTCTTTTCCTATGAAATTCACGTTTTCAGAATTTTCCTGAAGCAACGCCAGTGACATAATGGTCACCTATCAGCCAGCCAGGTTGTACATTTATCAACTGCACATCACGCAGTTCCCTTCGCACCTCGTTTGGACCTGAGCCACCATGGGAATCCGATGCGGTTGGACCCATTTTTGACCCAGGTTGATCTGTAACTCGGATGCGTCACTTGCTAAGGATTTAAGCTTCATCTTTGATGCCTTACCTGCCTTGCCAAGAGCCCCAGAGTGGTGCGGTTGGGCTTGGACGGAGTAGATTTCTTAAAGGGCAGGACATCATATCCATGCACGATTGTATGGAGGGCATCAGCGGTGGTTTGATAATCGCGCCCTGCGATTAAAACACCATGGAGAAGTTCCAGCAGAGGAATTCCTGATGTTGCGCATCGCAGGGTGGCAAGAAGGCTCTGAATCAAAACCAGCTAGTCAGATCATCCCCCAAACTCGGTAGGTGAACCTGTTAGTCAGATCATCGCGTGTGAAACCCAGATTGCTGGATGATTATTCCGTGGTTCAACAGGATAGTTCCCAACTCACCGCTTCCGATTCATATGATGAACATCTCAATATATTCATAGGCTCCAAACACCCCCCCCGAACCCCCCCCCTAGAAAATAACCCCAAAACAGAAACCATCACCTCAAATAAATAAGGCCAAAATAAGATATAATCATTTCTGATTCAATGCTATTTTTTGGGGCCATTTTCTTGATGATTCATAGTGGGAATACAAGAGACGATACGAACCATATATGCTCTTGGTGTCTTCGACGCCCAATTAGAAAAGCGTTGTGAAAAGAAATGGTTTCCCAAGATAGGCAGCCCCGAGCTGCTGAAATTAAACTGAGTCAGTGGACTTTCATTGCTGGAAAACTGGTACGGAACCTGATTCATTGTTTTGAGGAACCATGCTTTTCACCATTTTACCATTGATTTTGGTGCTGTTTCCACAGAAAACGGGCTCAAAAACCATTGTTTTTGCAATGTCTTGCAGCTAGTTTCATTATATTATAAGGTTGGTGGTGTCTTTACAGATAGCTGGCTCGAAACCATGGTTTCTGGCATGTTTTGCAGCTATTTTCACCTTATTTTGACGTTGATTTGAAAGAATCTTCATGGTTTAGCCAAAAACCATCAAAAACACATGGGTTTTTCATCGATTAGTCCTTATTTCGACCTTATTTTGACCTTAATTTGACCTTATTTTGAGGTTATTTTTGGAAATCTAGGAGTTTGTAAAAACCATGGTTTTTACCATATTTTTCACCATTTTACCATTGATTTTGATGCTGTTTCCACAGAAAACGGGCTCAAAAACCATTGTTTTTGCAATGTCTTGCAGCTAGTTTCATTATATTATAAGGTTGGTGGTGTCTTTACAGATAGCTGGCTCGAAACCATGGTTTCTGCCATGTTTTGCAGCTGTTTTCACCTTATTTTGAGGTTGATTTGGAAGAATCTTCATGGTATAGCCAAAAACCATCAAAAACACATGGGTTTTTCATCGATTAGTCCTTATTTCGACCTTAATTTGACCTTAATTCAACCTTATTTTGAGGTTATTTTTGGAAATCTAGGAGTTTGTAAAAACCATGGTTTTTACCATATGTTTCACCATTTTACTATTGATTTTGATGCTGTTTCCACAGAAAACGGGCTCAAAAACCATTGTTTTTGCCATGTTTCGCAGCTGTTTTCACCTTATTTTGACGTTGATTTGGAAGAATCTTCATGGTATAGCCAAAAACCATCAAAAACACATGGGTTTTTCATCGTTTAGTCCTTATTTCGACCTTATTTTGACCTTAATTCAACCTTATTTTGAGGTTATTTTTGGAAATCTAGGAGTTTGTAAAAACCATGGTTTTTACCATATTTTTCACCAGTTTACCATTGATTTTGATGCTGTTTCAAGAGAAACGGGCTCAAAAACCATTGTTTTTGCAATGTCTTGCAGCTAGTTTCATTATATTATAAGGTTGGTGGTGTCTGTACAGACACCTGGCTCGAAACCATGGTTTCTGCCATGTTTTGCAGCTATTTTCACCTTATTTTGACGTTGATGTGAAAGAATCTTCATGGTTTAGCCAAAAACCATCAAAAACACATGGGTTTTTCATCGATTAGTCCTTATTTCGACCTTAATTTGACCTTAATTCAACCTTATTTTGAGGTTATTTTTGGAAATCTAGGAGTTTGGAAAAACAATGGTTCTTACTATATTTTTCACCATTTTACTATTGATTTTGATGCTGTTTCCACAGAAAACGTTTTTCTTCAATTTGTTGCAGCTATTTTCACCTTATTTTGACGTTGATTTGAAAGAATCTTCATGGTTTAGCCAAAAACCATCAAAAACACATGGGTTTTTTCATCGATTAGCCCTTATTTCGACCTTATTTTGACCTTAATTTGACCTTATTTTGAGGTTATTTTTGGAAATCTAGGAGTTTGTTGTAACCATTGATTTTGATGCTGTTTCCACAGAAAACGGGCTCAACACATTTTTTTTTACATTTTTTGCAGCTAGTTTCATTATATTATGACGTTGTTTTTGAAGGAATCTTCAGGGCTTAGCCAAAAACGATGAAAAACCTAGTCTTTTTCATCGATTAGTCCTTATTTAGACATTATTTTTGGAAATCTAAAGTCTTGGTCAAAAACTATGGTTTTGGCTACATTCAAAATTTTCTTTTCAAACGGATTATTTCATAGACCCCATCAATGCTGATCCCTGGAGAACTTGTTTGTGAATTTGGGCCCTAAAAAATGACTGATTTGGTGCATTTTTAAGATTCATCCATGGCGCCCAGTGCTGTCCAATCGGACTAAAACAAGAAAAACTCACATGAAATGAGTTGAACAAAAGCAAATATGATGTGGTGCTGTTCTTCTTTTTCCATTGCTGTTGGATTTGCTTTTTGGTTTTCCACTGGTGTCTCTGGTGTCATGCGTTTGTCTGAGCATTAGCCGTCGCAGCAAGACAACATCCTTCAAAACTAACGTAAAAAATAAGCCTAATTCAAGGTTATTTTTTTTGCATCTTTTGTCGATTACTCCTTATATTGGGCTTAATTTGGGAAAAAAAATAAGGCCTTATTAAGGCCTTATTAAGGCCTTATTAAGGCCTTATTAAGGCCTTAATTATTTCCCACATGCGATTGGTTCTAATTTCAGGGTTATCTTAAAGGGGAGGGGGGTTTGGGGGGGGGGAGGATGCTTATTGTGATATATGTATATACTATACGGTATATAATATCTACGGTATCTACAGTATCGACAGTGTCTACAGTATCTACAGTTTCTACAGTATCTACAGTATCTACAGTATCTAGAATATCTACAGTATCTACAGTATCTACAGTATCTACAGTATCTACAGTATCTACAGTATCTATCTACCTACCTACCTATCTTCCTATCTTCTACCTATCTACCTGTCTACCTGTCTACCTGTCTCCCTGTCTCCCTGTCTGTCTGTCTGTCTGTCTGTCTGTGTGTCTGTCTGTCTGTCTGTCTGTCAATCTATCAATCAATCAATCTATCTATCTCAAGTCCCAAGTACAGCCGACATCTCCATCGCAAGATTTCCAATTAAATCCATTTATATTGATCCATTATTTAAATCCCTCTAGATCCCTATTGTTGATGGGTAAATCACGTTGGAACAAACACAATCCCTTAGGTGCACCTTCTCCATCACCTACGGCAACAAGCGCCTGGGTATGGACTATGAGCGCGCCATGTTTGGCATGAAGATCTCAGATGCCCGGGCCATGGAAGCAGGGTTGCTGTTTCCATGGGGCTGGGAATTGCCTCGATTTCAGTTTTTTTTTTTCAAACATGGCTCCTTCTGGAAAGTTCATGGAACAATGGGGCGAAACCGAGATCAAGAAAATATACCAGATTTTATCAATTGGGGAGTATCACTATACCCACTTGGTGTTTGGAATTGGAAAACAAACACCATAGACAGTTCTGTTCATGTTATCACGGTCTCCTGAATTGGCTGGAAACTGAAGCAGCTCAAGAGATCTGTACTGAGAGCAGTAGATCAAATTCATGCCACAGCCATACCGCTCCTATGCCCAACTTTGGATTCCAAGACGTTGCCCCAAACATTTTGGCAGCAGAACTTCCAGAATTTTTGGTCAACTCTTTCTCACGCCTCAGTGAGTAACCGAGTAACCATCGGCAATTCTTAGGATGGTCATAGCTGGGATGTCGCTTCAATGCTGATTTCTTCATGGTTTCTCTCCCATCTTTTCTGTGAAAAAACTCAAACAATCTCAGACCTGGTGATACGATGTGAGACCTCATAGATTCCCCCCACTTTGGCTGCTTTCATCCTTGCCAGACCTTTCTCCAAGGCCCAATACCTGGCGAGAGACATTCGCGTGTCCCAGACCTTGGTCTCCTTGTCCTTGCCGCCCCTTGGTGGGATGGGGTTGTGGGGTTGGAACATTTCCCAAGGGGGGCCTCAAAAGGTTGAAAACAGCTGGCTGGAGGCTGCTTTTTGGTTGGGAAATGGAGAGTTTATGAAAGTTTTGGGTGGCGAAATCCCGGGGAATTAGATGCAATTTGTCTACCAAGTTTGGATATCCTGCTAGTTTTTGGAAGAATTGGTTTCAGCTGCTTAAAAGGTCAATGTCTCGTTGTGGATCTGGGTACAGGAAAGCTAAAGCTTCTTTAAAAAATATCAGGACCTAATCTTGATGATTCTTGTCTAGTGGAAGGTACTTTTCCATCCCACTCTGGGCTCTTGTTGCCACATAGTTTCAAAAGGGATTCCTTTTGAGCGGCCTGCGCGCTTGGGGGTCAGGAAGGCTCAAAAGCGTTTAAAAGTACCATCATGGTTGGTATTTCAATGTCGGGCTTTTTCAAGAAGCACTACTCATTGGAGACCTTGGGGTTCCTTGCGAGTTGTCAATCGCCCAGATTGGCTGTGTTCAAAAAAATGTTGACCTACAAGCATTTGTTTGGTAGAGCAATTTTTGGATTTGCCACAGCAATTTCAAGACTCTCAGGTGGTCGTCTGTTGTATTAACGACTTTTACCCAGGTGCAACATGATAGACGACGAGCTGGTCAAGGTACGAGCCCTTGGACGGACATAAGGGCTTTTATCGATTTGACAGATGCGTTTATCGGTAAGAATGCCAGCAACTGGCAAGAGATGGGTTTGTCTGACAACAGGGTACCCATGGGTACTCCCGAATCCCACGGTTTATCAACGTATATCAAACCGTTTATCATCATTTTCCCATCATTTTCCCATCTTTTTCCCCATGAAGTGCCATAAATTGGGACCTTCATCACACATTTTCAGGTACCAGACCCATGCCTTTGGGATGAGGGGTCAAAGGATGCGAACTTGGTAAATCCAACTTTGGGAACTTGGTAATGATATAGATACGATATATAGATATGTTTCTTGATATATATATATACATAATATAGAATATATATATAGATATGATTCTTGGTATATAGATAGATATTCTGATTATTGGTATATAAAAATGTATAGACATGTAGATGCGATTCTGAAGTAGTCTCAATGTATAGTAATGATATGCAATGATTTCTTATGGAGACTACTGCAAACTCTTGGGCCCAGTGGCACATGGAGCTTGAACGTAGACATTCCAGACAGTTTCCAATTGTTCAGCGGTTCACCGATCCATAGATACGTTCCGCATTTGGGGGTTCAACAACACCTCATGGTAGTTAAATCTTGGCAAAAGTCCACAAAGGTGACGCTTATAGAAGATCTACATTAGAAACCCATAGCATCAACAATTATCTATATAAATATGTGTATATATAATATATACGTATATATATATATACTGCTTCAACCGTCAATTCCCTATGAACTGGGTCTTTCCACAGGACCCCCCCGTAATCTTTGGGCAAAAAAACCTTGCACCGCAGGTGCTCATGGGAGGACTTTCCTACGCGCACATGCTGACACACCTGGACCTCAGTGTGCTAACTCAGAGTGCTTGCGCTAGACTCGGTGCTGATCGCAGAAGGTGATTTTCAGCTGTTGCCGGAGCAATGTGACATGGATTGAAATTCGGACGATTTCATGAATTAACTTCTGTCTGCCATAAAAAGGCCCTACTTCACTTTCTTGGCCCTAATTAACTCTGGTATTTTTGGGATAGGTTGAAACCACTCAGCAGAAGTGGATCTGAGAAAACTCAACGCTCTTCCTGAAGAGTGTTGTTCACAGGTCTAAAAAACAGATGTGCATCTGACATTCTATGGTAAACCATGGTAAACCCAATCATAACCTATCCCTCACTTATCTCTTTGTTGGGTTTTATTGTTGGGTATACCCCAATCGCCATGGGATGATGGAAAATGACCCGCACTTAGGTCAATGGGATGGTGAACATCTAGGGTTTACCTCTTGTGGGCACTGAACTCCAAGATATTTGTGGAACTTTGATGCCAAGAATTGTATGTACACAAAAACGATGACATTTTCATCCATTGGCATCCTAATATCATGATAATACCCATAACATCCAAAAGCGGTATTGCCCTTTGGTTATTTAACATAGCCATGGTATAGATGGCCCTAATCGAAATAGATGTCTTACCTATTAATAGCATGGTGGATCTTTCCATGGCAAACTGTGAATGTCATAACCAGATGGTAAGGCCCCATGCCCCAGGTCATAACAAGATTGGAGACCGTGGTGCTCGACGTCTGGCATCTTTGCTGGATCCAGACTACTGCTTGCAGGCGTTGCTTGGGGGGCGGCTGGTGCGACCCCATCGCGGATTGGCGCATTTTAAAAGTTGCTGTGGTGAAACTTTGGTTGGCCCATTTTTGGAAAATGATCTATGAATATATATGATAATGTCTCTTTCTTGTAATATGGGGCCTTTTCAATGGTTGATTGGCAGTGTGGGGCCCCCTTTGGAATCCTACAAACAACCTGTGTGAATTGGGGATTGTCATGACCCAGTTTTTGATATCTGCATGACTCCCAAAGAACCGAAAGCACCACTTGACCTCTGTTGATTTTTGTTGATGGCACGACCACTTTGACCAAGAGATGTTCACTTCAGCACCGGGACTTCAATACATTTAAGATTTAAGCAGTGCAGTTTAAACATCTTTTAACCACGGCCTTGAGTCTGAGCTCCCTCTCACACAAGAAGAAGCTGACCCCGCAATCTTGTTCCACCCAAAAAAGAATCATAGGGATATAAATCTGGGGATCCCCCAAATTCATAGAGAACAGTGGTATAGTTATCCCAGGTTTTCCCATAGTTTCCCCAGGTAAAATTCCCAGGCAGTTTCCCGTGCAGGCTGTGGACCTCAGCGATAATCAGATCCATGCCAATGGATGCATGCACTTAGGCCCCGTACTTCCCGGGCCGAACGCGTAGCGGAACGCGTAGCGGTTCCCGGCGTTCCAGATGGCTGACAAAGACTGGGATGATTTTTTCCCTCTGGTTATGACTAACAGTTTGCCATGGTATAGATGATGGTCCATAGAAATAGATGATTTTCCGATTTTCCCATCTATATATCTGATTTGATTGATGGGATATTAATCTATCTATCTGATTTGATGGGATATTAATGAGGTGCTGGCCCATAGAAATAGATGATTTTCCCAGCTATAAACCTCCATTTATAAGGGATTTTCCATAGCTATGTTAAATAACCAGACGGTATCTGATTTAATGGGATATTAATGACATACCCTCTGGTAATTTGAGAGTCTGCGAACTGGAAGCCATGGCCCATTTATATATAGATGTTTTACATTGATTTACATGAGGATTTCCAGTTCGCTATGTGAACTTAGCAGAAGGTAACATACAATAGTGTTCCAAATTGTTTGATACCCAGACGTGAGCTAAAATTAAAGCGTGAATGCTTCTAACAATTGTTAAGCCTCTTTGATACGAAGAATGGCCCAAAATGCTCAGCTGGATCGAAAAAACAAATGGTTCTAAACATGATGCCATTTGTGGGTCCCAACAGCGGGAAGACGCTGAGGACCTGCTGAATTTGGTGGGTTGGGTGGCTCTGCTAGAAATGGATCATGTGGCAAACACACGAAAAAAGGCCCCTTAAAAAGATCGAAAAGTAGAATCCTGCTAAGTCACAATGCTACACAAACAAACATACTTATCTGGTTGGTGGTTTGGGGCATGAATTTTATTTTTTCCATCATATTGGGAAGTTCATCATCCCAACTGACGAACTCCATCATTTTTCAGAGGGGTAGGTCAACCACCAACCAGTTATTGTCCCATCGTTTTCCCATCATTTTCCATTTGGGACGACGTCCATACACTTATACATAAAAGATAGAAGTACAGTCCTACTAAAGCAATGCTACACAAACAAACATACTTATACCTATTTGCAGATGATTTACCCACTAACCATCATTAACCATTAACCATCATTAACCATGATTGCCTCCAGGCGCTCATCTGGCGGAGAACATCACCTGCCAGGTCTGGGAGTAAAAATGGTAAAATTCATGGTTATTCGTTGAAAATCAATGGTGCAATTCATGGTTACCATGGGAAATAATGGTTAAATAATGGTCAAATTAATGGTTATCATGGTTAAATAATGGTAAATAATGGTTAAATAATGGTTAGATAATTGTTAAATGATGGTTAAATAATGGGAAATAATGGCTGGTTAATAACTTATACCTGCGATAATAAATCAAGAATCAATAATGGTCGTGGTCAATCAATTATGCTATTGGTATAACTGGGATAATCTTGATCTTGGTTAACAAACAATCAATCATCAAGAATAATTGTCATTGACTGGGATGAATTATAACATGTTATAACCAAGAATGGGATATATATACTTGGATATACCAGTATTAACCAGGGGTGCTCCAACCCAACATATGGATTTTGGTGATGCGGCTGCGCGATGGGGAGTCGACTAGCCACAATTTTGCTGTAGCAAAATTGGGGATGAAACCAGGCCCAGATGAATTTCCTCAATGATTTTCAAGTGTTTCAGTGGGCTCCCATGAGGAGTGAAGTATGGCTTCAAAAACCCCAGTTACCATCCTCAGCCATCCAAGAGGTGATACTGGTGGACCCTCTGAAGTTGTGGGTTAGTAGGGGACGCATCCCATGGCAATTTTTCCAGGATCCTTTGGGAAGATTCACCCAGAACTTTGGATGATCACAGCAATGGACCAGGGACTCAGGGCCATCAAGGAATAGAACGAGAGTTACGATAGTTGTTTCCATAATTGACCCTTCAACCACCATGAAATAGGTAGTAAAAAAAGATGCAATAAGACCCCAAAGACCCAAGACATGTTCACCACTCAGTTTCAGAGTGCATAGTGGAGTGACCCCGTTGCTTTTCGTGATGCAGAAGATTTCAAGGGTTCACAACACATCAGGCGACATCAACGCTGAAACTTTCCATTGCGAAGTTCACCGGTTTCTCAACAGTTCAAAAGTGACATTTTGGTGGATCAACACCTGTGAAATGACCATATATTAGTAATATGTGACTGGGGGAATAACCATCCATTAACCAGCTATGTTAAATTATTTTGGTGTACCTGAGGTACCAGGGTTTTGTCAGATTTCCTGGGATTTGTGGTGATTTAATCTTGCTGGTGCTAAACGTAGGGAATGAGGAAATGATCCACTGGCTAACTATCAATAATCATCCCAGCAACCCCCATTCCCATCCATTCACTATGTTTAGCACCAGTAAGTAATGGTGGATTTTGCCAGAGCTGCTTCCCAAGATCTCTCGGAAATCCCCAAGTGGCAGGTGCTGAATTTGCGGCTGAATCGCTGTGAGGACAATGGCGTCTCACATCTTTTTCAGGACGCGTCAGTTCGACTGTTTTTGAAGGGGAACTTAATAATGGAACCTACCCTCTGGTAAACAAACATAGCTATTTAAAATGGCGATTTATAGTGGATTTTCCCATTAAAAATTGTGATTTTCCATAGTTATGTTAGTTTACCAGAGGGTAAGATCAATCACTGGAACTGTACTTTGAGATTTTGTAAGATTAAAAAACGAGTTCAACCAGTGTTTCCTCCAAATTTCCCCTCTGAATCAATCCATACCACGGATGGTCGTTTATCCAGACATCCTGGCAACTTAGCACATCCTGGCAACCACTTGTCCTGCGAGAAGTCAATGGTAGATGGTTCAAAACCAACAAACAACTATCCAAATTTCCAAAATGCTAGGTAGATGATCTGGTGGTTTCAACATGTTTCAACTAATCTCTTATTTTTCAAGCATATTTGGGACGATGATCCCCAATCTCTGAAGCACATGAAGGGCTTTCATATCCAAAAGAACCGCTATGAACCGAGTCATTTCTGGAGATGCTCACCGTGGGTCAAGTCCAAAATGTCCCACTGCCGGTCCAAGTCATAGGATATGTGCGTGAACAAGCACCTGCAGAGCCTGAACATTGCATGCAATGCTGGGACCTCGAAAGACGTCGGAGAAAAAAAACTGGAATCTGATAGAGACAGAATTATCATTATATGTATCTATTTATCATTATAGGAAACTATCAGAATTATAATCTAGGACCATATATTCCTATAATTTTCTATAAGTATATGTTTATATACATCTAACATCATCTAACATCATCTAACAAGAGTTGGAACATATTATGATCGTTGGAATAGCACAAGGGCCAGGGCCAAACGGTACCAGCCAAGGACTTGACGGTGAGATGTTTACCGTATCTCAATGCCATGCCAGAAGCTCAGGGGCTTTGGAGACGGCATAGCTGGGAAAATCATGGGACATAAAAACCATGTTTGCTTACTGGAGGGTATGCCAGGTATGCCAGTGATAAGGTCTGGTTGATTGAGGCCCAGATAGTCCCCAGTTGAACAGCCCATGCCTTTGTTAGTCCCGGGGTTGATATTATGGCCAAGGGTGGTGTCTTGTCTTCCCATCTTTGGTGCTTCTGTCCATGCCCCCTGGCCCCCTGAGATTCGGAAGCTCTGTTTGATCTTTGAGAAATCACTGCCCCGTTTTGGAGATTTCATTGGGTGTAACCCATTTCAGACAAAGCCATTTAAATTAAATGTCCATTCTTCAGTACTGAAATCTCTATGTTTGATGCTTCCATCTGAAAATTTTGGCAAGTCCAATCCCTCATTTTTGGACAAACCCAGTAATATAGCCAAATATCATCATTGGTTACCCACTACATCCCCATGATATGCCAATTTTTACGGATGGACTCTCCCTTTTGTATTTGCACTCCACCATTAAACCCATGTATGATAGTAGCATTCACTACAGCTGTGCGGCTCAGTCAAAAAGCGTGAGTCGCGTGCTTAGCGGATTTTAGGTTTATCAGTCCATTTGGGTGTAATAGGAATTACCCCTGCTGAAACCTGAAAATACAGGTTATCAGCCGTAGTCTCTTAAAGCCATGGAAAGGACAACTGGAGACACCTCAGGTGGAGGCGCCCTTGTCCCCTCGTCTGGAGCAGCGGTTGCAACAACTGGTTCACAACAAAGCTTGCCGGCTGGGACAAACCCCACGCCCATGTCAGTGGATGAAGGTTTCTTCACACAGCCCGTGCAAGCATATTTCCAGTTCGTGCAAAACAATCTTACCTACATCAACGAAGGTAACATTGATGCTTTCAGGCAAGAGGCGGAGGAGAGGCACACACATCTCATGGAGCAAAAGGTCCAGCAACTGTACCAAGAGTTTGAGGGAGTTTGCCTTAGCGAAATTGCCCATCAACGTGCAGAAGCGGATCGCAGACATGAACACCTAGTGTCAGAGTATTCAGTGTCCCAAACGGCAGCTGAGCATGAGGTAGCAAAACTGAGACAGGAACTTAGCGATGCAAACGCAAAGCTAAAGAACGCTGCAAATGCGGTTGCACTGGAAGCTGAACAAAGAGCTAACCAAAAGGTAGCCCATATTACAGCCCAGTACGAACAAAGGTTTTCTGAACTCAGAGGTAGCCTCGAGGCAGACTGTAAACGAATCGTGGACGAAACAGTGGAGTATGCAAAGAATGGCATGGAAGGTTTCAAGAAGGAGGAACAAGCTGTAATTCAGGAGATTAGAGAGGAATGCAGTAGGCAGGAAAACCAAGCTGCCGAACTCAATTTCCAATTGCAGGGACAAGTCGAGGATTTGATGGAGAAGCTCAACAAGTACAGCGCCCCGGAAATCAGTGTCGACAGAGCCGTCGAAGTTGATGATGCACAAGGCGGTAATAATGTCGATTTGTACATGACCCCAAAATCAGCGGTCGGTACCAAGGCTGGAGCAGAACCCATGCCAAACACTGGTATGAGTAGCTTAGCCATGGACGCTAAGGAAAGGTTGAGCAACCTGTTCTCAACAACCCCTGCCGGATCAGCAGCCCCTCCAAAACTTCCACCATTGCCAGTTCAAAGACAAAATGATGACGATGCAAATCAAGATCATAGTGTGCCCAGTCCTACAGTCATAGCAAGCGACCCTGGCAAGAAAGCAGCTGAAGCAGGCTTAGGTCTTTCAGGTCGACAATTGCTAGATCTCATCACTAGACTGACTTCAAAGGATTCAGACGGTGAAAAGCCCCGAACAAAAGAGGCAGAGACTATCAAACTGAATGACATGCCTGCCCCAGAAGCTTATCGTCACTGGCGTAATCATGTCAGGGATGAAGTGAAATCATGCTCCGACAAACCCGATGAGGCTTGGCTTTGGCTCAATGAAGTCTTTGACAACAAAACCCCTAGGGAAAAGTTGGAGGAAAAGCTGCAGGATCCTGGGAAGTTTATTTATCACACTTGACACCAAATTGTCGGCAGCGTTAACTCGCTCAGCCAAAGGTGATTTAGCGACAAAGATCCATAACTTCAAAGATGAGAAGTCAAAGAAAGGGATCCAAGTCAGAGGTAGGAGAGTCCTTTTGATGTTTGAAGATTACTTCAGGACGTCTGAGGAAGCTGGCAGTCTCTACCGCGTCGAGGACCTACTTGGAGTCGTTCGCACTGGAGAATCTGTGGAGGACCTTAGAAGGTTTCTTAACCGATGGGACGCCACAATTGCCGGCATGGAAACCCCACCAGATGATTTGGTTCTCAGAGACATCTTACTTAGACAAATCCGAAAATGTCAATTGATGAAGTATGACATTGAAGCATTTGACAGAGCTCCTGAAAAGTCAGAACAAAAGTCTTATGCATTCTTGTTGAGAAACATTCGTGACCTTTTGGATAGAGAAAGACTCCGTTCAAACAGAAACAGAATCGTTGAAAAGAACAAGCAGACCGAAAAGCCTCAGCCCGCTGCACCCGCTCAGGGGGGCAAAGATCGCGGCAAAGGAAAGGGCGACCGAGGTCGAACCCGTGGCCGTAGCCAGAGTGGAAAAGGGGACAAAGATATGCTACAAATTCAGGGATGGCAAATGTGAAAAGGGTAAAGACTGTCCCTACAAGCATGTCAAAGATTCCTCAAGATCTGGTACCCCCAAAAGAAAGGGTAAGGGCAAAGGTGGTAGCAGAAGTGGTTCCCCCAACAGAAAGTCGAAGGAAGAGATGGCCAAGATCCCATGCACTTACTTCCAACAGGGCAAATGTCGTCGTGGTGACAAATGTTTTTACAAACATGAAGTTGCAGCTGCACCCACAAAGGATCCAAAACGCACCAATAGCCCTGCACCAAAGAAGAAGGCCAGTGCAAAAGCTGCGCCATGCATTACTCAAAGGTATGCATGCATAGCAAAGGGAAAAGGGTTGCCAAAAGCTACAAAGGCCATGAAAGAACAATGCCACAGAGCCGTTGTGTTTTCATCAAAAGTGGAATACATCAAAGTCCCAGCAACAGGTGAACAGAGGAAGGTAGTGCACAAACCCCGAATCTATGAGAAGACGTTCCCTGATTCAGAGTCAGTGCCAAAACCCGACAAACTCGTGGCTCACCGTGCTCAGGTTTCTGCCCGACAGTTGCAGGAACTTGTGAAGCTCTTCGGCAGTGAAACGCAGCCCAAGTGCCGATTCCGATGCAATGACCCAGAAGGGGGAGTATCATGCAACCACTGTAGAGCAATGATCGGTCCCAAGAACAAAGTCAGTAACACTCATTTGCCCACTGTTGCTACACCTGCATCAAAAGATGGATGTGTTTGGTTGGTTGACACGGGCAGTGAACAGGACTTGATCAGTGAGGGTATGCTGAAGACCGCAAAGGCGACAAACCGCCGTATCAGCGATACTCCGATCAGCCTTGCTACAGCAAACGGTTCGACACGAGCGGATGAGGTGGCCGACGTAAAAGTCGATGCCCTACATCAGCCGTTTTCACCATACATTCTTGAGGAAACTCCTGCTGTTCTTTCGGTTGGGGTCAGGTGTATGGAACAGGGTTACAGTTTTGTGTGGCCAGCTGATGGTAGGCCTTACTTCATTCGTCCGGACATGGGAGTCATTGAGCTTAACGTAGACGGCCGTGTGCCGGTCATCGATAGCTCTTGTCGTGTTTTGAACAGTGGACAGTTCAAGAAAGATTGTGATCTGTTACGTCTTTTTGCAATGGTTGCTGCAAAAGCAGAAGGTGCCGATGAAGAAGGTGTGGATGAGGGAGTAGCTCATGATAGTGAAACCGAATACATCAGGTCTAGAAAAGCATCTGACCTTGAGCAAGAGGCATGCAGTAAGTCTCACCAGTTTTGCCATTACCCCAAGAATCCATTTTGCAAAATCTGTCAAAAGGCGCGCATGATGGCGCCACCCGCAAAGAAGAAAGGGGGACAGAAAAGGTTGGAAACCAAAAGTTTTGGGGATCACATTGTCGCTGACCATACTGTAATCAAATCCAATGTGGAAGAAGGCGTCAAAGGTGAAACAGTGGCATTGGTGATGAAGGACATCCACACACAGTTCAGACACGTCTATCCAAGCCAGACAAAATCGAGCGAATCATGTGTTAATGCTTTCAACCACTTCTTATCCCACAAGGATGAAGTTGGGGCAGTTTACACTGACAATTCACGAGAACTTATTGCTACAATTTCAGAGTTGGGGTACAGACATCAAACATCAACAGAGTATGTGGACAGCTCAAAGTCGTTTGTGGAGAGGGAGATCAGACACATGCTTGAAGGCACACGCACAAACCTTGTGCAGTCAGGTCTTCCATTGCAGTATTGGCCAATGGCTATGCAGCATTTCTCCATGGCAGTGAATGCCACGCCACAGCTCAATGGTGATGATGCCCCATGGAAACTCAGATTCGAAGAAGATTTTCCAGGTCAGTTGATTCCTTTCGGTGCAAAGATACTGTTTTGGAACAATCCAAAAAGGGTTGACAACACATCTGGAAAGACATCACCAACAGCAAATGATGGAATCTTTTTGGGATACCACATTCAACCTGGTTTTGCATGGAAAGGTGAGTATCTTGTTGCCAAGTTAGAAGCATTGGATTACCATGCAGAAACGGGCAGCATCACAGTGCAGCGAGCACGACGTGTTGAGCTCATCGCGGGAGGTTTTGTCTTCCCACTCCGTGCACTGAAAGAGGCCAAAGAGCCCAAGCCGGACTGCCTAGTCGACAACGTCATTGCTGATCCTCGTCCGATTCCGTTTCAATCCGAATTGCAAACAGAGGAACATGTAGAAGAAAGTGAAGCAGCAATTGACAAGTCAACGGAGGCAGTGCTTGACGCACTTGCCAGTGATGAAAGGCCGGCTGAAGAACCAGTTTTCCTGATATCAAGTACACTCCAACTG